ATGTGGGCTCATCATACTGGCAAGCTCTTATTACCTCCACCAAGGAGGTTATGTTTTCAGTAGCGCTGGTTTGTTGGTTGGTTGGTTGGTTGGTTGGTTGGTTGGTTTGTGAGTTTGTTTGTCTGTGAACAACTTTACGGAGAAAGTAACAGACGGATTGACCTGAAATTTTCACCAGAGGTGCGTCTCAGCCCCAGGAGGATCCCATTACATTTTGGTGGTGATCCGGATCGCCTTCTGGATCCAGGAATTTTTTTGAAGGATTCTTTATCGTTGTGAGATAGGGCAAATTTTGGAATTTTTGCATTTAACTCTATAAAAATGGCCAGAGTCTTGAGTAAAAAATTACACAAAAGGATCTCAGTGAGTTTTATGAGGTGTCAAAGGATGATCCTGATCCAGACAAAATTCTGGATACTGTGATCCAGAACACACAAAAATAAAAACTGCAGAGGAAAAAAAGACAAGACGACAAAGTTATTGATCTTGATTCACACTTGTCATAGCTCCTTTCGGTCATTACAAGGCTATCTTTAATCAAACTATACTGTTCAAGCTCTGCTCTTGCTAACATTAGCTAATTAAGCTTTTCACTGACCCTGTCAGTTATACAGTGATGTATTATATATTTGTAAAACTGGATTCTGTGGGCTATGAAAACTTTATCAGGCATTTTATGACTCCCGAATAATTTTGCATTCGATAAAATTTCCACCAAGAGTTAATGACCAGCGAGCAGGATATCTATCTTGTGGGTTTGTATAAATAAAGATATATTTTTATGTGGTTTTTTGGTCATAAATGTAATCAGACTCATTTGAAGTAATCCCTTCTGTTAAGTACAGTATCATAAGTACTGAATCCAGAGATGAATCCTCTTAGCTCATGAATCCTCTTAAGGACAACCCATGAGTTTCCATTCCCCCTTTCTGCATTCCTGCAGGACTGTAGTCAAAATGCAGTAAGAGGCCTGAGCAGCATCTGAAAACACATGTAGCCTACTTAAGAAATCACAAAGAAGAGCTTTGGAAAATGCATCAACTTCTCAAAGATCCATTTTAGCAGCTACTTTACTACCCGGACGCCACAGATAACAGCTTCAATCCATGAAATTTATAAAGAAAATAGGACATTTTGACATGTTCAAGCTTAGTGATGGTCACATCTCAGGTACTTTTATTTAAGACCCTGATAGATTTGAATGCTGACTGACTCTCCCACCACAGAAACGGTAAAGAAGCTTTCATTGTACAGAACACAGCCTTTGGAGCATGTTCAGTTTGCTAAACAACTAATTCTGGAAGCTGTTCAACACATTATTGCAGTAATTTGATATGCAGGTAATTAGAGGTATGTCTAAGCCCTTCAAGGTCTTGCTTTAAAAGGGACTGAGGGTGGGGGTTCACCCTACGTTTGCCCTTCGATGACCCAAAGACTATAATGTTGGTTGCATCTCTGTTAAGTTGGAGGAAATTTTGCTGAATACAGTGACACAGCTTTTAGAGAGATCCATGATGTCCTGGTGTAGTGTGAACTTGTGTATTATCAGCATTGCTATGATAGGCTAATTTTATGTATAATTGGGCCCAGTCGAGATATGTGGTGGTATAATGGCTATAATGGGCAGCTGGGCCAGAAAGGGGCCGTTCTTTACTTTACTTTTTATGTGCTGCTCTGGCCTGGACAGCCACCCAGCCCAGTTGTAGTGGATCTTTTTCCTGTAACAATTAGCACATAAGTCACCATAAATCGTCAGCATAAAAGTGGAAATGGACCTAAAAAAAAAAGCAGTATCTGACCCAGTGGTACCAGGTCAAATGAAAACAGCAAGGGACCGAGGGCGGACCCTTGAGGTGCCCCATGTCCAACAGCATTGATCTGAGAAGGTGTTATTAGATAAAACCTGTCCAGATCTTTCCGACAGCTAATATATATCAACCACTGTAGCACTTCCGTCCAATATTATACAAAGGTCCACTGCAGGTATACCATCCAATAAAAACAAAACAGTTGTGGATGCCAAGTCTAATAATATCTCATTCACAATCTGAGAGCTCTTTCTGTACAGTGATTCACTCAAAACACAAACTGCAAACCAATGAGATTAAAACCTTTCTTAGCACAGTCCCAACCATCTGGAAGAAAAACAAGGTAGGACAAGGACAATTGGGTTGGAGATCTCTACCAATGTATGAATGTTTGAACATTTGTGGTTAAATAGTACATTCAAGCAGATAGTTTGCCAAAAAGATACCCTGTCACATCAATGAATGACAGAGAGGTTCAGCTCTGATGTGTCTCTGACTTTTCATTGACACTCGCTCAATGATTGTATATGTGTTTGTGTCTGAGGAGGGCAGAGATTTGATGAATGGTGGTTTTCAGTGAAGTTGTAAAGCATAGTAAATAAAGACTGATATGACAGTGGCATTTTTCTGATTCTACATGAACACCACTATGAGTCAAAAACTTCCCCAGCAAGATGAGCATCACACAGCATCCTTTCCTTTCAAGACCTTGTGGTAGAACAAGATAGCTTATGTAAGTAGCTGTTCCAAGAAGCAGTTTTACCAATTTATGGGGAAATCTTTGATGACTAAAACCAGGGGGACCCCCTTAAATCTACGTCAAGATGCTTAAGAGATTTCCAGGTTTACACTGTTTTACCCTGATGACAGAATAAACCTGATTCTTGGAAAAGGCTGCTAAATCATCCAAGAGAAATGAATCCCTGATTCACAGCCAAACAATAGCAAATAATCCCTTGTGCAAACACGTGGGACATAGAAACAATCAATGAATAACAAGCTTAGGTGTAGCTATTGGTCTGTGAACAGAGATGATTTATCACAGGACATAATCTCACATGTATTCCAAGTATTAATCAGAAAGGTCGTAGTTGCAGGGGTCTGCTTATGTAATTCCAGTGTGCTGTATCCAAATGGGATATAATGTGAAACACTCACTGGTTACCATCTTACAGCTTTTAGGTCATCATGATCATTTGATAATGTTCTGCTTCTACATCCTTGCTTTTTTAACACATTTATTCAACATTTTGAAAGGATGGTTTTATCTTTCTTTCGTTGAGTTTTTGGAATTTTGAGAAAGTTATACTCATTCTAGGTCTTCGCATGTAGGCTGGTTCCTGTTTCTTCTTCATCTCTCACATAGATGGGTCCAGGTGTGATCCAGATGATCAAAGTCAGCTTAGAAAAAAAGCAATTATCATGGACGCAAAAAACTATCACCCCTCCTAAGTTCCATCATCCTTCTCTAACCGCAGAGCATCTGAGTAACTTTTCAGAGTAACTTTGCACATTTCCTCTGTCATCAACTTCCCTCGAAAACAGACCCCTAACTTACCAATTATTAAGAAAAGCCAAAGCTAAAACCTCCGTACTATAGACACTGTTCTTTTCATCTGTACAGGGTGATCTGTAGCCTCACTGGAGCTTTCATCCTTCTTCCTGTTATCCATCAGTACATGACTGCAGTGAGCACAGTTGGGGGGGAATAAGCACATGAATTTAGTGATAATAAATCTCACTTCACTGCATATGTTCAATAGTTAGGACTGTTTCGCTTGTTTTAATGAGCGGATCCGTCTCACTCAGTGGAAGAGACCTGTGTGGATCAGATTGACATCCACCAAATCTTGTGCTGAATAATGGACTACTACACTAAAAGCTAACAGAGCTAACAGAGCTAACAGCAGCACCAGAACAAGCAGTTCTGTGCTTTAGTGCTTACCTGTAGCAACTGGGTCCATTTGTGTCTGAGAGGAGACTGGGCATACCCAGTTGTTATCAACTTTATTAACCGTCACAGAATTGCCTCAAAAGTTATTTTCTGCCAATTTATGCAGTAGCTTACCTGAAAAACAATGGCGAGGAGTTGACAGGGAGGGAGTCTAAACTTGAAGATGGGGTCGGCCAGCCAACGCAAAAACAACCTTGCTGAGATGTTTGATGAGCTGGGACATTAGCGCCGGTGCTTGTCAGACGTTAAAGACTGGAGGCCAACGTCGGCATATCATATGTGTGCTATCTGGGTTGTTTCTGTTTGGAAATGATCATTTCTTCATGGAAATGCTATCAGACCCAGACACTAAGGCAGAAGAACTACTGCGTCTGCAGTGCAAAATGATCATTATGATGATTATTACTTCATAGAAATGATAAAGTAATGATCATAAATGTTCTTCCTTGAGCTGCGTCCCCCCTGCTGCAGTCGATGTACTCGCCTGAGGTCTCCATACAAACAAGCGGCTGCTGGAAGAGAGTGGGTGAGATGTGTTTGGTCTCTTTGCTAAAGAAATCAGGCAAAGTTAAAAAGATGTTTGATGGCTAGTACTATGACTGGGACCCTATATGTACAGTTGATGAAGTTAGGTGCTGTTCTTAGCATTATTTGTGGCTATAGAGTGGCTTTTTGTTTGAGCGCGTGGTTCTCTGTATTGCTATCGTGCGGTTGTTACTCAAGTTGGTATAACTAGAGAAGCAAGCGGTCAGCAACATGCATCTCTTGACGGGGTGTCTAACTTAGTGTTACTGTGTGTTTGACCATAACTTAATTTTACACTGGAATATCCCTTAAATTTCTCAGGGGGAATCATGTCAGCTATGCAACACAAAAATCCACCCATGTCCTCCTATCCGATCCTTTCCTATCCTGTCCTCTGTATTCTCAGGGCGCAAGGGTATACAAAACTCTGACTTATGTAACACTGACATTTATTTGTTCTTTTTGTGTGTGGATCAGTGACTAAACCGCAGCACAGCTCAGTTACAGTGTACTGATACGCGTGTTTGCCCATTCATTCAGGAATCTGGCCGATTGTTAAATTCAAACTTCCATCTCTGCCCCCTGCTAGTAAATTAGTAGGCTTGTGGAGGAGACTGGCACCGCACGCGGATACAAATTTCCACACTCATGGGGAGGAGGGGAGGGGGTGCTCATGAGTGGTATGGAGGAAGGAGGAGTAACAGTGTATCGTCAGCTCAGAGTGTGGAGAGGGAGGGTCCGCCTCTGGCTTCCTGGCCCCCTGCACCGGACGGGTGTATTATAGATGCGCATCAAAGCAGCCGGGCGGCGGGGGCCAGCGGACGGGTGCAATGTGACGGGGTCGGGAGAGACTAGGAGGCAGCTTTAACCGCATGGGAGGGAGGGTTTAACCATTAACCTCCATTAATCATTGAGGCAGCTGTGCGGAGCCGGTACCGTACATAAGGCGTGCGCACCGGCGTCCACGCCTCAGCCTGAGCGCGTTATCAAGAGGTGGAGGATACGGCAGCCTGCCACACGAGTCCGCGTGCTCTCACCGTCCATCACGCCGGCTTCTCTGCGTCCTATCTCCAGACTATTGACACTGAAAGGTAAGCACCATCGAAGAGCCTTTTTATTCCACTACCTGCTGGACATTTCATTGAACGAAGCGAGAAACCGGCTTTAGAGAGTCACATTTAGCCAACCCAACGGATTGTCGCGCACGCTGACTATATCTGCACCCACATCCCTAACTCAGGTGCAGGCCGTGAGAGGCTTTTACATAATGACACTTTAAGAAGCGTTTGCATTGAAATGTTTGAGTTAAATACTCGTGGTCATGGTGGCAGTGACATGGGCTCCAGTCCGGTGTTGGAACAGAAAGCCCCCCTGCCCTCGTTTAAATGAGCAGTAGAATAGAAAAGGAGGGCTCGTCTATTCACTGCTGACCAGGGGAGCACTAATTTACGCCTTTGCCATGTTGGGTTCGGGTGGTATTGGTCCTGACTACTAAACAGAGGATTGTTTCAGCGGGGAAAAGTCTGTGTGCGGATGTCGCAACATGCAGGCGGAGGCAAGCAGCGTCAAAGGAGAGACAGTAAGACACGGTGCACCTTCAAAATAAGAGTTTTTACTGAGCCCTGACATCAGTCACCAAGTCTTATATTTTCGTTTCTATGGTCAGTAATGAGTGTGTCAGGAATTTTTGTGTCAAATTGATGTGTTTTTGTCAATGCATAAAAAAAAATATCTATCTATATGTATATATATATATATATATTAAACTCCCTTTAAGAGTAGATGAGTTCAGGGTAATGCCTTCCAGTTACTCAAGGTTTGACTGGAGTTATGTCAGTAACTTTCTATCAATGATATGTGATATTATACTTCAAGTGATTAAAGGAATCAGACGGTGTTTTCCAAGAGGCAACCTGTTGAAATGTGAGCTGATTCAGAGATGCATTTCCTCATGTGTCCTCTTTAGCTACATCCAAAGGCTACAACACAGCCCTTCAAAAGTCCTGTCTGTAAGCTGCAGCAGAAATAACCATAATTAAGCCTTACCTCTGTCCTCTGCGCACTTTGCGATCAGGGTGTCTCATTTTTTAATTGATTAATATTAAGATATTTATGCTATTTTTCAGAGGAGATATTAAAGTTACGAGTCATAAACATTGACTGTATATAAAATGGATGCAGTCTGCCTCTTCGCTCGGTGAAGCCACCTCAAGAACAGCACCCTCTGGTGACGGGCTGCAGTATGGGTCATAAATCCCGCCTCCGCCAGCCATCCTTATGGGGCTGTGGACAAACTTTAGAAATTTATTACACAGAATCTAAAATTTTCTCCCCCTTGCTTGCGATGTTGGCATGTAGTTATTGTCAGACAAGTTTGTGCTCAAGTCCTCTTTTTCCTTTGCAGCTCCCTTTTTAAAAGTTATTAGTGGGTTCATACCCACTGAGCATTTTTTGGTCTAAAAGAGGTCAAATAGATGTCTAAATGTAGTCTAGGCGACGGTCTAAAATCAGGCTACCACAGGTCTAAAAATGAAAATTTTCAGACATCTAAATTTAGACCGAGTTTAGACTAGCCAGCTAACAGAGGTCTACCAGTATATTGCTCAATAGCTATCATAATTATTTTGGTTTTGTACTTGGAGATCAGTTATGCAACTCACAGTTGCTTTTTGAAATAAACACTTATCGAATAGCGGGTTAAAGTGCAACGTCTAAATTCCGTCTACAGATAAACAGAATCTAGACAGTTGAAATAAGGTCTAAAAGATAACTAGATGTAAAATAGCCGTCTATTGCTCAGTGGGATTTTTTCTAAGATTGACACTTGATACAGCCTATGAGCGTATGAAGATTGCATAGCTCACCTGGAGGATATGCTGTTTGAGCCGAGCGTCCTCACAGCGACTCTCGGTGACTTTCCCGCCGAATGCGTACAACGCTACTGTGCAAGTGGTGGAGCGCGTACAACACTACTGCACGATGTTGGTTTCAGGAAGTGGAGAAAAACCGTAGAATAACTGAGAGCTTTTTGGCTTCAAATCCATATACTGGCGGAAGGTGGAACCAAGTTGTCCATACAGTCTATGGTCATAAAGGGTAGCTGTAGCTGCAAGGAAGCTAAAGGCTAGCAACCAACTCAACCCCAAAATTCCGTTTTTATCATCGTCATTTCCAACATAGACCTCTTAGCTCAGCTGTAAAGAGAGATTGGTGACTTCACTGAGACCAGCTCTACAGTTAACGTTTCTAACTGTTGCGACTGGGGCATTTTACTTTGAAAGGTACGACCGGAAGTCTTTGCTGTGCTTTAGGTTGCTTTGACGGTGGTGTCACTCGGTTTCCAGAGGATGTACGCAGCACCTCTGTTAATGGTAGAATATTTTTAGCCGCCGAGAGGAAATTTGGCGCTGGATGAATCTGTTTTTAAACTCACTGTTTGCCTCCTTTCTTGTCTGCCATGATGTCAGTGTCGACAGAGTTTTTTTACTTTTATTCTGAAGGGCTTGAGTTAGTCGTACATCTGTCAAAGTGGTGTTACGGTTCTTGAGGACTTATATCATCCACTGTAATTATTGCTAATTTTTTTTAAAGATGTTGGGAGTTGTAATAGATTTTGTTGAGCTGTTGTTCTTAGTATTTTCTATTTTAAATAACTTACTTTGTATTTATTACAGTAACATCAACCTGGCTGTTTTTTTCTTTTTCTGTTAACAAACTTAAAAAAAAAAAAAAAAACGTATATTTTGTATATTATATTGGTAAGACGGACAGAAGTATTTTCCAAACTTGAAAACTTAATATCACCATCATTTAAATGAAGTGGTACTTTTAACGTATCAACGTCATTGACATTGTAGTGTAAAGTTGGGGACAGAGGTCTGTACTTGGGCTGCTGGAGAATGTTGACATTTGAGTGATGAATGAATTTGTTCTCTTCCCAGGTGACTGCCCACTCTGCTTGGAGGTGCAGTGCTTTCCTGCAACCCGTAATTCAATCTTCATACTGCAGGCCTTTAAATATCTCCCTTGAAAACCTGCCAGCAGCCACGTGGTGTAAGGTGAGACATTCCCAGCCCAGCACACCGACCAGTCTGACATGATCAGTGAACCGAGAGTGTGACCAGTCTGCACTGCTTTCTGACTGGAGACCTGTGATTTGATTTTCCCTCTCGCTGAAACTTTTCTTTGAGGGACCGCTCAAAGTGACTGGAGAGGATTTCTGTGCTCAGTTCCCGGGCTTTTATTTTTCCTTTCTTTACTTTTTTTAAAACGGTATGTTTTCTTCTTCTTTTTACTGGCCACACCGAAGCACCTTGCAGTGAATGGAGAACATACTGGTTTTGCTTCCAAAGCACCGACAGGAACACGGGCTCTGCAGATGCACAGCTGCATGTGCCTTGCTGCAGGTTTTTTCCTACAGAGCAGTTTTCCTCTGGTCTTTAATAGCGACCCCCACTCCATTGAAGCCTCTTTAATGGGATAAATCAACTGGACTGACAGGTGCAAAACCAGGTCAGGTGACCAATTCCATTTGGACAACCCCAAAACTGTAAGGCCGAGCGACCAGACCATTTCTTTTTCAAGCCCATTGTCTTCAAAAGGCTTCCGCATGGTACTTTGGTCGAAAGAACAAGACAAAGTCCCCGACATCGACATGTCCTCCGGGGCCATTGAGGTGAAAAAAGAGGGAGGCCCTATAACCCCGGCTTTCCTCAATTCCAACTGCTCCGTCCACCCGGTGATCCTCACCAAGGGCCCAGAGGAGGTGAGCCCAGGTACCGGGGGTGAGTTTGAGCTCACAGAGGTCACCAATTTCACAGAGAGGGCCGGAGAGACTGGAGAGGATGAGGAGAGGTCAGAGGTTGTGGTGGCAATGGACTGCCGGGCAAACGCCAAAGGCCAGCGGGAGGAGGATGCGCTCCTCGAGAACGCGAGCCAGAGTAACGAGAGCGATGACACGAGTACCGACCACAGCCCAGAACCACCAGCACCCCTAAAAGAGACCTCATTTACTATTGGCCTGCAGGTGGTCTTCCCCTTCCTGCTGGCCGGGTTCGGGACAGTGGCAGCTGGAATGGTGCTGGACATTGTCCAGGTGAGTAATCCTAATACTGTTTGATAATGTGTCTGCTTCTGCAAGATCTAATTACAGTCTATTAAATCAGAGTCCAGGATTCAGCCGTACTCTTCAGTAAGTTTTTCACTGCATCAAATCTTTTTTTTTTTTTTACTGAAATAGAAACAGAACAGGGCTGTCACAGTATTGCATTTTTACTGCAGGACAGTGATGACAGTGTTTTAATGAAAAAATTAGAAAATGAAAACACAGCCATTAAACAGAGTGGAGCTTCACATCACTTCACTAACTTTTCTTATTGATCTAATTGAATTCATCTTCACACACTACCACCCAATTCTTATGATGCTCAAAGTTTTGTTTAATCCACATCACCAGTCTTGCCACTGAAAAAAATGTTTGTGGTTCTTTTATTTGGATATTTTAATGGTCTTGTATTAAGGTTATTTTTTTCTGATATTACCAAATGCATGCTTTTATTTTTTAATTGCAGCCTGTGATAGTTATGGTAGCTACCAAGAAACGGGACTAAATAAAAACAGCTCAAAGAACACTTGGAACAGTATAAAGTTCAGTTTATTAGCAGAAGCTCTTTCAAGTGTCTGACCCTACAGCTAGCTAGCTTTTGGCTGCTGCCCCTGCTTCTTCTTCAGTTTCTCTTAAACCTGCGAAAAGAATCTTTTCTGCTTGTTACCATGAACGAGTTAGTTTCAAGGTATTTATCTTTGCTTATTTTTTTAGCTCCTATCAGTAAAATCAGTCATCATTAGTACCAGCACATAGTCACAGCCCCAAGAGTAAGTATTTCCGCACGTGTCTAGACACACCCATTCAGACTGTAACCAGTTTATTTGACTTTTCTTGCAAACCAGTTATAGCAGGAACACCAATCTCAGTTCATACAGTGTGTCACAGCCAGAAGAGCAAGTGCTTCAGGTCGACTGTATACTGTAACACGTGCACTGAAGATGGGCTCGCCTCTTGGGAATTTGAATGAACTGGTCTTGCGAGCTTAGATTGTCTATGTCAGTCATTGTCCTGGTGGCATGTCTCTGGAAATGGGTGGTGACACTTTTTCTTGTAAAAGGCCTGGCCACACAGTTACAACCTTCAGTGATCTGTCACACACCCTTTTGTTTGTAATCCTGCATGCTTGAATGTAATGGATGCAACAATAGAAGGTGTTTATTGTCTTAATTTAGCCAGTTATAGATAAAAACACATAGAATCACTCTCTTTCCTTTCTTTTCTTGCTGACTCCCTGCAGTTGCTCTGAGTGTGACACAGTGTGCTTGTACAGTGTAAAAATACAGGCCAAAGCCATGCTGACAGGTCAAACACAGTCAGCTTGTGCTGCAGATAAAGTTGAAGGTGTCCGGCTGCCAGGAGACCAGTTCAGGCACATTGTGTACACGCATACTGATGCCAGCATGGTGGACCCCAGGAACTCGGCACAGAGAGAAGGAAAGGAAGCAGGGGAGTAAGAGTACTTTCTTCGAGCACCTGAAATGGCAGCGCACTTCTGTCAAGCTTGAGCCTGTGTGAAAACAAAACACAATGAGGTTTCAAAGCCTTCATTACCGTGTGGTTAGGTATCCTCACTAAACCAGGAATGCAGAGGTTTGAGGTCAAAAAGTTTTCATGCTGCCTCAACCAAGGCACCATGCTGCTGCGGTTTCTCCAGTTTCCAAAACACTCTGCACATATTTCCTCTGGAGGTAAAGCTGCTGGGCCTTATCTCTCCCTCTGGTTAACTCTGCATGTCTTGAAGAATGCTTGCAATGTGACGCAAGGTGATGCATGACAGTTAGTTTGAGACAAATGCGTCTTTTAAGTCTGCACTGAGCACCTAGCAGGTTGTTGCCTCAGCTTATTCCCCCCTGCATGACACAGCAAAATACAAACTCTGCTAATCCCCTGGCCTTTGCATAAAGGTAATTGTCTCTCTCTCTCTCAAACAGACTCTCTCTCTCTCACTCTTGCTCTCCTCGTCAGACAGAAGCAGTCTTCTAAACTTTTATGCTGTAGAGCCTCGAGATGATGTGTCTGCCCGGCCAAAGTTTAACAGTCGCGGCTTGGACCGACACATGACCTGTATTTGAGCGTCACTCTCTGTACGGTTTCTTTGAAATGTGATCTTTTTAACGTTCGTCTTACCCTCTTACCATCTTCAGCTCACACGCACGTAGAGCTAATGGCCCCATTCCCACTCAAAGCTGGCCTCTGAAAGGACTCTACAGGCTCGTATAGTCGGTGACTTGGCAGCAGAATGACCTAAAACTGTCAGTCCCTTACAGCCAGGGCCAGATACTTAGGACTTTGAGGGTGACCCACTTGCTTGGACTAAAGGTTACACATAGTTTGTAAAGGTCATGCGGTGCTTGTTTTCGTGGAATGCCTGTGTCAAAGGCCAAGAGGTTCATCTGCTAGACAGGAGATACTCTGAAATATTTGGTTTTTGCAAACACACTAACCCTTATGTAAGAAAATTGGTCGTCCATTAAATTGTCATCATGCGTGAGTGTGTTATTTTGTCTGCCTCTGTGTCTAGCCATCTGTCCTGCGCTGCACTGTGGTGTCCACTGATGTAAACAGTGAAGTAAGTGAAGAAGTGGGACAAAGTTTCAGCCTCAAAAACAGTCTAAAAAACAGTCACCGGTAAACAGGAAATCATGGTCTACACAATGGCTTTCCACTAGCCAAGCCCTCGCAGCCCACCAGTCACCGTTTTGGCCCAACCACATCCACTTGTTTGGTGCTGAAGCAGGAGCCGCAGAGAAACCAGAGCGTGGGCTTATTCATCGTCTCAGCTCCTTTTTTTTTCCCCAATCATGTCCCAGTGAACTGGACTGAGCAGATGCTTCGATATCTGCCTCACCAGACTAAGGTCCTCTATGTGATCAAAAACCAAAACCATCAGGGTTTTTCTAAACTTTCCGCAGTTTCTGTTGTCCTGTTTGACTGCTTGTTTTAGATGTTTTGCTCTGTTAAGCCTTTCTACCATGGGTGTGATTTTCTTACAATCATTACCATCAGCTCACAGCCTCAAACATTGAACAATATCCCATCTTTGTTTGGCATTTGAGTGATAACAACGGAAAGGATTAGAGGGTTAGATAGCTTTAGCATTGCTAAAAACTCTAGCTAATGTTTTACTCCGCTCCAAATCCCTAGTAGTACGTCCGAGGTCTCAGCTTGTTTATCTAACTGCTTAACTGAGTTTAGGCGTTTTAGCGTTCTCAAGACATTCGGCAGCTTAAATGCTTCGACTGGCGGTCTTATTTTCCTCTCCAGAAGTAATCTAAACTTAATGAATCGGGTCCTTAATGTTAAATAGAGTAAAGGGTATGAACATAATAAGGTTAATTTCCGGGGCTAATGCTCGTTTTTCTTCAACTTTCATTCCATAAAAGTTAAGATGCCATGTTCATGTTGATAAAAACAGAACTTGATGGTTTGCAAATCATTTAAATGTTATATTGAATTAAAAATAGTGCAAAGAAAGAATATCCAATATTGAACTGAAATGTTTGACTGGAGAAATGATAACATGAAGAAGTAGTGTAGCACCACAGTATTGAGAAAAAAAATCACCTGCAGAGGACATCAACCATCTGATAAAGTCAGTTTGCAACAGTTTTGTAACATGATGAGTAGGAGTGGGAGAAAAAAATCGATAAAGCATAGAATTTGATATTTTTGTCTGGTGATATCGTCTCATTTACCAAGTATCAATTTTTTATAAATTGTTGAAATTAAGTCAAATCTGTGATAATGGAAAAATAAAGATGTGCTACATGAAAATAGAGTACTGTGTAAATAAGACAAACATAAAGGAAAGACAAATGCTTAATTAGCCAACAGTTGAAAAAATGGTATAAATTGCAATATACTGTATCACAAGGCTACAACATAACTGGATGACCATAGATCTCAGGTTGCACTGCATTACAAATCGACTCAGTCTTGTAAATCACTGCACAGGCTCCAAATCCCTTTCAAAAACTATAAAGTGTGAACCGTCACTGCATCCATTAACAGGTGAAGAGGAAACCACTTCTGAACATGATCCAAACAACACTTGATGAGCACTTTGGTCTGGGGAATCAAAGTTCAACACTCTTCTTGGATGTCATGGACACTCGGTTCTCTGCTCTACTGAGACCTCCCAGTTTTTTGTTAGTGCACAGTTCCAACGACAACATCTGTGATGGCAGAGGGATGTATCAGTGCCTGTGGCACAGGCAGTACTGAACATGACGTACAGATTTAGAACATGTGCTGCCTTCTAGATAGTACCTTTGGTCAGAGAGGACCGTCATACTTCAGTGAGACAATTCCAACACTCCATCTGCAGGTATTAAACAGCATGGCTCTGTAGTGGTAGAGTCTTGCTGCTAAACTGGCCAGTCTGCAATCCTGACTTGTCACCTACTGAAAACATTTTGTTTGCGTCATGAAACTAAAATCATGACACCCTGAGCTGTTAAGTTGAAATCTTATATTAAGCAAGAATGGTACAAGATTTCACTTTGAAGACTCCAGACTTGATTCCTCTGCTCTCAAATATTCTCAGCATGTTGCCTAAAGAAATATTTTACAGCAAACAGCAAAATTTCAACATTTGTTTTTTTGTCTTTTCACTATTTCCAGTTTAAGGTAATGCTTGAATAATTTAAAAACCATTACATCCTGTTTTCATTTTCCCCGATGTTTTTTGAGCCATGGTTTCATGTCAAACACTTAAACATCCAATAAAGTTGGACGAAGCAATGTAAAACATTACCTTACTGTCATGTGTTTGCACACAAGTCTGGACCAGAGCCAGAAACAGACACCATCAGACGTAGTTTCTGGGACGCTGCCGAAGTTGCGTAAACATTGCACGCCATTGGGTTCAGTTCCCCTGACAGTACAGTAAGTACAGTGGTCACAAATAAAGTGGGGCCATGTTACTCAACTGGGCAACCCGACCCTTGGGGGACTTGCATACCAGAGCTCCTATAGGTCTGTACACAGAGGTACTGGGGTTGTCCAGTGGAGTTCTCAGAACCAAGGAGGTGGCCGTGAGGAGGGAGGGCTTGCTTGGCTCGGAGCCAGTGTTCCATGGAGACAACAACATATATCACCACAGGGGAGGCCGAGAGGAAGATGGAGAAGAGAGACAGAAGTAGAGAGAGGGAGAAAGCTTGAAAACATGTGGCTGTGAAAGGGGAGAGAAGTGCTTACAGAGGTGCTCACAAGGCTGCTGGGTTGGCAGAAGGCAGTGAGCCAGGCTAAGGGGCTGCCTGTTAGACAAGAGCTCTGCTTGGACCGGTGACAGCAAGGGCATGGACTGAGCGAGTTTAACCCGCACTCCAGTTTTGGAGAGAAACCTACTGCAAGGACACAAACTCAACTGTAGAGTACAGCCCTTATCAGCCCTGTACATCTGGATGCACAGTGGGGGCAACACACTAAACAGAGATGTTAGCTGGCTGGTGTGAGAAATGGGGCCAACTGTGTTTTTACTCTGCTTCAACGTGAGCTACCCCTCTATTTTCCTCCCCTCTTCTATTTTCTCCTCTCCTCTTTTCTTTCCTGTGTCAGCCTCTGTGAATATTGATTCAGTTCTGGGTAGACCGGACTGTAAGTGCCGGGGGCCTGTGGGCCTGGCTCCAAAGATAAGCACTTTTCCTGGAGATAGATCGATGGCCAGGCCCCAGATATAGTTTGTGGCCGCAGTAGACCAAAAAAACTGCTATCACGGCATGTGCCCTAATGGAGGCACAGCAGAGAGAGGCACTTCACCACAGTGACTGGCTCAGGGACTTACTGGGAACCCGGAGCTCAAGGACTGGCTGGCAGCCAGATAGGGGGTTATTGAGGGTCAGGTCCAATGACACCAGCTATACATTTCATCAGAGACCATCTACTAATATCTGTGCGCGTGGGTGAGCCATGTGCCTGCCATATGAAACTTGATTATCACTGAGCAAACTAATCGCTCATGTTGAATCACAATTTGTCTTTGGTTATGTAGTAATGAAGAAAGCGGGATGAGGCTCAGGGTACCGGGCTGAGCAGTAAGGCTGCAAAGGGAGCAGCAATTAGCAATTTCAGAATAAACTTTGATGATTGTTTTGTCTTACCATTGATTACCTCCTGTCTAGATGCAAAAACTTACACGCAAATGTGAATAAAATATAAAATTTATTGTAATGTAGGTGTGATATTGTATTTGTTCGTCCTGTATGTCCTGGATTCTCTCATTTAAAAAGCATGAATCTGAAATCTTGAAGCATGAGTCGTACCTGGAGAGTTTTGGCAGTGCACCAGGTGTTACCTAACAGCTATAGTGTACTATTTGCTGTACTATTTGTTGGGAAAGTTCATTTTCTATATGAACTCGTTCAAAGTTCAGTTGACAAATTTTGAAATGAACTTGTTCAGTTCATCATTCATACTTTTGAACCAAGCTCACAGTTCCAAAAATGAACTAATTCAGTTCTTTTTTTCCCATATGCTGCTTTGGACTATTATTTCTAAAAAATATTGCCACAGTCCATATAGAACCCCAGACCACAATAATTTTATCAGTTTTAACACCAAAACAATGCGTCAGATTGTTTTATATTTAAAACAAGTCATGACACTCGTTCAAATGATCATACAACACATCCTTGCTGGTTTGTCGTGTTGAGTTTTGTCTCGTCCATGCCACTTCTGTCGCCTCCTCCATTCTGCATTCTGTTTTGATGACGCATGCGGCAGCGCGACACTGGTGGCCGGCGTTGCTAGATTGATTTTTTTTTTTGTTCTATTTTAAGTATTATTCAGTGTTTTTAGCCTGATTTTTTGCTGAAATTTGGCACCCTATTGAACGAAGATGAACGAGAGAGCGTGCCGTTCACAGACACCAGAATGAAGGAGTTCACAGTAGCGTTCACCAGGCAGCAGTACTCTATGTTCATCTCACGTTCCTCCAAAATATGAGCGAGTTCATAAACTATCGTTCAGTGAGCGCAGTCAGGCACAACACTGAGTATTCAGCAGAGCGCTGGTGTCCAGGTCAGCCAAATTCATGTTTATGTGTACACTGCTCAAGCTGTCTTTTATTTATTGTTATTATTTTGCCTTCTTGGTCAAATTCTTATAGTAAATATTTTTGTTCCTAAAAATCATCACTTTTACCCTAATGGGGGAAAAAGTTCAGAAATAACTTGATCTAAAAAAAGCACAGGTGATAGACGCTTTGGCAGTATCTGAATTTAAAATGGGTATAAAGTTGAATAAACGAGGCATCCTTGTTTTGACAGTTGGACCAAGGAAAGGGGAACTATCACAGGCATATGGAATAAAACCCGGAGGTGCTAGTTTTGCTAATATTAGCCACACTCATCAAACTAATGGGATTTCACACTCAGTCTTGTCAGCAGGAGTAAAGATACACAGTGTACCATGGCGGTGAATAATTCATGTGCGTACACAGGTTAATTGGTATTTGCTTGAGTAACAATGATGCGATGAAGACTCATGTTTTATTATATGCTTTAAAATTGTGTTGAGGTTTGAATCCATCTGCCTGAAAGCGGAAGATCATAAAGACTGATGGATAAAGGTGAATCACAAGGGACGGTCAGCATGCCGGCTGAAGCAGGAGGATGATAAATCATTTCAGCCTGAAGTCCTTCTGACCTTGTTCTTGTTTAATAAGGGGAGCAGATAGCTGACAGGATACATAGTGTAAAGGTCTAAAGAGACAGCCTCTCCGGTCCATCATGAAGGTCCAGTTTCATGACTGAATCAATACGAAAGAACAAGGTCGAAGAGACGTGCTGTTCTCAGTGATTTCTTCATGTACCTGACTGTACACTGTGTCTCTGTGAACCTGAACGTCCTGCTTTCATCTGGCTGCATGTGAAGCATGTTGATGTTGTCTCACTGATGTTTTCTGTTGTTTTTGCAGCACTGGACCGTGTTTACGGAGGTGTCGGAGGTGTTCATCCTGGTCCCAGCACTGCTGGGGCTCAAAGGTAACCTGGAGATGACGCTGGCATCAAGACTTTCCACAGCGGTAAGAAACGCACGTGTGAATGTACTGGTGTGATGAGTAAAGAGGTGTTAAGAGGTGTAAAGAGAGCCATAGATCCCGCAGCAGGTACTAAAGGTTGTTTTCAGACACATGAATGGAAAACTTGACATAATTGGAGAAGGTGTTTCTCCTCCTTCAGAGCTGACAGATCTGTTTTCGTTGCCTGGAAACTCTTGTCAGACCCATTAAAGCTGATTGTTCCTGGAGTCAGAGGTCACATTGCTCAAACATGACCTGGATTTTGGACAAACTGATAGCAAATTCCTGCCTCATTCCTTTGTTTTTTAGCAGTCACTGACCCTGCCTGGCTTTTTCCTTGAGCTCACACATTTTTTTACCCATTTATTTAATTATTTATTTGATTAGGACAAAGCACATTGATCAACCTATCAGCAAAAGCACCGAAGTAAATATGCTGGAGTTGCACAGTTGCTAAATTTCATCCTTTGTCCCAAGGCAGGTATCATGAAATCAACATTCAGACAATACACCATGACAGTTGGATAAAACATCAATCAATCAATCAATCAATCAATCAATCAGTCTTTATTTGTATACCACTTTTCATACAAAACCATGTAGCACAAAGTGCTTTACACAGCAGAAGAATGACAGAAACGATGAATACCTTACTCTACGGCAGCCCCTCCCCTTATTCTCACCCTGCAATCTAAGCTCAACAGAAACGAGTATTAAAATGCATTAACTTGAAAAGAGCCGGATTTCGTAGAAACAGGAATGTGACACAGTTTCTAACATTTGCCCAAATGTAGTCCTGCGTCATGTTCCATCACAGTTCCTCCAGTCAGTGCCCTGGTGTTTGGTGTTTTAGAAGGTTTTTCTTTATCAAGTCTTTTAGTAACCAAGAGGCTAGTCCATCTCAAACCTTGAGGATAATTCGACAGACATCCAAAAACAGCTGGTGGATATTGATGTCCAAGATTTAGTACTTATTAACAATGTTACAGCAATGAAAATGGGTTTAGGTTTTTTTGTCAAGAGCGTTACAGACCCACTCCGATGAAATCCTGTTTTTCTTGTTGTCTACATGTTCATATGTCATTTTTCTGATGCTGTGGCACATATCATGAGAAATGTAAATGCGAAATTGTGTTTCTGTGTATTTCTACATTCAAATTGCTGAGAATCTCTGACAGACCCAAACAGCAGGTTCAGACCAGTGAGATTTCCTATGTCACACCTGCAAGCTCCGCCCCTGGAGCCCCGTTATACAGGCCAGACTTAGAGAAGTAGAAAAGACAATCATGGGACAAGTGTGTGCGTTAGCGGATTGCAAAGCTCGTAAGAAAGCTGATTATGATATGTCCCGAAAGACATTAATGTCCGAGAGCTGAATAGCTAGTATGTTACCTGCCACTTCTACTACACCTGCAATGTTAGGCTACAAGCTAGCATGAAGAGGAGTGTGCAGAGCAGCGCTGTCTCTGCCCACGACTCAGAGGCAAATTGCTAATGAGCTACTGGAGCTCTGCAGAAGAAGAGTCCTTAAAAATGACAAAGGTAACGTGATTTTGGCTAAAAACGTCATCATCACAATTTAAAGACCACTGAGGACACTTGAAATAGAAAAAAATATAGAGAGTGGGACTTTCAGTGTGAGTGTAACGTTTAAACCAAAAACTCTTGACTTACTATGTCCATTTCAAACAACAGCAGCAAGATATCACTTGATAATGGAGCAGTTGGTGACTACATCAGTCTGACAGCCAGGCTTTCTAACGTGGGGTGGCCAAGATGGGGCGATAACTTTTGCAGAGGCGGCAGGAGGAGTGCGTGTACACATCAATGAGTTTTGGGGCTTTTTTGGCCTTGAGTGACAGAGAGAAGACAGCGGATAGAAAACAAGGGAGAGAGCAGGGAATAACTTGTAGGAAGCAGGCCACATGGTGGGATCAAACCCAGGCCGCATGCTGTTGTGAGGTACACCAGGGCCACAAGGCTACTGGCACCCTAATAGGTAAAATTTGAAGAAAAAAAAAAGGGTTTTGTTTAGAGTCACAGTTTTAGGTACGCATACTGAAATACAAAGACAGCCACTGGAAGTCTGGGAGTTTTACGTCACCGGAGTGGCCAGCTGAATAGTAAGGGGAAACGGGGGGGATGCTGTTTGCAAAGTTTCCACAAGCAGAGGATTTCTGCTAAAGCTAGGCTGTTTTTTTTTTCATGGGTAAGCTCTGCTCTCCACTCACCTAAGATTGTCAGTCATATAGTCTTAAAGGTCAATAACCTGACCGGTAACAAGTTTTCAAGGCATAAGAGAATTGGCACAGTGTCGCTCTTAAGCACACCAATCCTCACATTCTTTCCACTGGACTGTGGGAAATGTGAGGAAGCTGATTAGCATTGCTAGCAGTGTCCCTCCCAGTGAGGAGCTCAACTCAGAAACACGACCAACATAATCTATTTGAACATGACCGCTGGAGTTACGAGTGAAATACGTGAACGCACTAACTGTTGATTCAGATATTTGTTTCCCTGCTGTGATATTAAAGCACCACTGTTTGTTGGCTGAGATACTGTGGGAAACATTTATTCTTTAAAACTGCAAAAACCTTTTAGTCATCTGCTGCAGAAACTGAATCAAGACATAAAGGTTAATATTTTTTCAAATAGTGTTTCATTTAACTGGATATGACAGTGAATAAATGTCAGATCAGGAAGTTGATCCAACAATGTATTACAAATGCTTCCACACTGATTTATCAAACTGTGAACGGTTATCATTATTTGGCTAATATTTGATATTTGAGCGTATGTTATCATTTGCAACTCAAATCATAGTTATAGATTTGGTCAAAAATGAGGATTTTTAGACATGTTAGCCAGCGTAGTGTAACAGAAATCTCACATCCATCAATTCAAACTAGGCCACATTCTGATTCCTTGTCCTGAGACATAACTGTGAGTTCTCCGCTGGCTGGCCCCAGCAGGACCATGTTTCTTTCCATGCCGCCCCTAATTATGAGCAGATTAAGACCACTGTAAGTTTCCTAATGCGCTTATAACTGAAAAACATAATGTAATCCCTCGCACTGGCTGGCAGTTTGAGTCCTCCGCTCACATGACTGTGTTTCCTATTTGAGTCCTTTTCTCTTTTAACCTCTTTGTCTTCCAACATTTGACTGAAGTGAGACTTGCCAGTCTCTGTTTTATTCTTGTTGGCCCAGTTTAAAGGAAGTGCACAGCTGCCGTCTCACTGTGTTTCAGCCTTTCTTGTGGATTCATTGGTTAGTCCTCTCTTTAACTCGAGATTACACCTGCTACAAAATTCCACTTTACCTCATTCGATTTGTATTTGATGTTAAAAAGAGAACAAGGAAATGATATTCACAAAGAGGAAAAATGAAATGGTATTATCTTTCAACTGAAAAATGATTGAGGCCTATGATCCAAAGCCTGTAATGCCTCTTATGTCCCATGAGTCACTGCAACTATATTCACAGCGCTGCATCTCTGTGATAATCCACACAGCAGTAATCCACCCGCCCACTCACAAACACACACACACACCCAAAGATGAGGACTTGGCATCATTATTGCATTTCATCACATAACACCAGGCAATGCTTCTGGGATTTATGACATCCATAGTCCGCTCAGTTTTTTGCATATTGTATATATAAAGAAAGGAAAATAAGCTAAAACTGGACAAAGTTAGAACTCCTGAAATCCTGTAGAATTCACTGACATAAGGTCTGTCAGACAGAAACATCATGTATGTTTGCATGCAGGGTTCATCACTGATTTTCACTGACATTTGTCCTCTTGTTATCTCTCTGCCTAACCAAAACTCTCTGATCAGTGTTTGAGGCGGTCTGCCCCCCCTCTGCACAGCGGTCATCCAAGCGCACGTGTACACGCTGCTGATGGCAAAGGGGCTGTTAGCATGCCTCTGTAACTGGCAGTTTTACAGGTTATAATGGCATTACTAAACACATGATCATCCTGTCATCAGGGCTGCTGGGAGGAGAGCAACACAAACACACACACGGGAGAAATAACAATAACACACTGACGTCAGGACCGAAATCTGTAGGGCTTTTTTTTTATAACGAGCTCTGTTACATCCATCTCTATAAGGTTGAAATTATTTTCAATTCCACTGTTGTAGTCTCATAGGTGCTGATTTGATTTGGATGTATCCAAACCTTTAAGTTTTGCCCTTTTCTCACTTTAATAATCTTTACTTTGTTGCATTTGTATCTTTCTCTAGTAAAGACAAGAAACACTTAATCACAGGCCAGTTCTATGCATTTAATTGAAAGTAAGCATTCATCGGTGCATTGCAGCCTACCTTTAAAGTTCTCTAAAGGGTGCAGTGGAGTTTCGCAGCCCAAGGAAGAACGTTTATGATTATTACTTCATGGAAATGCAATCAGACTGAGATGCTAAGGCAGAAGAACTACCGCGTCATCAGTGCAAAATGATTATTACGATGATTATAAGTTCACGGAAATGATCTTCTGCACTCAGTGATCGACTCGTCAGGGCTCCCCCACAAACAAGCAGGGGGTGTCTAACTCAGTGTTATGATGTGTTTGACCCTTAGTTAATTTTACACCGGAATATTCCTTTAAACACTTGAAACAAATATCTGGATTATTGACCAAATATTTTATGCTGTTCACTATTCGCTATTTGCTAACTTTGTCTGTCTGGTTGAGTGGATTTATCACAGCTTTGAGGTGAGGAGAGATGAGGCAAAGCAAGGTGAGGCAGCTGTAATTTTCTTGCACATTTCAAACAGAGACAACTCCCAAACGGATCATTACTGGTGGACAAAGAGAAGAATAAGGCTTTCAAAATTAATAATACATTAAAGCTCATGACTTAGGTGTGAATTTGCCGGTGTGGACCAACGTTAAGAAGTCTTTTGTCGTATTTTTGCCATCCATCATTATTATTCCTGTCAATAACAGAAACATAATTGAACTGTGACCAAAGCTGAATTGTATAAAAACATTATAAAGATGAGAAACATGCAGCCATCAATTAAATAAGATTTAAATGGTACCTGTTATTATCATTTGCACCTTTTATTTGGTGAGACACCTTTAAAGAAGCTGCGCATGACTCGCTCCTTATTTACTCCTCATCCCACCATGTGGCCAAATCAACCACTTGCGCAGTAGCATTGTATGCATTGGGCGGGAGAGTTGCCAAGAGTTGCTGTGATGACGCTAACCTCGTGTGAATGAATAGTATTTACTGGTTTTATTTGCGTGTCAAAGGTTATTTCAACAGTAATTCTTGCCAATTCGACTGGCAGGATCAAGTGATAGACAAAGGTTTTTACAATTTACCAGGTAATCTGACCTCCTCTTACTTTCCTCCAGGAGAGCTCCTTTTTATTCCGGTTGCGGTAATTAAAAGTAAAGGTATCATATATATAATTTGGGGTGCTCACACACCGACACAATCGATTTGTCCTCCATTTCAGATACCAGTGAACAACCGTCTGTTTTCATATGTCACCCAGCAACCTTTGTATTAATTGATTATCACAAGGGGAATATCTACTCAATTTGAGACATTTTCAGCTCCCGTCCCATTCGCGTCATTCGCGCCGCCATAGTAGTAGGAGCGACTAATCACGTCTTTTGATTTAACATGTAATTTAGTTATGCAAATGATTCTACTCGCGCTTGGTGTGTGGAGACAGTAAGAGTAACTACATGTCAACATCACAAGCAGGGGGGTGAAAGATTTATTTTCTGTGTAATTAATTTCTAAAGTTTATGAAAAACTCCTTTAAGATTGCTGAAGGTGGCGGGACTTGTGACCTATACTGCAGCCTGTCACCAGAGGGTGCTGTTCTCGTGGTGGCTTCACCCAGCGAGGAGGCAGATGGCGTCCATTCTATATCATTGCCATCATCATTTATATGAAGTAATAATCATCATAATAATCATTTTGCACTGAAGACGCAGTAGATCTTCTGCCTTAGCATCCCGGTCTGATTGCATTTCTTTGAAGTAATAATCATAAATGTTCTTCCTTGAGCTGTGAAACTCCGCTGCACTCGGTGATCGACTGTTGCGGTGTGTTTGACCATAACTTAAATTTACACCGCAATATCCCTTTAGAAAGAAGGATCAGTTATACAAAGTCTTCTTTAAATACTTGTCCAAAAATAATCACTAATGTCAAAAAGATCCATCTTAAAAACTCGTGACAGGTTACAGAAGGACTTCCATCAGCTCTGATCGATTCTCTTGTCATAATATTTTGAACACAGCGGACAGATTAATTACATAACCGGGCTAAACCATTAGTTTGTTCAAAGCCGCTCCAGCAATGAGTCTTTTTTTCTCAACAAAAAGGACTATTGCAAGAGAGAGGGTTATCACAACTGGTTCATATGTTGAGAAGTGTTTTGATAAAGCATGTACAGTATATATTATATGAAGACACACCAAACTTGACTTGACCAAACAGAAACCCCTTCAGATCGACTTTATCTGTGCTGATGTGCTCCAACTTTGCTTTGTCACGCCGTAGTGCATTATAAAACCGAAGCATAAAGCAGATCTTCTCCAACACAGACTTGAATGTGTTTGGATGAGTCCAGATGTTCCTCTTCCCTCTGCTTATGTAAATGTTAGAGGAGAGAGAGGAAGAGGAGATCCTCTGTTTGTGTCCTCTCACTGTGGATGAGCATCAGGATCATTTCTCTGGACACACAGTAGCCCACTGTAGCTGCAGCCACTCGACACTTGAGACCATCAGTGTTTGTGTTTGTGTGTGTTTGTGTTTGTGTGTGTGTGTGCATTAGAGAGAGAGAGTGAGAAGAAGAGAGGGGAGATGAGATAAGTGGAGTCTGCCGCAGGGTGGGGAATCAGATCAGAGGGTCTTTGTCTTGAGAACTGACATCTGATTGTTCCTATGGGACCAAGTGGCAACAGCATGAACACGCACTGTGTCCCCACCCATACTCACGCACACACATCTACACCCAACAGACACCCACAGATGGTAATGTGCTGACCTTGTGTGTTCTCTCTCTTTCAGGCTAATATTGGTCAGATGGACACAGCCAAGGACATGTGGAAGATGATCATGGGGAACTTGGCCCTCATCCAGGTAAAGGACACTCATCTGTAGAGGACAATGGAGCAGAGTCCTGTGTTATCAAGCAGCTCTTGTCCAGCAAATGAGGAAGAATCAGATTGGATCAGATAATCCCGATGTTTGCTCTTAAAGTCCTTCCCCAAAATACTCAATAACTATATAAGAGTTGGTTTAGTGCAAGTATGCAAAATAGCACCATTTTGGGAATCAGCCTCGAGACCTAATGTTTCGTTAAAGGCGGTTCTGTAAAACCGAGTCCCGTCATCGTGAGATGTGACCTTGGCATGAAGCAGTGGGAAAAGCATGGCTGCAAACTACCAGTATAAATTATCCAGCTTATTACCCAGTCTGAAGTCTAAAACAGCTTAGTAAGCTTGATTGGGTGGAGCAACGTGTACATGAATATGAATCGTCCATAGACTTTACTAATTAACACAATCTTGTCATGTAATATTTTTTCCTGTCTTGCAGTGAGGTCGCTTTGTTCCTGCATTGTCGAACTGTGTTTCTATTTGAAGTGTAGGCTACTCCTGCTAGATGGTAGGGATGGGTGATGAATTATCGTTCACGATATATCATCAGAAAATTCCTCCTTGATAAATATTTGCCATCTCATGAAAAACGCAATAAATGCAAGTTTATGATGTAAGTGTGAGTGACGGACTCACAGCCGTAGCCCACACAGAGCAGAAAAACAAACAAACATGGCCAAAGGTAATGTATTTGGTTTCCAAATACATTGACAGTTTAATTAGAAATATCCTCCATGTTTATATTAATAATTGTAATAAACGTTAGACTATAGCACCTTTAAAAACAAGAGTTTATAAAATATTTTAATACAATAGGAGAGAAAGAAATTTTAAGAAATCAGGATACAGGTCAAACTGAGGGTCAAATATCCTGTTTTCTTCTGATGCTATCAGTTATGTTTTTGCCACATGGTCAACAGGAGAGGATACACTCATAATCAGAATACTAAATATGCTCTAACTGTGGATTGATCCAATACATGTGATGAGTGGGATCCTGGTGTCTCTTTGGCCATTCAGATGAAATATTGATATGAGATTTGGACCAATCAGAGCACAGCCAGGTGATTGGCAAGAGAGGTGGATCATTATAACGTATGTATGTATGCTCGTTTTGGGAACAGAAGAGTAAAAAGGTATGAGAGACTCAGAAGTGGAGTTCATTGAGGTCAGATGGGACGAGAGACGGCGATAAGTCAATGTTAGGACTATTGCCCGACTCGTTATAAATCAAGGTTTGGTTGAACTTTAAGAATAAAGGCCAATGATAGGTTCATTAGATAACCAGTGGGGTAGAGAAGGGGAAAGACATGGAACTGCAGAGGGGCAGACAGAAGATACTGTATTTGGCATCAAACCGAGCCCTTTCTGTAGTCAAAATCACACAACTAAAGGCAATTTTTTTTTTAATTCAGGCACTAAAATATCATTTCCTCCAAGACTTTTATCCCACAAAAGGAAAAAAATTAAGATTAGGCTACATGACCAGCTCATCAGGATTTTTAACAGCAAACCAAGACTGAGATTTTTCTTGATGCAGTGACCCAGGAAACTCAGGTTTTCATTGACTTGACATTTGAGGAATTCAAGGACTGCTCAACTCGAGAACAATCTGGTGTCATAAGTGCTCTGTATTTACAGTAAACACTGCCAGCTTTATCTCACAGACCTAAAACCCTTAACAAGTCGCTTTAAACTCTAGTTAAAGCACCCTTTCACATAAATATTTCACCTGTCGTTTGATTACATCACACCTCTGGAATGATAAAGATGTAAGTTGTCGCACCTAAACAGGTGCAAAAACACCGATGAGTCAAGGAAGTGTGACACACTCTGAAAATAACTCGTACCAGGAGGCAAAGAGTTGGTGTGACATGAAATCACATGAGCAGGAAACTGCAGACACGCTTCACGTCTCTTAAATGAGCAGAGTGTAAGACAGTGAGTGAACACAAACAGTGTGTGTCCTGAATGAAAGTCAGCCTCGCCCCATCCATCAAACATGTACTTATTTAACTGCCTCGTCCACATCCTCTCCTGCCATCATTGACGCTGTTTCCTCCATTAAAATCCTGGTCTCTGTTTGATCCTTTGTCAGCAGCATTAAAGCTGGTTTGTGGTTATGTAATATTTGTTGAGCCTGTAGTTCCTGGAACACTTCAGACACGCTTCACGTCTCTTAAATGAGCAGAGTGTAAGACAGTGAGTGAACACAAACAGTGTGTGTCCTGAATGAAAGTCAGCCTCGCCCCATCCATCAAACATGTACTTATTTAACTGCCTCGTCCACATCCTCTCCTGCCATCATTGACGCTGTTTCCTCCATTAAAATCCTGGTCTCTGTTTGATCCTTTGTCAGCAGCATTAAGGCTGGTTTGTGGTTATGTAATATTTGTTGTCCGTGCACGTAGAAAGGTTTTCTTGTACTCATCACAAGTTAACTGATACCTGTTCCCAATCAGTAAGAGCCAGTGTCTGTGTGTATTTTCTGTCCAGGTCCAGGCCACAGTGGTGGGGTTCCTGGCCTCCATAGCTGCTGTGATCTTTGGCTGGATCCCAGAGGGACACTTCAGGATGGGCCACGCAGTCCTGCTCTGTGCCTCCAGCGTGGCCACGGCCTTCATCGCCTCTCTGCTGCTCGGTACGTCAGGTGTATTTACGGTTCAGAGTTAATTCATTCATTAACAAGTAAGATGGGGTCAAATTTGACTCCACTTCACTGTCAAATTTAACAGAGTGGTCAGTTATCAAGCTACACAAGAATAAATGGACTCTTCCGCACTAGCCTCATAAAATCTAATAATAAACCTGTAGCCACAAGCATACTGAATGATGACATTCTGCCACACGGTAGGCTTAAATGATGAATATAATTTGGTAAATGGAACAGATCCAACAGGACTAAGACTCTACAATGTTGTTAACTTAACAGAGGCGTGTCCAGACTTTTCTGATTAGTAGGAAACAACTGGGGCGCCAACAGTGTGTGAGCACACACACATATATACACATACACACATCTTCCCTGTCTTCTTGTAAAACTATCTCTTAAATATCATAAAAATGTAAAATTCTTGGACATAAATGTTTGATTTTAAAAACAGATTGGTGACATATATTCACCGGCCACTTTATTAGGTACACCATGCTAGTAACGGGTTGGACCCCCTTTTGCCTTCAGAACTGCCTCAATTCTTCGTGGCATAGATTCAACAAGGTGCTGGAAGCATTCCTCAGAGAGCTTGGTCCATATTGACATGATGGCATCACACAGTTGCCGCAGATTTGTCGGCTGCACATCCATGATGCGAATCTCCCGTTCCACCACATCCCAAAGATGCTCTATTGGATTGAGATCTGGTGACTGTGGAGGCCATTTGAGTACAGTGAACTCATTGTCATGTTCAAGAAACCAGTCTGAGATGATTCCAGCTTTATGACATGGCGCATTATCCTGCTGAAAGTAGCCATCAGAAGTTGGGTACATTGTGGTCATAAAGGGATGGACATGGTCAGCAACAATACTCAGGTAGGCTGTGGCGTTGCAACGATGCTCAATTGGTACCAAGGGGCCCAAAGAGTGCCAAGAAAATATTCCCCACACCATGACACCACCACCACCAGCCTGAACCGTTGATACAAGGCAGGATGGATCCATGCTTTCATGTTGTTGACGCCAAATTCTGACCCTACCATCCGAATGTCGCAGCAGAAATCGAGACTCATCAGACCAGGCAACGTTTTTCCAATCTTCTATTGTCCAATTTCGATGAGCTTGTGCAAATTGTAGCCTCAGTTTCCTGTTCTTAGCTGAAAGGAGTGGCACCCGGTGTGGTCTTCTGCTGCTGTAGCCCATCTGCCTCAAAGTTCGACGTACTGTGCGTTCAGAGATGCTCTTCTGCCTACCTTGGTTGTAACGGGTGGTTATTTGAGTCACTGTTGCCTTTCTATCAGCTCGAACCAGTCTGGCCATTCTCCTCTGACCTCTGGCATCAACAAGGCATTTCCGCCCACAGAACTGCCGCTCACTGGATATTTTTTCTTTTTCGGACCATTCTCTGTCAACCCTAGAGATGGTTGTGCGTGAAAATCCCAGTAGATCAGCAGTTTCTGAAATACTCAGACCAGCCCTTCTGGCACCAACAACCATGCCACGTTCAAAGTCATTAAGGACTGGCCTTTACCCATAAGAAAACTGTTATCCATGATCTCCAGGAGATTGTCTTGACCATGTCTACATGCCTAAATGCACTAAGTTGCCGCCATGTGATTGGCTGATTAGAAATTAAGTGTTAACGAGCAGTTGGACAGGTGTACCTAATAAAGTGGCCGGTGAGTGTATATGTAAATCTTTTATTTAAAGCTCCCTTAGGGATCTTTGGTGCCCTCTGTGGACAGCTCAGCACGGGCACTGTTAATTTGGATATGAAAAATCACACATTTAGTTTCAGATGGTCTCATTTGAAATGGAATATCACACCGAGGCAGTAGGATGGGTTTTCTCCAATTTCATTTTTCAAGTAAAAATTCCTCATAAGAGTTTTTAGACTGTAATAATGACAGGAGACTTCAACCATGTCACCCTCTCCTCTAACCTGACTTTGTTAACTGTACTACTCCAGAAAATTTTCCATGAGAACCTAGACAAATGATTTTTATATAAAATTCTTATATTGTATTGTACTGTAAAGCCCCAATAAGGAATTTTACTTTTTTATTTATTATGTCACCCCGTGTTGACAAAGTCATCTTTGCTTATGTTGTCCTCTATAAAATTAAGACGCAACTTGTGACAAAAAATGTGATTGTCCTGACTTTTGAGAGTCAAATGTATAATTCATGTGAACATGAAAAAAATGTTAACACAGGTCTCAGGCATTATGAATAACAGTCTTTAAATCATTAACATTGTCTCTGATGATATTGTTTGTTTTTAAACCATTAATATGAGTTTACGTTATTTCATTAAATGTCTAAAGTACTCCTCATGGGAGCTTTAAAAACAGATATTAGTGTTTAGTGCTATAACAGAAGAAAATGTGCTACATTTAAATTCAGGAAAGATACTGCCCGCCTGCTTACAGAGTATTAACTGCTGATAATAACAGAAGACTCGTCTGTGTCAGGGCAGATATACCGTTTAAGGGGTAGCACCTGGGGTTGCCAATATCAGATTCCAAGGGTTGGGTGTTCGGGGGCAGCGCTACCCCTGGACTCATCCCAGGCACTCAGATCCCATTCCACTGTCACTCAATGCTGAAGTCAGAATGCTAACATGCTCAGAGCGACAGCATCAACATGACTTTTGACAGTACATCTCATGACTTATCAGATATTTCAGTCTAGACCAAATAGGTGGACTAACAGACTTTTGAGACCGCGGTTGATGCTAAGATGGTTATCATGAGTTTTATTAGTTTTTAAGCTTTTAATGGTCTTGGTCCTTCTTATTTATCTGATTTGCTTTTACCCATAAGAAAACTGTTACCCATGATCTCCAGTGATTTCTCTCTTGATACTTTCACAATCAGATACCCTTAGCCTCTCTTGTTTGGCAGTCTCCAATCAAAGCTGCTGGCTTTGTTTTCACAGTTTACAACCTCCCTGACAACAACTAAGAAGTCCAAATCTTTCAGGGTTAGGATCTGTGGGTTTTTGTTTTTTCTCTTTGGTCCATTTTGAAGTTAAATATTGTAAAGACTCCTGCCAAAAGTCTCAGTGATACATAATAATAGTGAAAATCACAGTACAGTATCCTCAGATGTTTGTATTACCTAATATTGTTTACCCCACAGGGCTCATCATGATCGGAGTGATTATAGCAGCCAGAAAAGTGGGCATCAACCCGGACAACGTGGCCACACCCATCGCTGCTAGTCTGGGAGACCTGATCACCCTGTCCCTGCTGGCCGGCGTCTCTACAGGACTGTATAAGGAACTCGGTAATAAACACACACATATTCACAAGCTCTCTGAACAAAAGTGACACTTTAGAGTTTCAGCCTTCATCACTCAGCTGCATCCACCTACAACCTCTAATGCTGACTTTAACTCTCTGCATTTGTGATGCAACTACAAAAACCATGATTATCTTTTAGGATGATTTCACAGAAAGGATTAAGTTATGTTGAAACAGGATGTAGTAAAAAAAGAATTACAGACGCCCACACCAAACCTTGCTAAGCCTGAAGGCACATTTATTCGGTTTCTATCGTTAGCTCTGTGATAGTGACCACAGACAGACAGACAGACAGACAGACAAACACTGACTCACACAGGAGCTATGAAACCCTCCTGACCAAACTGTGGACCAATCCAACCTTTGTCTTGGCCCAAGAGTTTATAAACTTTTCAGTCTGACTTCACTTAAATACCACAGGCCAGGATTATATAAAGCGTTGAGGGGCTATTTTTGCTCAAATGAACAAAAACAAAGCTGGTGTCTGGGTTTTGTGTACAAATGTGGTCCATCTACTTGAATGTGGTTGTCGTAGTTTCTTGTAGTTTCAATCCAGTAGCAATGCTGCCTCCTAGAGACAGCACTGACTTACTTTCAGTCACGACACAGAACCGTCAGTCGACCTCACCTTATTCTCCTGCGGTTGATGCTAAGATGGTTATCATGAGTTTTATTAGTTGTTAAGCTTTTAATGGTCTTGGTCCTTCTTATTTATCTGATTTGCTTTTACCATATGAGCCTAGTTGAGCCCTTAGGTCTGCAGGTGGTGGTCTTTTAATTGTCCCCAAAGTAAGAAATGAAAACCTACTGTGAATCATCATTTCAACATTTCGGCCCCCATCTGTGGAACAGCCTACCTGCAGATCGAGAGCAACACCTACTGCTCATATTTTTAAAAACAAACTAAAGATATACTTTTTTAGTCTGGCTATTTGTTGAATCTTTTAATATGCATTATGTGGGTTCTGTATTTAGATTTTTACTTATTTAATTTGATATTATTTAATTGTTTTTATTATCCTGCTTGGACGGACAGCACTTTGTGCTACATTCTATGTATGAAAAGTGCTGTATAATTCAAGTTTGATTGATTGAATAATACAAACAGTTTTTCATCAGGATTTAACACTTTTGTCCAAAGCAAGTTAATCCCAAATTAATCACACATTTCTTAGCTCTTCTTTAAGCTCCTAAAAGTATAGTCTGCAAGTTTTTAACACTTTAATCAGTGAAAGATTTTAACAGTTAGCTTGCTTTATATTGATTGTATTTGTCTATTTTGCAACAGTCCAAAAAAAGGATAAATACTGTCCAGAAAGTTCCTCAGAAAAACCAAAAATATGAGTAGATCATAATCTGGCAAAGTCAAGCCCAGATAAGCACACTGACTGCTTACAGCTTTGAGGTTTTTCTGAAGAACTTTCTGGACAGTATTTATCCTTTTTTTTGGACCGACCCAAGTGTAGTAATGTTACCACGAACACCAGCAAAGAATAACTATGAATGGACTTCATTCAAGATCCTTCCCTAGACTGTGCATAACTTCACATACCAAGTATTCACATACCAAATACGAAGCATTAAACCCTGAGATGGAGTGGTTCTATGGGAACTTTGACATGGATTAAGTTTTACATTCTCCATAAATGCAGATTTTTGTGTTGATCCACTTTCTTTTCCTCTCACACAGAGTACAACGACTACGCCAACCCACTTGTGTGTGCGGTGTTTGTGGCCATGTGCCCCCTCTGGGTGCTCATAGCCAGGAGGATCCCATCCACCAGAGAGCTCCTCTACTCTGGCTGGGAGCCAGTCATCATCGCCATGGCGATTAGCAGGTAGATTACACAGAGACTGACTGATGATTACTGTAGTTACAGTGAAGTTGGTTACATCACAAAACAGTTATTCAAAGTGATCCGATTATGAAAAAATATAGACAAACCAAAATTGACAAAAGGGTAAAGGTGGTGAAACAAGTATTCAGATCATTCAGAGGATTTGATTCATGTTTCTGTCCTTTGAAACCATAAAAGAAAAAAAAAAGAAGAAAAAAATTTAAAAACATTTAAAAATCTTAAAAAACTTTAAAAACATTTAAAAACTATATAGAAACAGTTAAAAGCACAGTTTACTCACCTTCTATTTTCCTTTTTTCATCGTTTTGAGAAAACAATCAAGTTTTTCTTTTAAGAAAGTTAGAATTACAGTTAAATTTCCCTTTATTTCAAAGATAAGTTTCCTTTCTTGAAAAAAATCAGTATTTTACTTTATTTTATATAAACAAATTAATACTTACTTTACCATAGCCACTCCAATATAGAAAAAAAAAAAAAGATTAATACACAAGCTCAGAAATACAGTCCTGTAATCCCCTCTGGATTAGTTGTGATTCTCAGATAATCCAATGAGGTTTAGAATAGTTAATTTAGCCCAAGAAGAAGAGGAGGATTTTGGTCTTTACCAACAGAGGAACTTTTAATCCCTTAGTCTATCTGAGAAAAAGCACAGTCACCAGTGAAGTTAGGCTCAGGGTTCGGACTAATAAACCAGAGTCAAATATTTATCTTCAATGGTGTCAACATGCTTCTCTGTCTTTCAGTGTCGGCGGTTTGATTCTTGACAAGACCGTCACCAACCCAAACTTTGCTGGCATGGCCGTCTTCACCCCAGTCATCAACGGTGAGGAGTCCTCAAACACTTTCAAGTCTACAAACTTGTTTCCTGAGATCTGAACCAAGTTTGGCTGTAAAGCTGAGCACTTTACTTCTTAAACTAGTTAGTTTCGAACCTCTTTGTCTGAAGTCTGCTCTCTGATACTGTAGAAAGAAATGACACAAGTCTCCGTTTTGCTCTTTTGGTTCTAGTCTGATTTTGTGTGTGTGTTTGTGTTCGTCACATAGGTGTTGGGGGTAACCTCGTAGCAGTTCAGGCCAGCAGAATCTCCACCTACCTGCACATGAACGGTCTACCCATGGGGGATCCAAACCCCGCCCCTAGAAAGTGCCCCACACCCTGCACCTCTTTCTTCGGCTCCTGTAAGTGGAAGTTTGATCTCTGTTGCTCTCTGGTATTTTCTTCACCAAAGTGAATCTCTAAAACAGCCTCTCTTTGTCCTGCAGCTGTGAACTCTCGCTCTGCCAGAGTACTCTTCCTCCTGGTTGCCCCGGGTCACCTTGTTTTCCTCTACACCATCAACTCCCTAAGGGGGGGTCACACCACCCTGACACCCATCTTCATTACCTTCTACCTAGCTGCTGCACTGCTACAAGTAAGCACTCTTCACTTGTCTCCTGGGGTTTAGTGGGGAAGGGTAACTGAAAACAAACCGTTATAGAAGCACAAACAGAGCAAACTTTTCAACAATATCATCCATCGAATCAAATCCTCGAACATTAAAGAAGAGAAAAATTATCAGCTGACTTCAGAACAAATATAGCAGGTAACAGAAACATTTCTGGAAACGAAGTGGTGTCAAAAGTTTGATATTTGTTTCTCTAATGGAGTGAAAAAAAGTTTCCCCAAAAAGTAACTCAAGTGAGGCACAGTCTACCACTTACACAGTCCAGTACGGTACATTATGGTACATTACAGTATGGTTTAGACCGTACTGACCGACCGTAACAAGTACAAGGCAAGCGCTAAAATAAGTTTCGTAGCTGTAGCCATCTTGTTTCGGCCTCCGATTTTTCTTCTTTCTGACTTGGAAACTGAAACGCTGCTAACTCGGGTGTGACGTCATCTTCAGCTCCGACATCTGACTTCTGAGGTAACTCGAACGCAGCAATAGAACAGAAAAACATTTCATTCATTTTTATTTAAAAACAACTTTTCAACAAGTCTTAAGTCTATGGATTGTGAGGGGGGACTCCATTGCGTTTCGCTTGAACGTCATCAACACAAGCTTCACTACGCGCTTCGCCGAAATCTTCTGGGATTACTCGACACACGCTCTGAAGCCTCGGCACGAAAGGACACATCACTAGTCACCTGGTAGCGAGTCTACAGCTACTGTCATCGCTTACTCTGCAGATTCAGTTCGCCGACATGTTTGCTGCCCTTGCCAGGGAGCTACATCAGGCCTCTTGCTCGTTTGCCTTGAAAGTCAGGGAGTTTTACCCAAGTCATCAAAGGAGTTCAATTTAAGTGTTTCTTGTGAAGAGAATATATTCAGTCCCACCTCAATGCAAACAGAACCAGAATTTCAGTGGCAGGTGTTGTGGTGATCACAAGCTTTGTTTTATACTCAACAATCACTTCCCTTCTGCTCCGTCTTCCTCCAGGTGATAATCCTTCTCTACTTGGCAGACTGGATGGTCCACTGGATGTGGGGTCGAGGCATGGACCCCGACAACTTCTCCATCCCCTACCTGACCGCTCTTGGTGACCTGCTCGGGACCGGCTTCCTCGCCCTCTGCTTCCACATGCGCTGGTTCATCGGGGACAGAGACTCTAACGTGGGCAACTGAAAGCACGCACGCACGGTGACAAAGAGCGACACTCTTCTCACTTACGCACGCAGATGGTGTGCACGTCATCTCGACGTATGAGTGTCATTTGAAAGTCGACCTCCTCTGCAACAAAGGGCTAATCTCCTGCGGGGCTCTGATTGAAGGTACATTTCAGCCCTGTAGTGATTTATCTGCAGCACATCAGGATCCTGACGCCCCTGAACAGCCGTCCAGAGTGTCCGAGTTTCACTCAGCAGAGACACTTAAATACCACTCAGCTTGATGAATCCAGCCCCACAGATCACACTACTCCTCCTCCTCCTCCTCTACTTAATAACTCCGTTCTGTTGCTCTACTTTTGACAATGATTGTTATTGTTGGCAGGTGATATGAGTTGATATCTGTTGTACGTGCAGGGCCGGTCCTCATTATTTTCAATGGGGAAATGAGCTCCCTGGTTTTTAAAGAAATACATTTTAACACTTGAAACCAAGATGACAAAGTCAGCAAAAAATAAACCCAAACAAGCCTCCAATGCTTAATCACCAAGTGCTTTTTCCTCGACTAAAAATGATTAAATCAGATTTGTCCTCTTTCTGATCTAGTTGAATGCATAGGGCTAGCTGTCTCTCTCTCGTTTGTTTCTTTTTTGACGTTGACTGTGTGGGAGTTTGACCACAGCAGAGGCTCATCCACTGATGTACAAAAAAAATTGTATCTGAACTGTAATTTCTGAACTAATTTCTTGTGTAGTCTGTTTCCAATATGTGAATTTGGGATATCCAATCCGAGGTAAAATCAAAATCAACCCAGTGTAACATCCAAAAAAGTCACCCTCTACAAAAAACGGTTGAACCTGTGACCTTAAACAGCCACGTTTATTAGAAAGATAGTGTGTCAAATCACACAGAAGCCCGTATTCAAGTCCCCAAACATCCCGAAAGTCCATCGAAAAGTTGAACAACTTTAAATCTACTCCTCATGTAATTAAATCCACAGAAACAGCTGGATGTAAAACATTAATTAGTGTGACCATGTGTCCTCTTGTAACCGGACATGTCCTCTTTTATGGGGGGCTGTCCGGCGTTGTCCAGGGTAGTTTATAAAATCTTTCAAATGTTCAGGTTTTTGTATAAAAGTTTTGACTTCGTGTCGTTTGAACTTACTGAGTTAGAAGCACGTAAAAAACACTCGATCCGACCCAAAAACCTCAAAATTCACTACGCACGACTCCATGACTCCATGACTCCGCCCTCGCGTAGTCATGTCCGCTTTTTGGGGATTCAGAATATGGATATATGGATGTTTCCCTGCTCCAACACACCTGATTCTCGTTAGAGCTCGTTATCAAGCTCTGGAAAACGAGCTGATCATTTGAATCAGGTGTGTTGGAGCAGGGAAACATCCAAAACATGCAGGACAGTGGACCTCGAGGACTGGACTTGAGAACCACTGATGTAAAGTAAGGTTAGACTGTGTCATCATGACATGCTTCACCTCAAACCTCAATATGCATCCTCTGTGGGATGGCGGTCTCATTGGCTGTTTTCATTCTTCTTAAAAGCATCGGTCCCCGTGCCTGAAACCACCTGCTGACTTCACTGAAGCAGGTTCATTGACGTTGTTGTTATGTTGCCCAAGCCAGGCTTACAGTAAGTGACAAGAGGCTCAACATGTTGCAATACACTGGAAACCACCTGCAGAGCTCAGCTAACTGAGCATCATTGCGCTCCCACATGGTACAGAGGGATGGGCTCAGCTCGCTCAGGTCTGATGCGAGGTGAGAGACGGTGGTTGATGTTTGGTGTGGATGTCCTTCATAGATGAAGTCGAAGCGGTGAATCTGAAATACAAGTGAGCAAAGCTGTTGGAGGATATCTTACAGCTAAATAACAGCGGTTTCTGGATGTCATGGCGAACTCTCCCAGTGTGTCAGAGCTGTTACCACTTTGCACTACATTGCCCTACTCCAAACCCTTAGTCAAAAAGAAGCTAATTAGCGGTGCCTTGAAATCCCTCTTTGTCAGAGGCTAGGTTGTAAGAACCTTTTCCAGCTAAATGCATGTTTCTTGGTTGTTAGCATGTGATCAGCTCAGATTAAGGTGACCAGACATCCCTGATTTCATATTGGATGCCCTGTCCCCGGCTAAAACTGTCCCCGTTAATGTCCCAGATTTAAGTGTTTCATGAAGGAGAACAAAAATGTTGCCTGTAGACTAGAACAACGGTTATTACGGTAGTCGAGTAGTTAGTAAGTACGAGTAAGCATGTCCTGAAGAACAGTTTTTAAGGAGGGTTATTACGGGGGCCGTGCGCTGCTACTAAGTAGTACCAAGATGTTGTCTTTGATAGCGCAGCCGATGCCCTCCCCACACCCAACCCCGCTCTTCAGAAATAGAGGGCCTGAAATCACATTTTTACCCCCCACACCCTGGATGTCCCTGGATTTTATTACAGAAATCTGGTCACCTTGGCTCAGATATTTGAGTCATCCTTTTGTTGCACAAAATCAGAGAATCAGTTCAAAACTATCTGAAACGTGCTGACTGAAAACAAGGTTAGGGTTAGCCACATTAGCAGAGTTGCTTAATTTAGCACACAACAGCTCTTGTTCCTCTTGTCACTAATAAGAACTTATTTCTTTCCCTAATAACCTCAACGTTTCGCAGAGCCCCCAGAGTTACAAAAAAGTTTTTCTTGTGCACACAAAAAGATTAGATTGTTGCACACAGGGTGATTGACTCGTCCCCACGAGAAAATAATTCCTGCACATCATATAATTACTTTGCAAGAACAAGTCATGATCTTGTGGGAATCATATAAACACTTACACCCACATAATTATAGCTAATCTGGTGTACCATAACATAATTTACTTTGAGCCACAAGATAACGATTTATGCTTGAAGCTTGTAAAATAATCTAATTGTTCCCACAAGTAAAACAAATTTGTGCACTCAATATAATAATGACTAATCTTGTATGCACAAGGTAGTTAACGTGTTCCCACAAGACAACCTGTGCACATGTAATCAAAGCTCGAATTGCATTGTGTAATTAAAACTTAATCCCACTGGGTGGCGTGATTGTGCGCACTGTTCCCACCTGAGTGCTCAAGAAAATCATTTTTTTTTAATGAAAACTTGACTGTTCTTGCAAGATAATTAACTTTTTCCAGCAAGATAAAGACTCATGCTCTCAATAACAGCCTGCACTCACAAAGTGTTCACACAAGAGCAATATGGCAGCACATTTTTAGTTTTTTTTGTTTTGTGCACACAATAATTAAAATGAAACTTTTTTGGACTTCAGGGACTCCGTACTGTTTGGGTGGCAACATGAGCTTTTGTATTTGAATGTTTTACCAGGTCACGCTAAACTAAGGGTGAAAATCAGAGACACAGAGATTAAACTCGTACCCCCGTCCACTTTCACTCAAGCTGTTTATCCCCCATCTACAAGACTAGGCTGACCAGAGATGACTGCAGGAGTTATCAAAGGCGGTTGTGAGCCATCCTGACAGGCTTTACCCTGTCTTATAGAGTACAGTACAGGTGTTGGCCCTGAGCAGAGATCAGGGACTTTTGGGGAAACCTGCATGTGATGTTGGTCAGATTTCTGTGCTGCTTTGAAGGGGCCAGCAGAATGCATGTGCAGGACACATCGTGTGAATGTGCAAAAACTTGATTCTTTTACCTGTTTAAATCTCCTTTTTTTTCCCCCCTTTTTTTTTTAAATGAATCAATTCTGTGAAAATTGTGATTTTTTTTTTTTGCCTTCTGTGATTCCTTACATTTCATTTCTAATCCTGTCAACTCTCTCTGCCTGCTGTGTCACTGAACGCAGCAAAGAACTCATAACTGTAAAGATGGAGGACTTCTCCTCGCTGGTCAAATGCACAAAGTACTGTAATCTGTAAACTGGACACCAGAGGGCACCACAGGGACTCTCTTGACTCCTCTGCCTCCTCTGGATTCAAACACACTTTCACCCGGGTGGACAGTTATTTTGTTTTCTTCTCTACAGCTTTGCCTTTAAGGTCATCCTTCCTCCTCCTCCTCCTCCTCCTTCTTTTCTGTCTGTATCCTCCTGTGCCAGCATTCTGCCTCTGTGTCAGTGGATAGTTGTGAATACTTCTATAAGGAGGCACGTAATGCTTTGTCTATTTATTTTTATAAGCACACAAAGCAAATTGTACATACTATATTTATTCTTTAAATAAGGTTGTTTATTTTGTCATTTCATTTTTGCTCTCTCTTTCTTTGCCGCCACGTTGTGTCATTTTTCCTCATCTCTCCTGTGTTGATTTTTCCGTCTGCAAATGCTAGAAGAGCTTTTTGACGCCCGCCACCCTGAAACGGTGGGGAGGCTAACACATAGTACAGTGCCTAACAACAGTCTTTACACACCTCACACATATGCACGCACACGTGTCTCACACAGGGAAAGCAAACTTTAAAAAAAAATAAATTAAAAAAAAAAAAAAAACATAGAATGGCCTTAACCTATCAGAGCCAAGCTCACCTCAGAGTAACCAATCAGGAGTTAGGTTTGCCACAGAGTAGCAACTCTTTAAGTAGCTTTGATTAATAAAAGATGTACAGTGAATTGATTCTAATATGTAAGTAATAATGAATTTATATGATGCAGCAGGGGGAGAAGGGCTGATGTCAGTAACAAGAATCTGCAAAATGAGGATTTAGAGGCTGAAATACCTCAGTGCTCTGTTTTGCAGGGCATTTACAAAGTCTGGGGTCAAACATGTCAGAATTTGGACAACGGACAAAAAAACAATAAAAAAAACTTAAAGATTTCATTCACTTCCTCAGCCTTTAAGATCCCTCACACCTTCTGCCTTGTTAACCTCAGTGCTTCAAACTCTAAAACCCTGAACCCAAAGGGAACCACACTGATCCTCACCAGCTCCCACATCAACCGTGATTCAGACTCCAAACTTTCACCTGTCCCAGTCAGCTCTGCTGCCTCTGAGAAACTGATGTCAAAAAACATGTACAACTGGAGCTGAGGCGTGTGCGTTCTCTGTGTTCATCTTGTAAAAGCCCTCTTTCTGTACGGCCTTCTCCCTGCAGGACTTTGTAAATCGCTGGAAATAAAGAATTATATTATTTCATACCAGTCCTCTGTCCAACTGTCTTTTGTCAGCCTGTTATGAACGAAGAGAATTTTGCTTTGTGTGCGGTGAAGATGATGTTGGTCCAAAGCAGGAGACCAGGCTCAACCAACTTTGCCCTCAACTTTTACTTTAAATCACCCACTAACACTGCTTCATCATATCATCCTTTTTTAAAGTGAAAAAATAATATAATTCTGTTTTCAAACAAATGGGGTGCTGTTTAATTGTTTAAAAACTTATCATGGTGGTTTGCACCTAAGTTTAATAAGAAAACAGGCAAAACAATTAAAAACTTTTAGTAAAAAAATGAATTGTATTGTGAGAAATGTTTGCTCATTTCTAACTCAATGCCAGCAACACTTAGCAAAAAAGGTTGGGACAAGGACAACTTAATGTGGTGACAAATTAAGTAAAAATATGACATTCTTTGTGGAAATCAGGGACACTGTCTTGGTGTAGAGAGAAGGGAGCACCAATTTTGTCATCAGCTATAGTTCAACAGCCAGCAACCAGTATGAAGAGGGATGCAGAAGTGTCCGTGCAGTGGGTAACTTCCACATTTGTGCTGAATGATATGCACACAATATTACTGCCATCCGAACAATGACTTTTTCAGGGGAAACCAACGCAAAACTGTACTCATGCTAGAGTCCAACTCTTCTAAAAACATGTTTGTGGCACCAGTTGAAGATAAGCACAAGTTCAAATTTTTGAGAAACTTTTTTTGCTATTTTTTAAAAATAAATATTGGCATTGAATTTGCAAACTACCAGACTTGGTTGCGCTCCAATGACACAACTGCTTCTAAAAACTTTGATTAAAGGGACATTCCGGCATAAATTAAAGTTCGGGTCGAACACACCGTATCACCGAGTTAGACACCCCCTCCAGAGATGAATGTTGGCGACTGCTTGCTTCTCTAGTTATACCAACTTCAGTAACGACCGCACGATAGCAAAACACAGAAGTCTACGTCCCCACATGCAAACATCAAAACAAACATCTTTTTTACTTTGCCTGATTTCTTTAGTAAAGAGACAAAACACAACTCACCCACTCTCCTCCAGCAGCCGTTTGTTTGTTAGGGAACCCTGATGAGTCGATCATGAGCTGTGTTGAAGTTGTGTGAGAAGCAAGCAGTCGGCAGCATTCATCTCTCGAGGGGGTGTCTAACTCTGTGTTACAGTGTGTTTGACTCTTACTTAATTTTATGCCAGAATATCCCTTTAAAGGCAGTCTCCTAATCAACTCTGACACAGTAGATTTAAAAAACTTAATGACCAAAGTTAAATAGATACAAAATAAGAGACCATTAGGATTCTTAAAAAGTAAATAGTTATTTTTTTAAATACATAAAGTCATTTTCAAAGTCCAGCGAGCTAAAATAAGAAATTTACAGAGGTGCAAAAAGCCACAAATAAAAAAAGAGTAAAAAAAAAATCAGTTGAAATAAGTGCTGCAGTTGTAGCATATTTAACAGGAGATGAGCAGAGGGTTGACACCACTGCTTTGACAGCCTGAAGATGGAGCCAGTAGTTTCTCCCCAGTGTCTCCTGCTTCAGACTCTGCCCCATTTCCAAAGAGATCCCTTGAGGACAGCTGCAGACAGAGAGCGTCAGCTACCTGCAGGACCTGGGATGGACCTAGATGGAAAGATAGTGAGCTACACACACAACACTAAAACATGAAGACCAAGATCCAAAAGAAAGATTTAGGAGAAACATACCATCTCCACTCCTGCTGCACACATCCAAAGTGTCCATCACAATCTTTTCCAGGGCTCTGCGGGACACGTTCTGGAGGAGAAAGATAAGAGAAAAAAAAAGCAGAATTTAAATATTATCAAAAACAGATGGTGACTTGTTAGATAACTGCACTTATAAGTAAAGTTTATAAAGAAGTGGATGTAATGCTCTACCTTCCTCCTGTCTGTCAGTTTTCTTTTCCATCAATATCACAATTATACATTATACATACATATACAAACTGCCTAAATAAAAAGATAAATAGATGAATAAATATAGTACACATCGCTGTTTTTGCTCAGGCCGTCATGTGACCCATGATATCAAATACTCAATACAGCCATCAACAATTCTTGAAGAGCTCTACATGTATGGCAAAGGTAAACAATAATGTGTGTTTTGTATGAACCTTGTTGCGTAGCTGCAGCAGCAGTGTGAGTGCATCTGCCAGTTTATCCTCCAGTAAAGACAGACGAGTCTTTTCTTTCTCCTCCTCCTGCGGTCTTGTTTTCTCCTCCTCTTCTTTGGGCTTCTAGCGAAGAAAAAAGTACAAATGAATCCATGAAAAGCTCCAAATAACACCTAGAACACCTGAAATGAATGTGCTTCAGCTTTTAATCCAATGTGGTTGAATTTTTTTTTATTAAATTAGGCATCATCCTCTCTTTCGCTCACCTTTTCTTTTACAGAGCATCTCCTCTGCAACTGCTCTTGGCTGAGTCCTGAATTCCATGTATGGCGCCCCCTGCTGTCCTTTAAAGTGCTGATGAGGTTTCTGTCAGGACTGCTAGACAGGGAGGGATGTTGATGGACCACACTGCTCTTACACCTTGACAGAAAAAAGATGTCACCTCTAAAACTGAAAAACATGCACACGTTTGTTTGAGCGCGCTGGATGGCGGCGGCTCACCTTTTGGCACAGTCGTGTTGTTGGCTGATGAGCTTCTTCATTTCTGGTGGGCTGAAGTGGACTTCTTTAGTCATCCCTCTATCCTCCTCCTCTTCATCAGAGGCAGCTCTGCCCTCCACTGCTCTCTGAAGACACTCTGCATCTGCACAATGACAGAAAGTTCCTTTATTTGTATCGGTGGTCCACAAAGTGGGTCAGACCAGAGTCAAAAATGACCCCTTAGTTGCAGACCTCTTTACAATTGCTATACAGGACATCCAGACAAATTATCTGTGTAGCTAGAACTGCAGGCAGAGAGGATAATGACAGTGACTTCAGATACAGAAAGTTTTGGACATCCAATTCTTCTATGGTGCAAAAAACATCTGCAGTACCAGGCTTTGACAGGATGTAACACTTAGTGCCTGATCTACTAAGATCCCAAATAGCGAACACTAAATTGCATGTGCAAACTAAAAAATTGCATGCCCTATTAGTGGGCGTGTTGAGGGTGAGCCACTATCATTGCATGCGCAATTGATCACAGGTGCAAAAGTGGTGCGGACCACCCTCTTTATACGAGGATATTGCATGTGCTATCAGCTGTTACCATGGCGACTTTATGAGGGTTAAGTGATCGTAGATGGAAAAGTAAAGTTCAAAGCTATGTCGTTGCACATATTGTTTTGGGGAACTGCATAAAAGCTGAGCAGGGCAGGTTTATTTATATAACACCATTTATACACAAGGCAATTCAAAGTGCTTTAAAGATGCAAGAAGATATACAACAAATCAACAAAGGATTAAAATCAATAAGACAAACAGTATTTTTTTTTGTCTGTTCCGTGTTTGACCTCATTATTTATGAAAACCGTCATTTCCCAGAAAAACAAAATAAATCACGAGCTTCAAGACAAGGAGCTCTGCAGCACTCAGTTCAAGTCTCCAAAATTCGACAGTCACCAAGACCTGCTGTGTTTTCTGTTATTTACTGCGTCCCAAATGCGTGGGAACTGGATATACTTGCCCACTCTGCGTGACATAGCATTCAACACTTTCAACACAGCACACCAGAAAAACTATTCTGTAAGACGCACTATCTGTGATGCAGTGTTACAAGGAGTTTTTCCAAAGGAGATATGGCATGGATCATTTTTGTCACCCAGCATTACTATGACCACTACTCCACTATTTTTTATCTCTGACAGTCTAAATATGTTGACACACGCAGGAAAGTCTCTCTCTCTACGTCGTCTATCATTGCACTTCTGCCTCCTTCTCCCCACAATGACCGTGCATAACACTGTGCCAGTTTGCACCTGCCTTTCAAACGTGCTAAATATAGACGCAAAAACAGCGACCATAATCGATTTCCAGGTTTGATAAATCACATTGCGGGTGCTAAATGACTCCATTTGCATCTGCTCCTCACAGAGCTTTACGTGTTCGGATGATCTACAAACAATCTGCATATTCATGAAGGCAAACACGCTAAATGGATTGCACGTGCTGTTTTGCTCATTTGACAGTTTACAAGTGTTTTTGTACATGCAAACCTTTAGTAGATCAGACCCTTAGAGTCCAATTCTACTGTATGTAGGATTCACTCCAGGGAGTAAGCATGTAAATGTTGAATAAGAGGAGACCCCAAAATAGACTGTCTTACTAGAATCAGTGAGACACATCAGATTGTCTGTAAAAAAAGGAAACGTGGAAAAGCACAGCTGATATAAAACTGACTCTTACGCCCCAACTGCTCAGTGCAAATCTCTCCTCTGTCACTCACCTGTCTTGCCATGGGTGTCTTCTCCTCCCATCAGGCTGCTCTGTTGATGGGCGGGGTTGGGGATGCAGGTGCAGCAGGAACTGGGGGTGGAAAAGCCACAGGAAAATATACCTCTTATAAAGCCAAATTTATGGTTTAAAGAGCCTAACACTAAAGAAGCTTGTGTACTAAAAGTCAGTGAGAGCTGCGAGATTGAGACACTTAATTTTCTTTGCTATTAAACAAAACACTCAGCTGTGACATGTTTAATAGACGAGGATTCATCACCATACATAGTTGAAGATACTAAAATACTACGACTGTTTATAAAAGGCCATCAGAGCAGGTTTGAACCAGCCCCTAAAGCACTGGATCATGTTCCAATGGGAGGTTGGAGAAAGAGTCTTTGTTTAGTGTCAGTACAGTAGTGTTTACTGAAAATTAACCTAGTCTACTTTTCTCAGCACTGACACAGAGCGAGGCTTCTGGGTTACTAAGTCTCTCGGCTTAAACGCATTGAATTTCAAATCAGCGGAGCTTAGAGGCAAATGATGTGTAAATGGATGCGTAAACATGCCCGGGCACCCGCTTTGGACCACACACACACACACACACACACACACACACACACACACACACACACACACACACACACACACACACACACACACACACACACTCTCTTTGCACCTGTACTGGTGTAGTTCAGTCTCCAGCTGGGTGATCCGAGACTGAAGCTGCGGCACTGACTGAGCCTGCTCCTGGATCGTCCGAACCCTCTGGAGCCCCAAGCTCAGGGCCTCCCTGGCCTCCTCAGCTCGCCGCCTGATGGGAGTTATCCAATATTATTATACTAGTCTTTTCATATTCAGCCATTGTTCCCACAAAACATCAAGTAACTCCTCTAACCTGATGTGAGTGTTCTCCTTCCTCAGTGCTGACTCCACCCCCTGAAGTTTACGTACTTCCTGGTACGCCCATCGCAGCTCCTCTTCCAGACGCTCATTAAATTTGATGGCCTCCTCAAGCTGCCCGTCCCGTGAGGAGCGGATCAGTCTCAGCTCCCTCAGGAGGGGGTCCCTGATGTCTCGTCTTCTGCCCAGTCTCCTTCCCCCCTCTAGTCCTCCAACACTGCCCTGCCCTTTGATTCTGAGTGTTGGGACCAGTTTTCCATCTTTAAGAGTGATAGAGGTTGTAGGAGATGAAGCTGAGGTTTTACGCCTGGACGGTGAAGGGAGTCTGCGGCTCCTCTCTCGTCTGAGGGCCACCTCTAAGGCCAAGCAGCGAGCGTCACTCCCTTGCAGGGCAGAGCGGAGGTCTTCCACCAGCTCCCTTAGGGCCGCGGCTTCATCTGGAAAAGAAAATGAGCGGAGTAGACAAGAGGACACATGGTCAGGTTTGGTGTGAGGGTTGTTCATTTAGCTTTAACTCAAGCTCAAGTCTGCCACATACTCTAACCCCAGACTGCAACCATTTGGTAGATACCATCACCGCCTTCTCCTCCTCATATTTCCTCTCTCTCTTTGGAAGACACCAACTGACCAAAAGTGAAAACCAGTCACTGGATATTTGTGTTTTTTTCTTCATTTATTTTCAGTCTAAATATTAGTGTGTCTCTGTGACATCTGCAACTGTGACTAGTAGCAGACTGTTCTCTTACAGGAAAACTGTCCAATCCTCTCCACCGGCAGGCAAAGGCAAAGCCATCAGTGTGCCTGAATATGCTTGGAGCAAGCTAGAACTTACACTGCACTGTCCATTATCAGTGTACGAGGAGGTGTGTTATTGGGGAAATCGGAGGGACTGCAAGGACAGAAGAATTAGGGCTGCACGATTTTGGCCAAAAATTACATCCTATTTTTTTCCCCCAAAAACTCGATTTTCAATTTGGATTTTTTTATTCAGTGACAACTTCACTAAACTTCCCTTTAATGATAAGTTTTTCTGTCATCTCTGAAAACGAAACCCCTGAAAACAATTATTGCATATGCCAAGCCAATAAGTGGTGCTGTCATGCTGTCAAGGAAATGCACAAACGACAGAAGAAGAGTACGGAGTATGCGTATAAAGATTGCTTTGGACACATGCAGGCGCCATAGGAGTTACGCCGTGTGTAACATAAATGATTCGAGAGATGCAGATAGGTATCCACACGGAGATGAAATGGTAGTCGTTTACGGATTTATGCACTCTCTGACCCGCTTTCAAAAAGTACCGTTTACAGTCACCTGAAACGTTGTTTCCATGTGGATGAAACGTCGATACGACAAAAAACTTTTGCGTTTACTCCTGAATTTTTTTTTGTGGATGGGCTGATACCGCCTTCAGACAGACTTTACAGCAGAGAGTGGTTTGCTCGTTGTCTGAAACTGTGAAGCCGTACCAATTCCACACGACTGACTCGCTCTTGTCCTACTTAGCCACAAAATTATCGCCTTCTTTTACAAACATCATGTTTGTTTACACTGGTGTGTGCGGGAACTGGGGAGAGCTCTCGCAGGAAGGGGGAGTCTACGGTGGCCTGGAGGCCGGAGACATGAGAGAGGAAAATTGATTTGATGATTTTAATTTTTTTAACATCGTCTTAATCAAATGATCCAATTACGATTATAAAATCGATTAATCGTGCAGCACTAAGAATAGAGAGAAATTTGAAGTGCAGGGACCTTTCTTTACTTTTAACCAGGTACAAGTCAAATTCATGCACATACTTGACTTTAACGTTGTTTGCATCAAATTTAATACAATTTGCGTAAAACAATTTATTTCAGTGTGAACATTAAATATGTTTTCTTTGCACTGTTTGGACTGAAATGACTTGAAAACAAACTAAAACATTTTTTTTTTAATCAGCATAAGTGTCCAAACTTTTTTAGATTGGGGTTTGATCAACTGGCTTGAGTGGGTAACATTTCTAAAAAAGAGAAAAAGGCCGAAAGAAACAAGCAGACATTTTAAAAGCCGTGGAAACCTGAATAAAATGAATCCTGCTGCAGGTTAGCAACATGGCTAAGAATAAAAAGATCACTCAGGAGAGGCTGCATGTCTCAGATAAAAGACTCCGATCCTGTATAAAACTCCTACAGGACGGCTGAGATGTTTGAGGCCTCAGGGCATCAATGACAGACATTGGCACAGAGCCACCGTCAATAAACACTGAGAATGCAGATCCAAACTTCACAATGAAAGAAGAAACCGAGCAGAAGGACATAGTCGTGCTTATGACCGTTTAAGATAGACTATGGGGAAGAAGAAAAGCATCTTTTAGCCTGATGAATCAAAACTTTGACATTCTTTTTGGAAATCATGGACGCCACATCTTCTGCCCTGAAAAGTTACTGACTTATTAGTTTCTTGTCAGATGATTGATATCTCTGATTGTTTTCTACTATTTATTCACTTTATAGTTTTAATCCAAAAATAATTGAAGGGTCAAAGAGGGGGGCGGGGCCTGCCACCACACAGAACAAGGTAACAAAGGAAGTAAATATCATCACCTTATTACCACTGTTGTTGTGTGTTTTTGTAGTTTCACTTGAATAAACTGTTCCTCAGTTCTTTCTTATGTAAGAGGGTGAACGGATGGTTAAGGAAACAAAACAAATCAGATGCAAATCTATGGTGGACAAACCACAGTGGCCACAAGGGAACACCCTCTTCTTGTCTGGGGTCCTAAGATGAGTGTATGGTCACACCGATGATGAATAAAAACAGTCAGATTGTGGAACCACACTGCTAAGGTGAGAGCTAAAAACAGAAACACGGGTTAGGGTTAGGGTTAGGTCATTCCCTTTAAAAGCCTTGACAGCTGTGGAGTCAACATCCTGAATTCCTTGATCGGCACAGGTGGCATCAAAATAGGCCCTCTACAACTTACCGGACTCTTCTGCTGTTCGACCTTTCGTGGATCTCTTGGAGACTCCGTGATGCTCCCCCGTTAGATCAAAACTCACACACTTTCTCCGTCTTGCACGAGGCCACCGGACCCGGATCTGCCTCTCTACCAGCTCCGTGTCTTCTGTGACGGGCAGGCGTAAAGCACATTCCCCGGTGCCTCTGCGTGCACTCCGCAGACGGAAATATCCACAGAGACGCGAGTGGAAGTTCTTAAACGAGAGCTTGCATGGCAGCTCAGAGCACAAATCCACAAACTCTTCATCCTCCTCATCTTTGTCCTCATCTCTAGATCCTTCCTTATCAGTCCTGTTTTCTTTCTCCACCTTGGTGAGTCCCAGCACGGCGCACAGCTCGATAAAATCCTCTGCAGATACCGTATCATCCTGGTTCGGGTGGGCTAGGTGGTGGAATACCTCCTGCAGGTATTGGTCAATCCCTGTGGCGAGTACAACGATCTCGTTCTCTACGCCGGGATCAGGGCAGTGGTGATGAGCCAGGGCGCTCTTGAGCCACTCGCTTTTACGCGCCGCTCGTGGCGAGGGTTGGACGCGACGCATGGGTAACGCGGTGAGCTCCATGTCTGCTCATCGGCTTCAGTTTGCGACAGGATATTATTTAAAATCTGAGTACCGCAATCAGCCCGGATGGGATTTCAACCAGGATTTTGATCGTGACGTATCCTGGCGTGGTTTTACGCTGCGTAATTCCCTGGCAGTCTAACCCCTGATTCCTTCCTGGCGTGTCAAGTCAAGATCTGATCCTCTCTGGTGAAGAAAAAAAAGTCCTGCTTCACCGACTCCACCCTTTTGTGTTCACACTCTGACCGCATGTGTGCGTGTGTGTGTTTGTGTGTGAGTGTGTTTTACTGCACCTCACCTCTTACAATGACTCATTTGAGACCAGCGTTAAAAGTTTGATCTCTGTTCACAAAAATTATTCATGTTTCTTCAAAGTGAGCATGAAGAAGTTCCTCCAGGTTTGATTAGTCTAATTCAATGGTAAGTGACTTTGTATGACTTTGACGTAGAATTTGTTTCATCTATCATCCAATGACAAAAAAACCACAGCAATCAGGTGTGAGTCACCGTGGGTATCATCTTATACCTTTAGAGTAACCAGAATGAGTCTGTCTGACTCATGAACTGTATGACAGCAACAACAATTAGAGTAAAATGACTCCGGTTTCTCTGCACCCTCTCACTGCTTCTGTTCTCAGCCTTTACATAGAAGTCATATTTTAGTTTGTCTCCAGGAAATACCTTTCCCCACCCTGACCACCACCTGTCACCCACCTGACAGCCTGAACAAAGAGGACGCCTTACAATGGACTTACTCATGACAACTCCAAACCACACAAATAACATAAAAATGACACAGGATTAACACACAGGAAAAGAGTTTACTGAATTTTCTTTCCGGATAAATGAAGTATCTATCTATCTATCTATCTATCTATCTATCTATCTATCTATCTATCTATCTATCTATCTATCTATCTATCTATCTATCTATCTGTCTGTCTGTCTAGTGTTAGTCATGGCTGTAACACTTTATTTCATACGAGACGTTTTTACCAGATTTTTGCTGCATGAAATTTTAACAAATTAAGAACTGGAGGAAGTGCGTCAGCAACACGTAAAGATGTTGTTGTTTTTTTCCTTTTCCTTTCTTAATGTCATTTATAACCTCATTTGAATTTGATGCCAACAACAGCTCTAAAAGCACTTTGGAATATCTCCCATGACTAGATATTAAAACATCTTTTTAGCTTTGCCTGATTTCTTTAGGAAAGAGACTAAACACAACTCACCTACTCTCCTCCAGCAGCCGCTTGTTTGTGGGGGAGCCCTGACGAGCCGATCGCCGAGTGCAGCAGATCGTTTCCTCGAAGTAATAATCATCATAATAATCATTTTGCACTGCAGTCGTGATAGTTCTTTTGCCTTAGCATCTCGGTCTGATTGCATTTCCATGAAGTAATGATCATCAATTTTCTTCCTTGAGCTGCGAAACTCAGAACTCCGCTGTTCTGAGCATTATTTGTGGCTTTTTGGTTGAGGTTTGCATGTGAAGACACAGACCACTGTGTATTGCTATTGTGTGGTAGTTGCGGAAGTTGGTATAACTAGAGAACCAAGCAGTCCGTAACATTCATCTCTCGAGGGGGTGTCTAACACTAAGTGAATGGATAGTTCATAACTTGACCATAACTTAAATTTACACCGATATATCCGTCTAACAGACTCTCAGAAGTAAACATAAAAAGAAATGAACAAATCTGCAAGAGACCTTTCCCAGAGTCCCAGTTCTTTGGGATTTACGATTTTTCAAACACATATCAGTTTTTCAGTGAATGGATAGTAAATTTAACATTGTTTTTAATTTTCAAAATAGGAGCTTTTTTATCATGTGCATGACTAAAAGTGTTTTTTGTAAACTGAGTTAAAGACATGTTTTGTCTCTTTCCTATTCACAAGGAGATAAAAAGTGATGAGTCAACTTAACCCATGTGAGCTCACTGAAGGAACCTCAGCTATTGTTTAGACTCTGTTTGGATTTGCCACACACAGACACAGCAGTGAACGGATGAGTCAACTTAACCCATGTGAGCTCACTGAAGGAACCTCAGCTATTGTTTAGACTCTGTTTGGATTTCCAGCACTAATCTTAGTACGGCTGAACTGCAGCGCTTGCCATGACTCATCTGGGGCTTTTACCTGTGGAAGGAGTGCACTATTTCAGTAAGTGCTACTTAAGGCTACAAATATTACTTCCTCAAGACAAACAAATGTGTTCCCTCCAATGCATACAAATAGTCCTGGAGACACAAGATGACAACTTATGGCCTGTGGCCTGTTTCGTGGACATGTGGAGGCAGGCACAGCTTGTTTGGTTCAGGTCCTCTGGCTGTGTCTTGGAAACTATGTGCTTCCTTCGAGGCTTCCGGGGAATAATGGTGATAACAAAGTCAAGGTCATGGTTTCCCCAAAAGCCATGCACAAAATGTTGGCCTCCTGGAAGCACAGGTCTACTGAGAGTTGAACAGAAAACCAAGTGTCCTCCACTGTATGAGTCTGGTTCTGTTGGAGGTTTCTGCCTGTTAAAAGAAGTTCCTCCTCTTCACTGTAACTTAATAATTCCTGTGAAGTGTTTCTCTCATGTGGTTGAAGATGGGATGGGAGTGGATCTGATCTTACAGGATGGGACTCAGTCTGATCCCATATAATATAGAGTCTGGTCTAGACCAGCTTTTTGGTAAGTGTTGCTATTTAAATAAAGATTGACTGACCCATTAGAAACTATGTCCATGCAAGTCTGTGCACAAGTTAGGATGAGTTTTTATTGCCATTCTACAAACCTTCACTTTTACAATGCGACCCCACAGAAACTAAAGCCCCCTGGTGTTTTTGTAACAGTATATTTTCAGCGGAGGGTATGTCAAACCTGCAGCCACACATCCAGCCTCACAGATCAGTCGTCACCTGAAGCTTTTCTCATACTGTAGGTAATTAAAGTTTCACAATGTGAGACCCTCTCTCTATCAGTAGCTCAGGAGGCAGAGCGGTCGTCCAACAACTGGAATGTTGGCGGTTCAATCCCCCTCTATGTGTCCATGGGCAAGACACTTAACCCACCTTGCTCCCACTGTGTGTTCTCCACTGGTGTATGATTGTGAGTGATGTTTGGTGGTGATCGGAGAGGCCGTAGGTGTGGATTGGCAGCCACGTTTCCGTCAGTCTACCCCAGGGCAGCAGTGACTACTGAGGTAGATTATCACCACCAAGGTATGACTATCCAATGTAAAGCACTTTGAGGTCACTGATAAAAAGCGCTATAAAATCTGATGTATTATTATAATTATTATTTATCATGAGAACTGATTTCAGAATTAAAGCTTTGTTTTCCCACAGGATTGAATAAATCTTATAATATGTGTTTGGATCAGGGTAAATGTGGTATATTTAATATGTGTTTGACTCTGTGTGGGGTAACTAGTAGTTAATGTGCAGCTCAGCACCCGCCCTCTCTGTCCTGCTGTCTGGGTGTCTACCTCAGAGATCCAGGCCTCCAGCTGCTGCCTGCTCTGGGTGAAAGGACCCCCATCTAAAAATGAAAGGATGGCAAGCAAGAAGAAGGGGCTGTAAATGGGGTTGGGGGTGGAAGGGTGCAGGCTTGAGAGACACAGTGTGTGTGTGTGTGTGTGTGTGTGTGTCCATGCATGCACACCCAGTGTCCTGTTGTTCACCTTTGAGAGGAGGAATGAGGCAGTATCAGTAATGATAGAAGCCGAGTGAAGGCATTGTGTTGGCTGCCATATGCCGCTCCTCTGAGGGTCAACAATAGGTACACACACACACTCTCTCCCTCTCTCTCTCTCTCTCTCTCTCTCTCTCACACACACACACACACACACACACACACTCAAATGCACCATCTCTTTGAAGAGGTGACACTAACCGATATTCCCTCAGTTCACTGAGGGCTGCTCTGGTTAAACCCTGCAGGGATGTGAAGGTCTCTTAACGTGAGGTCACACTTAGTAACCTTTGCTCCAGACTCCTATTTTGATAGTGATCATTTCCTGTCAGAGATCCGCCAGTCTGTTACCATTACTGTGTAAAGTGGAATAATGGAGAAAAGTATCAAAAGATGTTTTTTTTTGCATAGGCGAGGGATGTGAAGGACTTTTAGAGACTTTCCACACCTACAAAATAACAATAGAATGAAAAAGACCAAGTTATTGTCAAGCACCTATAATTCCAGGTTTCTACTTGCATCTGCATGGTGTCTATAGACCCATAAATAAGCAGATGGTACCACCAGTGTCCAATGTTATCATATAACTGTATATAATAGCAAACTGATTAAGATAATTAAATATAAATAATTTCTACTTTCAACAGAAAAAAAGACTCAGATTCAAAATGTGTTCAAAATTATTGATGTTATATATTGAATAATATTAATTTATTTTGGTTATTCGCCAAAGAAAAAAGTCTGCAGTTTATGCCAATGATCAACTTACAACACTCACATACAGCCAAACTCTTTGGACAACCAACATGAGTTGCTTATGTTGATAAGCAGTGCCACTCTTCGGCACCCTACAGAACTCTTCACCACTTTTTACCACTTGTGAAGAGGTATTTTTCTGCTTCTTCTTAATCAAACCAACTCACCCAACCTTGAACAAATAAACTGAAGGAATTAACCTGTTGGATCAGCATGCACATTGTCATGCCATCTCTCCGGCTTCGTCTCTGAGCAGACTTGAGTCTTAAGTGACCTCAGACTGTTTTCATGAGGACGTGGCCTCAAACAGATATAGCCCACCTGCAGTCTTTAAATACACAAATTTGTCAACGTTCACGTGGATGGCAAAAACAAAAGTTCTGAGGAGTGCTGACTGACTTGCACATGGTAGTTTTACTTTACATGCATTCCACGTGTCCCACGACTTCAAGCTACCATCTTGTTTATGTCTACTCAGTTCTGCAAGATACAAATCATCCAGATCATTCAGATTAGGCTTCAAGTCTTTTTTTTTATTTAAAGCCGTATGTAAGTGTATGTGAGTAAACCTGTGATCCAGTTTTATATTGTGGTAGAACAAACAATCTTTTGTATGCAGAGCATAAGCTGTGAGTGCTTTAGTGATCCCTGCACTTTGTATGCTCAGGTGTGGTTCTGTGAAGTATCTGAAGTGGGACAATCACTGACCTAAATCTCTGACAAAACACAAAGTCTGATAGGAAGACTTTAAACAGGGTGGCCAACATGAACAGAGCTGTTTAAAGGATAAAAGAGAGCGGTAAGAGAAAGAATACATGACAAATGGAAAAGAATGTTGGGAAGAGAGGAATGCGAGATTTGAGGACAAATTAATAGAGTGGCAAACATGTCGACATGTAAAGTAGAGTGGCAGGAAGGCAAGGTTTCAGCGTGTCTTCTCACATCGTCAGCCCAACATATACCACTTATTTAATTTAACATAAAACAGAAGTGCTAATAAATATACGAGAGCTTCTACTGTTACTCTTAACTGTTGATGCACTGTGCTGCCATCTTGGATGATAGCGTTGTCGTCAAGTCGGGGTTGGTGAGGATGGTCAAGACAGGAATTGAATCTGTAACCACAGTGGGGACCACAGTCCCCCGCATGCCTTGGTCCACTCGGCTATCTGTGCGCTTACTCTGAAGCATAAAATAAATTACTTTTTGGTATGCTATTATTTCAATAGTAGTACGTATTTGTATATTTGGCTTGTACTGCTTATCTTTTTAAGAATGTACGCTATAAGAGTATACTCTTAAAAACATGTGTGGAAGTATTCTCTTACCAAGTATACTTAAAACTAAGGCAGAAAATACATATTTAAGTATGTCTTGATCAGAAGTGTATATATTGGTTAAATATATTTAGACTCTTAGTATAATTCTTAGTACAAGCCAAGTATACTTAACATTAAGTTTGTTAAGTATATTTCTGAAAAGTGCGTAAAAAGTCAACTGACAGCATACTTTGTTTAAAAACAGTAAACTTGAAGTACACTTAAACATACTTCTTTTTGGTAAGGGAAGGCTCCTTTTTGACCCCTGTTTTCACTAATAACAAGACGACAATGGAAACTTTTAACTCCAAGCAAACACAAGCTGGACCTCCATCTCCTCTTGTGCTACACTGGTGGGCTGCGGTCATGTGATGATAACTGCAAAAAGCAAATTTGAGCATAAAAACATCGAATAGGATCAGATCAATCAGAAGAAACAAGATTTCTCAACCAGTGAGATTTTAATCAGGGTGGCAAAAAGTGGTCATATAAACCCAAATCACTAAATAACTTTAAAGAACAAAAAAAGAAAAAGAAGAAAGAAAAAAAGGTTAAATAATTTGAAGAATAATTGTAAAAGATACTCAATGTTGTGACAGACCCTTGCTTCCTCTTTTCTTTACAGAGAAGGCAGGTTTAATGGCCTGGAAGTCACTCACTGCCTACAACACTTTGTTGCAGCCCTTCAGTCAATGCTCTCACCTAAATTGTCCAGATGGTTGGACGTTCTCTGATGACCCTCGCTTTGATTGTCTTGTAGTAGATCATAAACTTTGCACATTGTTCAGCAGCTCAAGGACATCTGCCAGCTTAGAAACAAAACAACATCCTCTGTGTTGGCTTTGGTCAGAGATTGTGAAGTTGTGTGTGAAAGCAAACACTCCTTGCATGAAACAATTCAAGCCCTTCTCAAACACTTGGATTCTTTTCAATCATGGAGCCTGTGACAAATGAGGAGTGGGTCAACATGAGCTCTGACATGAGAAATTAAGTTAGACAAGAAGCAGCCTGAGTGTTCACACTCTGTCAAGGTGATCTGTGTGTGTGTGCGCGTGCGCATGTGCCACATTGTAAACAGCTATCCACTCTGTGACAGTGTAAACATTTCCTCATTCCTGAGATATGGAAGGAGCACCATTCTACCTTTGAGCTGTCCCACCTGTGGATAAGGTCATGGCTGTAACCCACCCACTTTTGCATCCACACCTTCCTGTTTTCTCTCATACACACACACACACAGACACATTCACACACAACCTGCAAACTGCATTCCTGAGAGCCAATGAAGAGGCTGGATGAAGTTAAGGGAAAGACATGTGGCTACAGGTAAGACAGCTGCGACTGTGAGCTGCTGCTTTCACACTCAGTTTCAGGGTGTGATGGCTCACATAGATACATACAAAATCACTAGATGGCTCAAGCACACTGTTAGCCAATGGAGACTGGCGTCCGCATATCGCCACCATCTTGCCACAGGCAGATTGCCCACTCATAGCATCAAAGTCTACAGTGCGTGCAGCATTTATGTAACCATAGATTGCTTGATTTTAAACAGATTTTCAAATGACTTAGTTTGTAACAAATCTCAGAGTTTTAGTTATATTCCTGCATACTCAAAAAGACCATGGACTTTCATATATAAACATTAAGCAAATAGGCAAAGCAATAGCTATAGGCATAAACACACAAGGTAAGTTATTCAGGTTTAAGTATAAAATGACCTGGAGGACTGACTGGATTTGAGCATTCTCATTAATTGTTAACATTGTATATGTGTTTATTTTCAATATAAATATCTGTCTCATGTTGCCTTTCTGTATATCCATTCTGTGAGCTTTACAGTATATATATATATATATATATATATATACTGTGTATAGACCCTGTCATGACCTCCAAACAGTAAACAGTGCACACTAAAATCTCCCAAACTTCCTGTGCACTTGTTTACTTGTCCTGGCTGAGTGCACACAGAGACACACATTTGAGGTGTAGAGTTGTATCCTGTAGCAGAATAGAAAACAAGTCTAAGTAGATTTAATGTGGCCGGATGTCTGCAGTTCTTTATCTCATTGTTAATGACTGCTTGGGTCAGACAGTAAGGAGTCATACAGAATGCAGAGTTTTGAGTAAGACATGAGAACCAAAATAGATGAGTTTGGAAAAATCACACTTTAATGGTCACATAACCAAGATTATTGAACAGTAAGGAGTTTACTGACTGGTATTTGCACCATCTCAACTACAAAGCAAATAATAGAAAACAATAAAGTGACAGAGACCATTTATAGTTGGCACTATTACCTCATTAACCCTTCACCAGAAGGAGTTACACATCTTCCAAGAATCCCATGTCGATAAGAGCCATTGTAGTCATCAGTGTCAATATACTGCCCCCAACTGGCAGAGTTTCTGAAGTGCATTTACAAAAGTTGCTGGTCATTGCAGATCATGTCCTCCTCAATGTTAGTCAGCACAGTTCAGCACCAATATGTTCTCACAACATATCTCCATAGTCTTCTTTCAATGACAAATAAATACAGTCATTATCAGTATTTATATCATTGATGTACATTGTTGGTGGAAATGGTGTTTGAGATTTTTGCAGATGTTAGAATTTATAAAAGAGTAAATCCACACCACTTTGGCAGACTGCAAAAGCAATTTTTCATAGAGTTAAACCGTTGTTTTTTGTCTGCTCACAATATTTCTCCGACCATCACCCAATATGTTTACATATCATACTTTAAAATCAATTGTTGTACCACCAGTGCTTATTGACCTATTTTATTATTAATTTTCTCTTGAATTTTCAAAAGCCACTCATTTTTTTGGTCAAGAACACAGTATTAAAGGTGTTTTTCTTATTTCAATATATATAAAAATTTGTATTCCATTAACAATGTTTTTATTTACCTTTTACTGTACGGCTCTCCAAATGCATTATTTTGTTTACTCAGTTAAAATTCAGCAATGACATACAAAATTTTTGAGCAATATTTCTGTTCTGTTTTGTTGCGCAACAAACAAACAAACAAACAAACAAACAAACAAACAAACAAACAAACAAACAAATAAATCAATAAAAATAATAATAAACAATTATGAACAATAAATAAAAATAATAAATAATAAATAACATGAATAAATAAATAAATACAGCAATTATGAAAATTATCAAATTCCCTAACCTTATAGGCCTAATTTATAAGACTGTTGAACACCTACACTCAAAATAACCTTCCTCAGTTAAACGTAAAGTGGACCAAATAGAAGTATTACAGGGAAACTTGAAAAGTGAAAGATATGCATATTACATAAAATTATGTTGAAACTAGAAATCCACAGAGGTAGCGTGACTATACATTTGTGGGGAAGTTCAGTGTGAGACAGGGCTCTCCCGGTTAACAGAGAAGCATCCCTGATCTTGAGAAAAAGACAGAGACTGGCATTTTTTATTCATTTTATCCAAATTAACGGTGTCAGTAGCTGCTTTTCAAGTCATCCCGAATCGAGCTGCCAGACTGTGACGTTTCATGACATTCGGCTGCTCTCGGAAACATTCGGAGATACTCGCGGATAGTGGGCGTGCTCGACTGCGTTGCGTCTCAACCGGCGGTACAATCGGATGATCCTGAGCGGGCGGAGCCAAGTAGTAGGAAACGGTACTGCTCCCAAGAAAACCGGCGACAAGCCTCCATTGCCGGCAGTTTCGTACATCTTCTTTGCCTTCACGTATCGACTCAGTCTTATCAAGCCGGCAAGATAACCTTCTCGAGTCAAACTTGAGTCATTCGTAAGAATACATCTACACACAGCTCTTTATAAACCCAGTTACACCTGCATGCTGCGGTTTCTAGAAATATCTGTGAAGGGCTCGGAGATTAACGTTGCAGATAAACCGCTGCAGGATGGAGACGCAGATACATGTGCCAGTCGGGTCGCCGGTTATTAGGAAAATCCCCATTTTCGTGGACGAACATAACGTGATCGAAGGGGCGATGAAGCTTATTCAAGAGCTGAGACCGGCGTGGGAGAAGAGCCTGGTCAAGACTAAGGTAATTGTTAGCAGTGGAGCTAGCTGAATGCTAAGCTAAGAGAGGGAGCTCTGCAGCATCACCAAGTACTACCAGTCAGCCGGTACAAGGGCCCGTCAGACATGGATAAGTGACTGGGTTCAGCCCTTTAAGATAAGACCCGCTGCTGCAGATAGTCTTACTTTTATTAGAGACTAATGCTTCAAATTTTTCAAATTCTGTCCTGGTCTCACTGGTAGAGTAGTATTAAAATGATGACAGAGTTAACAGCTGTCAGAGTTGAAACCCAAGTGAACAAATTCAGCCAACTACAAGTCCTCTAACACTGCGTAGTACTCAAGAACTGACTGAAGTACACAACAGGATCAGCATTATTACACAGTAGTATCTCAGTTGTAAGTGTTAGTCATTGTAGTCATCCTGCAAGGGGTCGACCGGCTGGTTTGGTTGAGAAACAGGGTTATGTGGGACTGCTTTTTCCCACTCAGACACACCTTAATAAGGCTGATGAAGCTGCTTCCTGCTCTTCAGTGTCTCTAGATTCTCCTGATTCTCAAATGATTTGAACTGAGTGGGATTTTCTATTTCAGCAAACAGAAACATGTATAAATAAATGTTTAGGCGTGGTCATTATACACAGCAGACATACATTTTTACACTCTTATTTCTTTTTCTAGATCATTTCATGTCTTCTTCTTACATGGTTCTAACTAAGCAGGTTTTTTTTTCATCATAATGCATTTATTTATGGTAGTGTTCGATCAATTTTAGATTTTCAATGATATATTGCCAATTTCAGGTAGTTGTATGTTTTTTTTCACTGAATAAAATACAACAAATTAATAACAAATGAGCAAACTGAACTTGAATAAACTTGAACTTCTTTTGTGAAATAAATGTAGACAGACAAATATTTGGCTCGCTCAGTTATTTTTTCCCCCCATAAGGGACCTCTGGATTTCTGTCAAGCCACCTTCAAGTAAATCAGGAGAAAATAATGTCATTTCTTTTGCACAATAATAGACTAAAAGAGTGGTTATTGTAGTGTTTTGTGTGGAGTGTGGAGGATTTTTCACTTTAGCTGCTTTTTCCTTTGGTTTTAGATGTTTTAACAGATTGGTTGTATTGAATTCAGCTCTGCAGGTACCCCATCACACTGATACTAAGTTCCTCTCATGTTTGCGTTTGGCCGTAGTTTGGACATGAGTGATCTAGGGTGAGATGATCAGCTCTGATCCCATAAACTAAAGTTGTGATCAGGACATCACTTTTGATGCATCCTGCTATCATGAGCGATTAAAGTTTGTTTTCTCTGAATAATAAGAAAATTTTCTGGTCATCTATAAAGGAGAACAATTGGCAGGTCACTGTGACTGGCAGTTCATGCTGCCCTGCTCACATTAATGTAGTCGGCTAAGCCTGTTTCTATGTTCCTTCTTTTGCAACCTTGGGGATAAAAGTAATTATCAGCTGGCATGACATGACCCCAAGATCTTGGACAAACTACTAAAATTAACTTTTCATCACAGCAAACAGAGTGTATCCAAAAGGCACCCACACCTTCTCGATCCTCAGTCCTGTTATCTAGTCATTGTTGCTTTTTGCTTTCTCATCAGATAAACAGTTAAACCCTGAATTCAGGCAAGGTTTAGGCATGTTGAGAACTTTTTAGGCATGGTACTGTGCTCAAACTGTAACTGAGTTAAACAGTCATATCCAGCAGGGGTCCTAAAACATTTTACACGGAAACACATGATATGAATTGACACTGTAAGGCATTGACACTAGTTTGAATATGCAACCACATAAAAAAGTTTGACTTTTTAGAAACTGAAATGAGATTTCACTCTGTAAAGATCATAATTAAGATATAACTTTATTAGAACAAAAATATATAAGCTTTTAACACTGTAAGATTGAATCAATGACTACAAAAAAATCTTCACAAAAGATATTTTTCCACGATTTCGAAAAATTCAAGAGCTTGGCTGGGTGATTTCACCCCCTGACTTTGAGCAGTTAACCTGCAAGGTATGAGGTGATGGCAGAAAGAGCTTTCCCACATTTACAACTAAAACTGCAAAGTTACAAAGTCTGGTGTCCATACTACATGTACGCAGAGTATTAAATCACAAGATTGATGTAAACTGATCAAATCTCGGACAAACGTAAAAAAGTGAGACCGTAGTTTATGTGCAAGATTTGCAAAAAAATTCTCACGTAAGAATTATCGTCTCTCCTTACTGGTTCATGTAATTCTGGCAAAGTGGAACAGCCTGACTCTAACAGCGTGTGTGAGGTGACACCCTCAGCAGAGTGGGGTAACCATGGACACAGACATGGCCCCCTATTCTCGGGAAAAGAACATATATATCTCAGATTGGTATTTGCAAACACTGGCTGTCATCATTTGCACTGAAATTTTACTCTGTTGTTGTGCCTGTGGGTTGCAAAAATATTACAGCAGCTGTACAAAAACATTAGGTAGTGAGGGCCAATGGAGTTGACCATTTCAGTTCAGTGTACAGGATGAAAATCAGAGAAGTTTTGGTTCTTGCCTAATTCTTTCCTAAACTTGAGTAATAGGATCTTAAATGTGTGGCTTTATTGTGAGGCAGGTTCAATATAATGTCAGATCAACCGCTAACCAAAGCTGTTATGAGTTCCAGAACAACTCTAAAATGAGTTCTTGTTTGTGTTTTGAGCACTTGCAGCAGAACACTGTTTATTTTACAACGTTTGAGTTTCTATGTTAAAAGAAACCAATGAAGAGAAGAAAGCCTGCGGCCTCTCAGTGTTTGCTTACTGGATGCAATGTAGGGCAAAAATATTTGTTTTTTATAAGGTGATAATAAGATTGATGCAGACATCCCATTATAGTTACATTTCAATAAGGTCATAATAATTGACTCAAATTCTTACAAACAAAACCCAACAGGATGGGTCAGTCTAAGTGATTGTAGAGTTTTATACAATATGATGCCTTCAAGTAGGAAGTACTGAGTTCCAGTTTTGGTCTGTTTGTTTTGTTTTTATTTCAATGTTAGACAAATTAGATGTATTGCTTCTCTAGTTGTACCAACTTCAGTAACGACTGCACGATAGCAATACACAGGGGTCTATGTCTCCATGCGCAAACCTCAACCAAAAAGCGACTCTATAGTCACAAATAATGCTCAGAACGGCACCTAACTTCATCAACAGTACATATAGAGTCCCAACCATAGTACTCGCCATCAAACATCTTTTTAGCTTTGCCTGATTTCTTTAGCAAAGAGACCAAACACAACTCACCTTCTCTCCTCCAACAGCCACTTGTTTGTGGGGGAGCCCTGACAAGTCGATCACCGAGTGCAGCAGAGTTTCGCAGCTCAAGGAGGAAAATTTATGATTATTACTTCATGAAAATGCAATCATTTGAAGAATAAATCCAGCTTATTTCTGACATTGTTAGAAGAAAATTCTGCATTGATCAGAGATGTACCCATAACAGCATCTCTTGATGATTCAACCGCCATACCCAGACTTTTAGGATCAATAGACATTGGACAGAAACTTTACAGAAACAAGTCGTGACCCAGCACAGTCCAGTGAGGTTGGCAGAGGTGACATCATAGAGCAGGAGAAAGTTAGTACAATAAATGCATGAAAGGTTTGGAAGATGTGCTACATGAAAATAAGGTACAGCGTAGATAAGACAAACATAAAGGAAAGCCAAATGCTAAATTAGCTAAACAGTTGAAAAAATTGTATAAATCACAATATATTGTATCGAAATACTCACTGTATTGCAAAATGTTAAAAATCGCAATAATACTGTATCGTGGCCCGAGTATCGTGATGATATCGTATCGTGGGGCCTCTAGTGATTCCCACCCCTACCAGCCATGGAGAATCTTGAGTAAAAAGCTGACCTACAAGTGTTGTCTAGCAATCCATTTAAGAGACTGGACTAGTCAGGAAGGGGAAATGCATAATTAATTCCTTGTTAAAGGATCAAGTGACTGATGAGTCATGGCCGGGTCAAAGTCATTGAAGCAGCTCTGATGGACCCGACAACGAAAATGCATGTATCTACTTTTGTATAGCATGAAAAAGTCAACATGCTGGCTAACACTGCACCCATTCAACACCTGTAGCTGAGACCTTGACGGTGCTGTCTGAGACACAAGACAGCAGTTCTCCATCTCCAAAACAGGGTTTTAGTCAAACTGTATGTTTATACAAACTGGTGCAGCTGCACCACTAGCTCTGTCCTCACACCAAAACAGCGAAAGGAGAGTGTGAGATTACCGTGACCTGAGGAGGATGTTCTTGAACACCAGGACGATTGTTTTAATGGCAGCAGGAAGCACTAAATGTGGTGATGAGCAGCAGAGCAGCTCTGTTGACAGAAACATCTGATTAGCCTTGCCACCTGGACAGGAAGACTTTTACTGTAAATACACAGGGTCCATTTCCAAACATCCCATGAGCACACCGAGTTCATGAAAACAGCAGAGCCAGCCAACAGCAACAGAAGAACAGTCTCCATTTTCAGCGCTCACATGCTGAGTACTCCAGAGGGCTCCACTTAAAAGGTCTACGGCTGCAGTCATTAGACAAGAAGACCACAAGTTAACGTGACGATGAATCAACAGTATGGCGGACTTAAACCAAGTCTAAAACCAACCACAAACCGCAAAGTGATGCGATTGGAATCAGAGAGAGGTGATGGAAAGGAGGGCAGAGTGAAGCAGGGCGACATGAGGCCGGTGGTAAAGACTCACATACTCCGAGTGTAGTGGGCCCAACCACTCCTAAACCAGAAGTGGGTACAATCTCCTCTGCTGCCGCCCACTGTAACTAAGTCTCCAGCTTACAGTAGGAGAAGATGGTTAATATGATTGAGGTGAAGCCCTGCATGGAGAATCAAATACATTCATGTGTTCACAAAGACAAAATACAGAACAGGATGACCACTTCAAACCAATTGAAGTGTGTGAGAGAAAACATCACCTAGGGTCCTCTCAGCGGAGGTGGGTCCTGACAGTGGAGGTCTGCAGTCAGATCCCTCTCTGCCTGCCAGTTCTCACAAACTTGAGACCAGCATCACAGCAAGCAATGTTTTGACACTGCTGCAACGTAACCACCTCTGGAGGACTGAGAAGCCTTTTTGGAAACAAACGTTTTGGTTGTCAAGTATGCTACCTAGGGGTGTCCTGATATAACTTTTTTACTTTGGATGTGATACCGATGTTGTAGCCTTCAATATTGGCTGATACTGATATTGATCAGGTATTGGCATACACTTGTGCATGACAAGTTTCGCTCTCAGCTACAATGTCTTTTTCTTAAAAAAACGTTGTTGGTTGCCACACAACCAGCATCACTACTGCTCCTTGCTACTTTATTAGTATCTTAGTACACACCATTGTTGTGATTACGTGGGCTCAGCATGCTGGATGCAGACTGATATCCAATATCAATATCGGATTGGGACTAGCCTGGCTGGGCCATCTAGTTGTGTGAATCACTTGCCGTTCCTTCCCACAACAGTCTGGACTTCGGCCGATTGGGAGCGTGTATTAGAAATCAGAAAATAACCAGGCCAATCAGTGACTGTGTTTCCACTGTTCCCTGGACAACAGTGATTGGTCCATGTGTAGATGGTGACGTCTAACACATGCTGCAGGATTTTTCAAAGCGCCGTTCATTCAGAACGCCGCAAATTCTGCAGTTGACTTTGCAAAGTCAGCAGAAATCGTTCATATCCGCAGAAGAAGACGTAAAAGACATTGTTTGCTCGCAAACGTAGAAATATTACCAAACCTTTACTTGATGCTTGAGAGCCCAGCAGGGAACACAGTTGCGCACTGTGATGACGTCAGATGTTTGGTTACGGTGATTGGTTACAGTAGTCTGTCTATCAAGGAAAGTACTCCCGCCCACTTTTAGGGCTCCCAATTGACCGAAGTCCAGACTGTTGTGGGAAGGAACGGCAAGTGATTCATGCAACTGGATGGCCCAGCCAGGCTAGATCGGGACATATGTAGTGCTATCTTAAGGAAAAACGATGGAAATCAGCCGACACAAATCAACAGCATGATTTGCTTATTCATCAGAGTTCAGTTAACAATTTACCTTTATTTATAGATCGTACTGCTCCATCACAAATTCAAATTGAAAGAGCGTTTCCTTCAGTTCTCAAAGGGAAAAGCCAGTCAAAAGTGATCCTCATGGATCAGACCTGAGACTGTCGTGCACAGCCATAATGAAGACAAAACTTTGTATCCCTGCTCAAAACAGTCTACACACACAGAGCTTGTAGCTGGGCCGCGTTATTTCGACTCATCCATAGAAAGAAAAATCAAACGTCAGGCGGTATATGGCCGAATGTTTACCTCTGTCTGGGTCCAAGCTTATCGCTGTCGGTCAATGTATTGATTGTCGGTTTTAGCGGTGTATTGTGTGGCGGGGGGGAATGGATCAGTCGTGTGGTAGCAAAGGCGTGTATGCTTGCGTATACAGTCATAACAGGGATGCCTGCATGCCCATCTTTGTGGTCAGCCACGTGTGGAATGTTAGATATGTATGAGTGAGCGTCTGGACCGGGGGAGACGCGGGCACTGTGTATGTTGTTATTGTGTTCATTTGAGTGGGCTGGACTCGCCCACTGGTTCCCAGTGGAGTGATGTTGTCAGTCAGATATTTCTAACCTACCAATCACACTCCAGGCTTTTTGCTTACTCGTCATTTCAGATGATGCTTTTGACTTAAATGGTTGACTCGGTGATGCTATAGTGACTACAGCCTGCAGAAGAGTCACTACAGAATGACTCATTGTCGTTCTGAAAAGTGAAGTATGAGTCACTGTTTCACTTTTTTCTTTCTCAACGTGGGATGCTGTGTTAATTGTAGGTAAAGACAACATTCTGATGGTTTGCAAATCTATTAAACCCTAAATTCTAAGTTCAGTTGAAAATAATAAGAAAGTGAAAGTCAAATGTTAAGAATTCTATGTTTCATGAACAGTACATGTTGATTTTAAACACTGAGAAGTGATGTAAAACTTCAAAAAAACCACCTGGGGAAACATCTTCCACTTCACGAGGTTGATGTGCAACAGGTTACTAACATGACTGGGGACACCAGGTGCATTCAGAGGACTCATGCAGAGACTCTTAAGAGGTAATCATGGCAAGAGGTTCAACAGTGTGTGAGGGGGTTCAACGATTAACATAAAAGTGCCAAGCTGTGGCTTTATACCATGACCAAAGTACTAGTGCTGGACGATTAATCAATCAATCAATTTTAATCATGATTTTGGCTTCTTACGATCATAAAAACATTATAATCACAGAAAGACGATTAATGTGCCGTACGGTGCGGCGTGTTTGTACACTTTGAATGCATCCCTGTTACGTGCAGCTGCAGCAAGCGTGTGACATATTTGGATCACTAATATGAGGGGTGAGCAATTAAAAACATGGTAGAAAGGTGGAGAAGTAAGGTGGGACGACTTCAGAAACATTTTGGCTTCAATTTGACGTACGTTGAGCAAAAGAAAATTGTTTCCTGTGTGCAACTGATTGTGGCACACCGCCACAGCTAAATAAAAGCTTTTTTAAAAATTTATGTCGCTCTAACTCTGATTCATATCAGTAAGTGCGTGTAATATGGGCGCTGCACCGCACAGCATGTGCACGCCGAGTATTAGTGTTAGGAAGTTGTCGTCAGCGATCACACAGCTGATCCCCCCACGCTCCCTGAGTCGCTCAACACACACAGTCACAGGAGAACCTACGGTGACCTAGAGGTGCGAGACATGATAGAGAGGACAATCGATTTGATGATTTAAATTTTTTTAACATTGTCATAATCAAATAATCCAATTATGATTTAAAATCGTTAATTGTGCAGCCCTACATGCATCCGTTCTTGACTTCATCTTCATAACTTATCGGCTCACAATACTAAAGGCATTTTTAGTATGTAACAGATATGATCTGTTCTCTGGTTGAGGAAATAGAAGATTGTTTGCTGCGTAGGTCTTAGTCCTGAGGACAGGTGACCAGTCTACAAGTTGACTTCATCCAGCGAAGTAAGCCAAGGTAATGTGTGTCATCAGGAGGACAGTGATGACTAGTCAGTGACTAACCATTGTTCCAGTTTGTATTCCTGTGACAAATTGGCTTTCAGGCCGCCTAATGCAGTTTACTTCAATACCAATTAGACTTTCTCTACTCTCTAACAGGTTGTGATGGTCTATTGTGTCAAACGCAGCAATTAGATCTTACAGGACAGGAGCAAAACCACATCCACTGCTATCTTACAGTATACCAGGAAGTCTGTTCTTTATTTCATGCCAGTGCTCAACTCTGCATCTAAAAAACTATGTTTCCTTTTTTTTTTGTTGTTTCCAGCTCTTCACTGATGGGACCACCAACAAGCTGGTAGGCTGCTACGTGGAGGAGAGTCCGGAGGATGTGGTCCTTGTCCGAGTGTACGGAAACAAGACAGAGCTAATTGTGGACAGAGATAATGAGCTCAAAAGCTTCCAGGTAGCGTGAAAGTGAATCACTCAGTTGCATGGTCTCGTGAACCATTCACAGTAAATCTTAGAGCAGATGTTTATTCTAATGTGGTGTTTATTTCTTTGTCCTCTCGTTAGGTGCTACACGCTAATGGATGTGCGCCTCACCTCTACTGCACCTTTCAGAATGGCATCTGCTACGAGTTTATGCAGGGTGATGCTCTTGGCACGCAGGATGTGAGAGATCCTTCTTTACTCAGGTGGGGACATGCGATAGAAGTACTCTGCATCTTTACTCAGAGACACTTCTTCAATAAGAGTGCGTGAAGTACTGTGCTTTCCACACACAAACTGCTTTCCAATGTGGAAGGGCTTGAACCCCACAGGGGAAAGAGGCAAATAAAGTAAATCCACAAGAGTCACAGGCAAATGAAGGCTGGTGGAGACTTCGGACAGCAAAAACAAAAGAACCCCAGCTGCTCATGTGACCTAAACTTTGTCTTTTTTTTTTCTTGAGTGTCCAGTTTCATTTTTACCCCTGTATTTTTTTTCTTTAAATGGTTTTTATTTGTTCTTATGTCTTTCTGTCCATATGTTTGAATATTTTTCTCTTGTTCCAAGTGTTTATTGTGTTTATTATATTTTCTTCTGCTGTGTTGCCCGGTCTCTCTGCCCGGCTGTGCAGTTTGGTTTCTGTGCCCTATTTTGCTTTGTATGTCAAAGTTACAGTGGCCCTGAGGTGCAAAACACAACAGAAAAAGAGAAAACATGATGGTTAATGTCATTATGTTTTCTCTTTTTGTGTTGTGTTCTCTGATTTGACGTTGTTTTTTCTTATTTGCCATTGTGTTTTCTCTTTTTGTGTTGTGTTTCATGATTAGCTGTTGTGTTTTTCACCTCAGGGCCACCGTACAAAGCACTTAAAAACTCTTATTTTTAAAGAAGTCACATAATTCAAGTTATTTTCATCATTACAGTTCCAAAGAAATAGATTTTCTTTTTTTCTGGTCAAGTTTCTTATATGACCGTTTTGTAGATTTGATTTGATTCATTTGATTTATTTGGTATCCTCATTAGCCTTGGCCGAGCCTCAGCTATTCTTCCTGGGGTCCTTAAACCAACTCACAATAAATCACTGCAAATATCTGATATGTATAATACACCCCATGTAAAATAATAATAATAATAATAAAATTAAATAAAAAAAAAATAGTAATAATACATAAAATAAACACAAACAAATAAAGAGAATACATACAAATACACAATACATAAACAATAACATCTACATATCCTGAAAACACTATATATATATATATATATATATATATATATATATATATATATACACACACACACATACATATGTTCTCATGTATACATATATATATATAAATAAATACATATATACACACAAAATACTTGCCATGTAAATATGAAATTTTAAATTCCTGTTGTGAAAAGGTGTTTCTTAACTAAGTTCTTAAAAGTGATTTGACTGTCTTCTTGTGTGATGTGCCAAAAGCAGTGTCTCTCCTCTTTGTTCTGGCTGAATTAAGTTAATTATGTCAGCCTAGCATGTCACAGGATGGATTAGGGGCTTCCAGTTGACTCATCGATTAACTTTTGTCCTCACACAACCTTGCAGCTTAAAGAACAATACCCCCGCTGAGGGGCTGTGTGTCTTAGAGCGACAGGTTCCTTTGTAGCTGGAAGCTGAAGCTGTACAATCAGATCCCTACAGTTTTCATTTTGCATGATGACGACTTTGTTAACTGTTGTTTGGGACTGCTGTGTCTCCTCAGGATGATAGCCAGGGAAATGGCTCGTATCCATGCCATCCATGCACACAACGGCTGCATCCCCAAACCCAACCTCTGGATAAAGATGAGAAAGTACTTCTCACTTGTGGCAACAGAGTTCACAGACCAAGCATCCAATGCCAGGTGAGATCAGCTAATTCTTTTTCTTGGTAGGTGCTCCTGCCCGAGACAAAGTCCTACTTTCAGTGATAGAGATGCAAAGGACCTGATTTGCCTGTTAGAATTGTTCATAGGATCGAGTCAGTTAACCCTTCTGTCAAGTTGTTTTATCTTTCAGGTTCCAGAGGCACCATATACTGTACATAAAGTTCAAGAGTGTAGTGTAAGGGTTCAAAAAATGTGGGTTTGGTACAGTTTCAGCAAAGTAAACGGAAAAAAAACACAACATATCAAATCTCCTGTCCTCTATCAGGAACTTTGAGAGCATGTCACAGTGTCTCCAGTGAGTATCAGCAGTTAGAGCTTCTGCTAGAGCTTGCTTTAGTAACATAAAAAAAAACTCAAGGTCTTCATTTTCAGAGATGGAGGTCACACAGATCCTAGAAAGAGGGATAACTCAAGGTTGTTCCTAAAAGAGATGATAGTAAAGCACTGAGCAAGTTACTGAATCTGTGAACACTCAGTTTTCTCCAATGACCCCCAAGTTTCTTGGGAGCCGGGTACACAGTAACACTTCTGCATTACTTCATTAAAGGGATATTCTGGCGTAAAATTAAGTTATGGTCAAACACACCGTAACACCGAGTTAGACACCCCCTCGAGAAGTAATTGTTGCCGACTGCTTGCTTCTCTAGTTATACCAACTTACACAACAACCGCACGATAGAACTACACAGCGATCTACGTCTCCACGCACAAACCTCAACCAAAACGCCACTCTATATCCACAAATAATGCTCAGAACAGCACCTAACTTCATCAACAGTACATATAGGGTCCCAGCCACAGTACTTGCCATCAAACATCTTTTGAGCTTTGCCTGATTTCTTTAGGAAAGAGACTAAACACAACTCACCCACTCTCCTCCAGCAGCCGCTTGTTTGTGGGAGGAGCCCTGATGAGTCGATCACCGAGTGCAGCAGAGTTCTCAGTAGTTCTTCTGCCCTAGCATCTCGGTATGATTGCATTTCCATGAAGTAATAATCAAAAATTTTCCGCTGCACAAAAAGCTGTTATACTTACTAGCCAATTCCTGTCCAGCAGAAAGGTTACAGGGTCCCTAAGATTCAGAAGCGTCCCCTGTCATTGTTGACCCGGCTTCTTAGCTCTTGTCTGCCTGGTCTACCTCCTTTTTAAGCGCCCGTTATTCCGCCAGATTCTCCGGTATTGAGTTCTTTTTCTTGCTTGTGTTGGCAGTCATGGCTAAAGGAGGATTCAGACAATTTTCCATACTTTCTGGTTGGTTTCTACTGTCTGATATTGTAGCACACTAACTTTGTTTGGGCTCCTGAATGACATCGGGGAGAAGCGCCCGCCTCACAACCAATCAGGATGGGGGAGGCTGGGAACAGCTTTGTTTACAGTCAGAAAGAGCGGAGCGCTCTGAAATTTTAAAATGTTGACTACACAGACATAAGAGAACACAGCGATATCGTTAAATTACCAAATGTCATCAATGACTAATAGCTATTTACTGATATTAAAAGCTTTTTTGTATAAACACCACAAAAAAAGATGCTTCTTCAACAGATTCCTGCCTACCCCACCTTTAATATCTTCATAGTAATGACAGTCAAAACAAAGAATGGCAAATATTACAGAAGATAGTCAACCGAACAGCCTCAACTCGATGTGGACAGCTTAGATAATAAAATGAAGGCAGAAATTCTAATAATAAAAAACAAATTAGATCATTTAACCAGTTTATAGAGCAGTTCATGTGCCAGATAGGAAAATTTTTAACAGCTAACTCAATAAAAGGAGGAATTATAAAACTGCCTCATACATCCATGAGCCCTTAAACAGCCTCTGAGTCCTGGTCCCACACAGTTTCTGGGATCAAGCATTCCACAAATTTTATTTCATTTCATAGCGAGAGTTAGCGTCTCTTCACGGGGGAAAAAAAGTCGTTTCCTGAAGTTTAGGCTGAAGCTGATTTAGTTTGCTACTTGGCGGCGGACCAGAGGAGCTGACAGAGGTGGACCATTTCATAACCTGGCAAGCTGCTCGGTCACAGCTTATATCTTTGTTCTGATGGCTATTAAACGAAGTCCAGCGTGGGGCTTATATAACTGTAACAATTATAGCAAGCTGGATTAAGGAGTCTAAGGCATGCAGTGGGCCAACAGATGTTTGCTCAGCTCAGTGTACCAGTTCACTTCACCCTCTTCCTTGGTTACACAGACAGCCAGAGTGGGCTGCACCTGGACAGCAGACACTTGTTGATGCGGTTTGAGGCAGATGGTCCATAAGCCCAGATGTTAAGTGCATTTTCAGAGACAGAGATGGAGACAGAGACCTATGTGAGGCAGCATTTGAAGGGGAGGCAGTGATCCAGGTGAAGCGTCCCAGGAGAGGGTGTGTGTGTGTTTAACACAGCCCTCTCCCTGCTGTCAGGCTGACTGTGGATTAAGCCCAGTAAGCCCATTACACTTAGCAGCGGGGTCTCTGCTCTTTAAACCAGTTTGGTTGGCTGAGATACTAGCTGGTAGACTTAACCCTCTCTCCGCTCGCCAATGATGTCACTTTCAGACAGCTAAACACCCGAGTTCTTAAGCCCTGCGGTGTGTGCGTCATGATGAAGGCTGGATAACGAATGCAGCTGCAGAGGTGGAAGCCTTTTTTAGAAATATGTGTGCCGTCATGGATAAAACACAAAGCAAACGCCGGTAATCAGATCCCAAAAGGAGATAGTGTCGTGTCGCCATAGTGACCCAGAGAAGCTCTCAGCACCACGAGGGTCCACCGAGAGCCTGTTTTCTCACTAACTGCTCCCATGAGTCTATGCTAAGCCTGTGTGCTCAGTGCATGTTTTTCTCAGCTGTTTACACATCTGATTACAGTCCTCTATTTTACACCCTTAAAACAACACAGAGCTTTTTCACTGAAGTAAGTAAAAACTCTCTGTCAGGAGAGTACACAGTATGTTCCGGTATGCTGATTGCAGCAGTATTTCTATTACTCCCCCCTATCATCTTTATGAGCCCAGTTTGCTGTGTAGTTTACATGACAGTCCCAGTAAAATCACTAAAAGTCGATGACATAGTGTACTTTTTCCAATGTTCTTCTTGTCTCTGTTTTCTCCAGAATCCAGCAAGAGTGTCCCAGCAAAGCTGTCCTGGAGCAGGAGATGGTATGGATGAAGGAACACCTCTCCACACTCGGCTCCCCTGTGGTTTTATGTCATAATGACCTACTGTGTAAGAACATCATCCACAACAGCAAAGAAGGTATGCACCTTCATCATAGTGATCAACAACTGCCATCATTATGTATATTTCTGTGTAACCCTTTGCAACAATACATTTCAACACAGTGTTTTGTTTTTATTTAAAAACTGGCTAAACATTAAGATCATCTGTTTTCACCTCTGGCGGTCAGTGTCATCACCAGAAACACTGTCAATACTTGTGCAATGTGCAAAAAGTTCAGTTCAAAGTTCCAACTGCAGAAGTCTGTTTTTTTGTGACCAAGAGATTTTCATCTCCAGTTCAAAAAAAAGATAGTGATGTATCCTCTTGTGTTCCAGGTCATGTCCGCTTTATTGACTATGAATACTCGAGCTACAACTACCAGGCCTTCGACATTGGAAACCATTTCAATGAATTTGCAGGTTTGTGAAGCAACAGTGCAATTCGTGTCCAGATCAACGCTAAGTCAACACAGTTGTGCTTTTTGTATAACTGTGGTTTTATGTGTGTGATCAGGAATGGCAGAGTTGGACTATGGGCTTTACCCCAGTCGGGAGATGCAGATGGACTGGCTCAAAGTGTACCTGCAGGCGTACAAACTCTTCACCAATAAAACAGAGGACGTCAGCCAGCGAGAGCTCGAGACGCTTTATGTACAAGTCAACAAGTTTGCTCTGGTGTGGAGGAATATGATACTCGTTTATATGCAGACTATCTTTTACAAACCCACAGTGTCTCACATTACTTCATCTGATACCTTCTGTTTTTTTCTTCCTTTCAAGGCTTCTCATTTCTTTTGGGGCTTCTGGGCGCTCATACAGGCCAAATATTCCTCCATCGACTTTGACTTCCTTGGGTGAGTTTCTAAATGGAAATGTTGAAGTTTCAGAGCTGTGTGTGGTGACCCCCCCCCTGTTAATATATTACATAAGTGAAAGTGTGTGTCTGAAACTGTCGGTTCGAGTTTAACTGAACATTATGTAAGCGTGACACCAAAACCCTCAAAGCTATCATCTTATTTGCCTTTGTGAGCATCCATTCCACCTAACTTTGCAGACTCTGTGAGGAATGCATTATAACCCCTCCTAGAAACCCTGAAGCCAGACTGTAAGCAGTAGCTCTCATTAGTACTGCTGGACAGATGTTTAAGTAATCAGAGACCTCTTCTGTAGGATCGTAATGCTCACATCAGTTTGTCTTGATTTTGTCTCCTTTGATTAGTTTTGGGCTTCATTAGGGGCCATGGGCTCAATAACAAATTTGAAAGATGTCTGTCATGATGTCCTCTTATGGAAACTTTCATGGTGTTTGACAACATTGTTTACAATGATACAATAGAATAAAGGCTAGTGGTTGTTACTGTGTAAGAACTGCAAGGGCAATATGATACAAATGTGTAAGTACTTAAGTGTAAGTGCTAAATATGTAAATATATACAGCAGGAGTTTGAGGTGTATGGTAATCGAATGGAAGGATATACTGCATATTAAATATGCAGCAGAGGTCATGAGTAAGACCAGAATATGTAAAGCAGAATTCCTGTGTAAGACCAGAATATAAATATAAATATAAATATACAGCAGAGGTCCTGTGTAAGACCAGAATATGTAAAGCAGGAGTCCTGTGTAAGACCAGAATATAAATATAAATATAAATAAACTGCAGAAGTTCTGTTTAAGACCAGAATATAAATATAAATAAACACCAGAAGTCCTGTGTAAGACCAGAATATAAATATACAGTAGAAGTCCTGTGTAAGACCAGAATATGTAAAGCAGGAGTCCTGTGTAAGACCAGAATATAAATATAAATATAAATAAACTGCAGAAGTTCTGTGTAAGACCAGAATATAAATATGCAGCAGAAGTCATGAGAAGTCCTGCAATGGATTTCCAAGATTGATACTAATACTGTTTTTTTTTATACTTCTTGAGTACTGTAACCAATATTAATAACTGATATGCACCAAAATGTGTTAGAGTTTGTAATATCACAAAGTCAAACACAAGAACACCTTCAGCAAATATTTAACCAAGACATTTTTCAAGTAAACAGCTGACAGTTAAACTTTCAGGAAAGTTATGTCACAAGGTAGTTTGACATTGAGCTAATTTGATAGTGTTGTGGGCGGGGCGTTAAGTTAAAAACTACTAATTTTAACCAAAGTCTGTGAAATAAAAAGCTGATACAGGTAACTGGCCGAATGCCAAACATTAGCCCTGGTACTGAGCTCCAATTTCCCAACACTTCGGCTGCACATGCTCCTAAATTTCAGCGTCTACTTGGAAGCTTTTGTGCAAGAGTAAATAACTTTTTAAACCTTTACTAATACAGTGAGCGGTGGTTGATTATTAATGCCTGCTGAGAGCAGTAATGTTCATACGTCAGCCAAGAGTGACGTGAGCTTCTTAGCAGGTGCTGCTTCTCAATCACTGCCCTTTCAACAACTCAGTGCTTACATAACCAATCAGATGGCAGCTTCACATTCTGCACAAAAAAGGTGAAGTGTGTGTAGTAGCCGGACCGTGTACTGGATGATGAATTTATCTCCAGAAGTGGATTCTTTTTCCGATTTCATCACTTTCTTCTTACTTCTCTGTCTTGCAGGTACGCTGTGCTACGTTTCAACCAGTACTTCAAGACCAAACCTGAAGTGATGGCCCTTTAGATCCCAGAATGAGAGAGGACAGAGGAGAACAGAGCAGAGATAAGACAGGAGGGGAGGGTACATCAGGTTTAACGCTGGGACTCCCTGTGGGAACACACTCTCTCACTCTCTCTCTCTCTCTCTCCTTCCGCCAGCTGGTTACGGACCCTTACTCGGTCTACCTGGCCTCTTTTTCTGCAACAAGCGCAATTATTCTTTCATTCCTCCACCTTAGGTCCAGGTCACAACTGTAGCTCAAGAAATGTCCATGAGGTCTGTCTATCGGTACGTACTGTATGTGTGCGAGGGTGTACTTGCTTTTGTCTGTATTGTTAACCCATCTTCCTGCTTTCCTTCTGAGGGAAGCAGAACAAGGTGTAGTAAACCCAGCAGTCTGACCTTAGGGTAGAGACGAAACCCCTGAGACCTGCGCCGCTGTTAGTCACGCTGACACAAACATGTTTCTCAACCACCTTTAGACGGCTCGAACAAGATTCGGGCCTTTTAGAGGGTAAACAGAGACGCAGATAGCTGTTCTTGTTATTTGTTCGCTCTAAGACTCAATGCAATGGCCTCATTAAAGTGAGAAACCAGCTATAGATGTCCTTCACATATTCCACTACGGTTTTTTCAGAGTTTTGGTGCTCAGTGAAGCCATTCCTCTTTCAGTCTGCAGATCTGTCATGATTTGAGTCCAATCTGCACCATTCGTCCTCATTTTTCTTCTCCATCTTTGGTGCTAAGTGCTCATCGCTACAGCACCTCTGCACTGTACACTCCAGAAATCAGCTGTGCACTTTGAGCAAAACTGTGTTTTTTGTTTTTTCCTTGTTGCAGTTAAATCTTCTGTCAGTTTCTCTTTCATTCATTTCAAACAAACTGCTGCTAAAACTAGGAAATTAAAAAAGACCGATTTTGGCAAGTGGACTTCTCCCCTGTACGGAGTGTGGCGAACAGCAGATGGACTTGATGCGGTCACTGTTGTGTTATAGCAATGGGTGAAAGAGAGAAGCTTAATGTGCATTTATTTATTAATGTGAGAACCGTTTGGATTATTTAATATCTCAGGTGAAAGAACTCTGGTGACTGAAGGGGAGAAAGATGCCGGTGAAAAAGAAGGCGCTCGTGTCACTCTGAACTCAGAGCACATTTCTGTCCTCAACCTGTTTTTCCACCTTCTTGACTTTTATGGTTAAAGAGAATCACTCAGTTAAACTTTCCATTAAGTCTTTCCAGAGCTCTTGGAAAATTACAACCTCCGTCATCCCTGCAGCCACCCCCTCCTCCTAATCCACCACCCGTCTCCCTTCCACTTTTTATGCCCTGGGCTGTTTGCTCCCTCCTCGTGTTGCCATCTTTGATCTCTGCCCTCGGCTTTGTTTCATATTCCTCTTCATGTCTGTAAACTGAGGCCACAGCACCTGCTTCGTAGGCCATACCCACAAAAGAGTCTGCTTTACGTCCCACGCTGAAATCAATTTCTACTCGGGTCACAAGTTTTGAGGCAAACTGTGACACATGATCAGACATTGTCCAAGTTATTTCTAGGGTCAAATCATGCGAGCTTTGTTAAGCCTTTTCACTGAGCTATTTCCATGCATGGTTGTTTTTAGGAATGTAGTGAGAAGCCAGATCTGAAAAGAAAGCTGATAGATCCGATTTCTGAGACTACGTTTACATGTGCCTGGCTATTTTTCATAAATGGACATTTCACCCTCTCTGTTTACAAAAAAAGACTGTGCACACCACTACGTTACCAGAAAAGTTTTCGTTTACACTAACCTGTGTATATATATGCCGTCAAGAGCATGCCAAACCTGTAGGTGGCAGTGAAGCAAGAAGCTCAAGCCAACGTTAGCCAATAGCAGCAACAACAAAAACAACATCACTTCCTTCTTTCCAGACAGCTATTTAAATCTCAGTTTTTCTCTGTTTACGTGCAAACAGAGTTTTCCAAAATCTCCACATTGGCCAGAGTTTTTAAAAAGCATCGTTTTCAGAGGCGGATTCTCTGTTAGTGTCTGAACGAAGGGTGCAAACGATGGTTAATGTCTGTTTTTATAAATAACTGGGTACATATAAACAGGGTCTGAATCTTTATTCTTCCTGCCTTACAGATCTGCAGTTCTTCTCGACGGTAAAATGAGAGTTCTGCAGATCGTTTGGATTGAAAGTTTCATGTATTTAGTCTGATCCAGTGTCAAAAACATTTCAGGTGACCCTTTTTAACCAATATTTAAGAACCCTGTCATTTTGCAGTTGACAGCTGTAAATGCAGTGGGAAAATAAGCAAACCCCTCAATTGACCGAGCTACCACCTGTAAAAGAATTGCACTTTTTCACAATTATTGAAGTAGAATAAAAACAGACGACAAACAGGTGCAGAATTTCCCCTTGAACAGATAAATCATCTCACTGTCGTGGTTGATAACTAAAATATTTCCAGACAGAGCTCAAACACGATAAATGCAAGTTGATGACGTAAACACGAGTAACGGACTTGGAGCTGAAGCCCACACAGAGCAGAATAACAAACAAACATGGCCGAAGGTAATGAAGAAGACATCTCTGAGCAGCAGTTCAGATTTGTTTGATGTCACTAGTTTTCTCTATAACCTACCACCTAAACTTGTGGTTAAGTATCATATTTGATTCTGCTAACTGATGTCCTCAAGACAAAATGGGTCAAAAACATATTTAGGAATTTTAATATTTTTTATCGGGACTTTTATTGTTATCGGCAGAACGGCAAATCTTTTCAGGATAAATTTCTTAGCCTGTATTGCCCATCTCAAATCTGATCTTGAACGGTCCTTGTGCATCCTCACACACCTAACTTGATCTTGTTAAATGTAATCTAAAGCCTGTTTCTCTTTATCATTTCAGTTTTAACTAGATTTTGCAAACATTGAAAGGGTTGTTGTTTGAGGCTTTTTGAAGCCTGCAGATACCCTGTCAGCACAGACCAGTCTCTTTGAAACACTGATTCACCACAGGCTGCTGTCATAATCAACTCACATTATATTTATGAATAACCAGGTCCTCTGATGATACCACATCAAAATAGAACAGAAACATGCCCCCCCTCTCACCTACACACTCCTCTGGACATTTAATCCTCTTTAAGCTCAGCAGGGGGCGACGCTGAGCTCTGACCTTTGTCTACCACTGATGTCTCATGTATCTGAAAGACTGAATTATTTACACAGTGAGCTGGGGCCTCTCAGGACAGAGGCTGAGTGATGTGGATGGTTTCCAGTCTGTATTATTCATCTGAGAGATGACACAAGTGCTGTCGAAGGATTCATGTTTATATTCAAAGTGTCTAAAACTCTTAAACTCTTACCTTGTCAGCGTAAACGATAGCTCTAGGGATTTGTGATGCTGAAGAGTTACTTTGTCAAATAGTACTTAAAGGGATATTCTGGCGTTAAAATTAAGTTATGGTCAAACACACCGTAACACCGAGTTAGACACCCCCTTGAGAGATAATTGTTTCTGACTTCTTGCTTCTTTAGTTATACCAACTTTAGTAACAACCGCACTATAGCAAAACAAAACGGTCTACGTCTCCACGCGCAAACCTCAACCAAAAAGCCGATTTGTAGCCACAAATAATGCTCAGAACAGCACCTAACCTGACGAGCCCATCACCGAGTGCAGCGGAGTTTCGCAGCTCAAGGAAGAACATTTATGATTATTACTTCATGGAAATGCAATCAGACCGAGACGCTAAGGTAGAAGAACTACCGCGTCTGTAGTGCAAAATGATCAATATGATGATTGTTACTTAGAGGAAATGATTCGCTGCACTCAGTGATCGACTCGTCAGGGCTCCTCCCACAATCTCAGTGTTACAGTGTGTTTGACCCTAACCTATTTTTATGCTGGAATTTCCCTTTAAAAGAAGTCACATGTATAAGGGTAAAGAGCCAGAGTAAATGAAATCATCCACACTGGTTTTGGAATAATCAAAGGCGCTGACAGTCGAGTGATGAGCTGCTTAGATTTCCTAAAAGAAGACAAAGTCACACAATCCTTGGGTGGTCCTAAAAGCATTTTTGGTTGACATTGTCTGTTGTTCCACCGAGCACAGGGCATCAGAAACAATGTCAATAATTTCAGCGTGATTTAAATTGGTAGAGCTTCAATGTGCAGATTTGGTAACCATACAGTAAAAGCTGGAAACTGGAAATGTGCTATCCCCAAGTAACCCACATGACTTCAGAGGATCACTTAAATGACCCCTTTTGTTATTTTTAATGCACTTTTTGGCGTTTTTGAACGATGTCATGATGCACTGACACACCGGTGGCGTTTGTGTCTGAATCACTACAGCCGGATAGGAAGTTAAATGAATAGTCCTGATGCCACGTTCCAGTCAGTGTGGAGTTTTCTCCAAAACACCGTCACTGGACGACTTGTTTTAACTCTGACAGGCTCACTCCAAAGATGCTCTCTTTATGACTTTATCAATAAGTTTTCACCTACAGATGAATTTGGTGTCTGTGGGAGAGTTCTTCTAGTTTTGTCACATTAGCAGCTTGTTGGTCATCATCTGCTTTACTCAACGGTAGCATCAGTTTGAAGATGAACTCACTGCTTAAGAGGACATTAATTTATTAAAGCAGACAGAAAAGCAAAGAAGAGTGATTACTCTTTTGTTTTCTTGCTACCTGTTGGGCTGGAGGCTGCCCCCCTTTGGTCAGTTTATGAAAGCACACCCTCTGCTCTGCTTCAGAAAGGCCTCGCCCCCTTCTTTCTAAACAAGTTTGGGTCATATTCCCAAACAACTGTCCCAAAGTCTCGATCTATGAGTTGTGTAGCTTTTCATGGACAGTAAGAAGTGTTTCTGTTTTTGAATGCTTCAGTTAGATATAGGTGGACTTCACAGGTTTGTGTTGTTATAATAAAAGTTACTGCTTTTCCCTGTAAGTAAACTCAGGCAGATCATCTTAAGGTTAAGAGTGAGACCAATGACAGAACTCTCTTCCTGAAAGTTTTTGCTTTAATTTATTTAACTTTCCCAAAAATTCGCTAAAGGAAACAAAAATCTTTGCACTGTTTCCTGCACTGACAATTAAGTTTGGCATTTCTTTGTGACACTCAGTACTGACCTAGAATCCTGGTATGAACACACTGAAGTTCACAAATGTCCCTTTTTGTACTCTTAGTCCAGTTTGTAAACATACACGCACACAAAGACAGCGGTCAGCTAACACTTTGGATAGAGTGAGCCAAACGTGAAGGTTTAAGACAGTGAATGAAGTTACTGAAGTGTTCCCATTTAGAAGTTAAATGGAAGGTTGTTTTTATACAGGGTTTATTTATTGAAGGAGTAAAACATCGAACGGACGCACTTCCCAGCATTCTTTGGTCCTAATCATACCAACATGGTTAGCTTCAGAGGGTTTGCATTGCAGTTCATTGAGATAAACTGTGTTTGTGAGTGAATGTACTAACTTAAGTTGAAGAAACACTGTACAGATTACTGATTATTTTTCTTTGTATGCTTCTATTTACTTTTGTAAATGCTTGAGCGCTGTGTAAATGTACTCATCTACTGCTAAAGGAGACGCCGTGTCAGTCAGTGTGTGTGGCCAGCAGAGATGGAGGATGTAAATACTGTAAGAAATACTGTGAAAAGCTTACTGTACAGCGATCCTTCACACCTCTGTAGAAAAAAAAAGACTTATTTAACAGTTGTCAGTAAATATTTCCATTAAAATGCATAAAGTAATGAACGTGTGTGTGTATATTTTTCCTGCTGTCATGTCTGCGTCTCTGCCAATTCAGGGGATTACAAACTGGGGATCATACATGTGTATTAATGGGGCTAATTATTCCTCAAGACTGCTCTATGGTAGAATCTGAACAGAAAGTAACCCAAAATGTTTCTAAAAAATACAGTTTGAGCTCTGAGTTATACTACAGGAAGAGGTGTGCCAGTCTGGGAATCATCTCTGAAGGACCTGACTTAAAGGGATATTTCATCGTAAATTTAGTTATGGTCAAACACACCTTGACATCGAGTTAGACACCCCCTCAAGAGATGAATGTTGCCGACTGCTTGCTTCTCTAGTTATACCAACTTTAGTAACAACCGCACGATAGCAAAACACAGCGGTCTACATCTCCATGCGCAAACCTCAACCAAAAAGCCACTCTGTAGCCACAATATATATAGCTTAAGACCATGGGTGACAGGGCCTTCGAGGTGGCTGCTCCCCGTCTGTGGAACGCGCTCCCCGACCACCTCACGGCTCCACAGTCGGTGGATGCTTTTAAAAAAGGACTCAAAACCTTCCTTTTTCTGAGAGCTTATCCGGACTGATTTTATCGGATTTTATCTGCCGACTGTTTTTATTGTTTTGTCCTGTTGCTTGATTTTAGTTATTGTTGTTTTTTATTTGTTATTGTTGCCTGTGCACTTTAAAGTTTGTTTTCAAATGTAAAGTGCGTTACAAATAAAATCTATTATTGTTATTAAATAATGCTCAGAACAGCACCTAACTTCATCAACAGTACATATAGGGTCCCCGCCATAGTACTAGCCATCAAACATCTTTTTAGCTTTGCCTGGTTTCTTTAGCAAAGAGACCAAACACAACTCACCCCCTCTCCTCCAGCAGCCGCTTGTTTGTGGGGGAGCCCTGACGAGTAATGATTTTTCACAGCAGACATAGTAGTTCTTCTGCCTTGGTGTCTTGGTCTGATTAAATTGTCATGAAGTAATGATCAAAAGTGTTCTTCCTTGAGCTGCGAAACTCCGCTGCACCACTGAGTTATACACCGAGCAGTTGTCTAACTCAATGTTACGGTGTGTTTGACCATAACTCAAATTTACGCCGAATCACTTTGAACCTATCAATTAGACTGACTGAACCATCTCCCACCATACACACACTTTTGTAAAAGAATCACACAAGATTAGCACAACCAATTTATTTTCTTTCAAGAAAAAAAAAAGTCACAAAACTCTGAAAACATAGAGAAACATACACCTTTAAATTACACAAGCTCTTATAAACAAAATAAAGTCTCTTCTATATTTACATCAGCAGGGGGAACGACAGGTGACTCCTCAGCATGTCTCCTCCAGAATAAGATTAACATATTCCTCTGTGCACAAAATCCAGCATTTTTATGAGACACAGATCTGACCATGATTGTACAAGAGGGGCCCGGATCCATAAACTAAAACCACGTCACTTTCTGCTGTCTTGAGTTGTTTACCCTTGGGTTTGCTCCGGGTGAATTCACCCCAGCAAACACCAAGTTTGTGTGCTAGTTGTCAGTTTGGTCAAAGTCTGATGAGAACAAAGACACCAAAATTGTATATGAACCAAAAAGTGTAAACCACAGATTTTTCAATGTTAAAAAGTTCATAACCAAAAAAAGTCCCAAAACTTTAGCAGAAGCTAGAAGCTCTTAGCACTTCTGCCAGAACATGTTTTTCTTAAATTTAGTTTGAACTGACAAACTTCTTCAGGAAAACTAATAAAGCTGCAGTTGGCATCATCAATTTGTTCCAAGTTAATCAGATTAAACCATTTTATCTCGCTCAAAATAACTTCTCAAGTATCCAGAAGAATTGATTGTCTGACATTTATTTGTGGATGTCGATGCACTAGTTAAAAAAAGGTCTTTTTTTCATGTGCATAAACATACGTTTGCACAGACGCTTAGGAATTTGGTGTCTTTACTCTCATGAAGTTGACCAGAGATCAGTAACACAAAACCAAGTTTTTCCTTCTCTGTCAACAGTCTAAAGCATTGAATTGATATATTTCCACTTTGAAATAAAACAGCTATGGCTCCTGTATATGCAAGGATTTAGGATTAAATTACCACTTTGTAAATCTGTTAAACAGGAAATACAAACAAGACATAGAGTCGTAGGACAACAGCTAAACCGCCTCGGTTTGAAAGTTTAATGTATTGATTTTAACAGGAGCTGACTGTCTGTGGCTACAATAATGTCTCTCGCTTACTTTCAGTCTTTACATCTCAGTGCAGCTTCAGAGAAATGTCACTGTTAAAATCTTGAAATTGGTTTCTCAAAATAAGAGAGCATGTAAATGGGGGGGCATCTAGGAAGCAGAGAATAAAACTGCCAGTCAGATGCACAGATGGGGCGTCCAACACTACAATCAATTAACAATTAAAGAAGTCAACACAGAGGGATAAAAGAGGCCAGGCTGAGGTCAAACCACCATGAGGGGCCTGATCGGCACACATATACAGCGTTTTTGAGCTTCACAAAACAGAGTGATGACAACTTGCTAAAAACAACTGGATAAACAGTGAGATGTAAACTGTTAGAGGCAATGAGATACTTGAAAATAACACAATAACACAAAAATGAGGTCTTGACATTGAAATGATTATTTGACAAAGATGCAATAAGTTAATATTCCGAGCCAAAATTTAAAGTGACCCTAAACATCGCTGCTCTCCTTTAACTGCCGTTAGGGACTAAACACTGTCACCCTAGGATGATGAGGCCAAAATGACTGGTTATCTAAATGTGTAATTATTATTACTGACTAATGTTGTTTTTCAGCTGTAATGCAGCCACTCGTCATGAGCAGGTCCAAGAGCTCCAGTTACTGTTAAACGCCATCAAGCCATAATGCTCTTCTATCCGGATGAATGTCGGCATCCCACAGATGAGAGCAAAACCAATCTGGGTACTGAGTCCATGAACTGCAGGTCCTGCCCCTTTTTGTGTGAAAGCAAACAATCGGAATTGAAACTCCAGGGTCTTTGGCATCATAATAGCTAAAAACAAGACAACTGGATTATTTCAAACATCATGATTTATATGTTTGCCTTACAGACCGTCAGATTCCGACTCATATATTTCTTTTTTAGGCGATTTAGTCGCTGAAGACCATGGAATTCCCATTTACTGTAGTTAACTTGATTCTCATTTAATTTATTTGCTTTCACCAAAAAGGGGCACGGTCAATTTTGTAAGTGGAATGTAGGGATGGGCGATAAATGATCGTTCACGATTTATCATCAGAAAATTCCTCCACGATAAATATTTGCCATCTCAGGATAAACGCGATAAATGCAAGTTGATGACGCAAGTGCGAGCGACGGACTCGCAGCCATAACCCACACAGAGCAGAATACCAAACAAATAGGCCGAAGGTGATGAAGAAGACGTTTCTGAGAAGCTTGTTGCTAAACAAGGCTAATTTCCTTCAAGAACTGGGTTTTAGACGAGCGCAGTCAAGTATGCTTGACATCAGACAGTGAATCTGCTGTTTTTCAAGTTTTCAACAACAAATGTTGAAAATGTTTTTACATTTCACTGGTTTTCTCTCTGACCTACCACTCAAACTGCAACTGAAGTATCTTATTTGACTATGCCAACTGGTGTCCTCAAGACAGAATGAGTCCAAAACATAAATATGAATTTCAATATTTTTTAATCTGGACTTTTATTGTTATCTGCAGAATGGCAAAATTTATTGTGATTAATTTTTTTAGCCCATATCGCCCATCCCTAGTGGGAAGTGAGTCACAGCCTGCTGTGGTTCAGCATTATTCTGAGCAGGCAAGTCATGAAATTAATAAAAATATGTTGTTCAATATTATTTTGAGGGCTTTTCTTGTGAAGTGGACATGTATGAAACACAGGTGCTTGGATGTGGAGGATTAGAGACTGGGGTTGCTGACTCTACACTCCCTCAGTGATACAACTGGAAAGAGGAATATCTCGGGCTGCTCATTTGTATGATCAGGTTCGACTTACAGCTTTGCAGGCTTTAACATGTCCTTTACAGCTTCAGAGAGACTGAGAACATAGTCATCACTTCGCCTTATGGGAGGTGTAGGATCCAGTGCTTTAACACGTTAACTACTGACTAAATAAAATGTCTTCTCTGAAGCGCAGGAATATATCTGATGTCTGGAGGTTTTTCTTTTAAAACTCGACTTGTGGGTGTAAGGCTTTGTGGGCATTCTGAGGCATGAGTTGGATAAATAAGATCTAATATCGTCTGTCAGAATCATCAACATACAACAATGTGAAAATGAACAAACAGGACCTCTGCTGTGACAGGTTTGCAGTTTGTTAACCGAACTTCACCAGCAGGGGGCAGCACTAACACACTTATAACATCAAAAACAAGCTGCAGCACGTCTGCTGCTCTTAACAGGAGAAGGTTCCTTTGGGGAATTTGGTTTGAAGAAAGTCAAAATGAGAGGGAAACATTGAAAAACAGAGCCGTTGGAAACACATCTATGAGTTAGTAAGAAAACAGCCCGCCTGTTTGCGTGTGTGTGTGTGTGTGTGTGTGTGTGTGTTGGGAGGAGTTTAAGGATAACAATTTACAAGGGTATGACATTTTTTAACCACATCCTCATTTTTGATTGTGAAAGACGCCAATTCAGTCACTCTCCATTTCCCCTGCTCTGTTCTTCTTCTCTGCCCGTCAGCCAATCAAAAGCATCCTTCCTCCCCAGCTTCCTTCCTCACCTTCACCCCCCCCCAGCCCACCCCTCAGTCTGTCAGGAGCACCAGTTCCCCTTCACTCCTCTCTCCCCCATCACTTTCCTCTCCTTCGCTGTACGGGGGTCGCTCTCGCTCTCGCTCTCGTTCCCTCTCTCGTTCTCGTTCTCTCTCTCTTTCTCTGGGTAGGGAAGTGGGCATGGCCTGGCCCTCCACTCGACGTGGGGCAGGTGGGACCTGGGGCAGGTAATGCTCCAGTAATGCAGGGTGAAAAGGCATGGCTGCCACCGAGACTGAGCCTGGGTTACCCGGGTACTGGCTGTCGTTGTGGGGGTAGTGGATCTGCTGTGGTTCTGTTTGGCTAAAAAGACAGAGTGACGTGTGTTAGTTAATGTCAGGTTTGTTTGGTTTGATTACTCTCAACAGGTCACACAATACAAAGATACAGAGAACTTCTAAGTATAAGAACAACCTTCAATTCTGTGCAATCATGCAGCTATAATGTCTTTTTTTAGAGGTGGGCGGAGAAGTGCAGTTACTGAATGGTTAAGAGCCCTGAGCCGTTAAAGGAATAAATAAGAAGGAATAAAAGCAAAGGCCACTGTGATGTTCTTATACATTTAATCCTCATAAAAAGACTGGGAAAAAAAAAGAGGCTGAATAACACTCAGATCCACCTGATGTAAACATCCTCAAACTCCTCAGCTTAACTAGTTGTAGGAGTTTACAGGAACAATGAGGGGTGCTTTTTACCTCCGCCAAGGAGGTTGTGTTTTCGGTAGCGCCGGTTTGTTTGTTTGTGAGTTTGTTTGTCTGTGAACAACTTTACGGAGAAAGTAACAGACGGATTGAACTGAAATTTTCACCAGAGGTGCGTCTCAGCCCCAAGAGGATCCCATTAAATTTTGGTGGTGATCCGGATAAAATTGTGGATACTGTGATCCAGAACACACAAAAATAAGGGTGTCGTTGGAATTTTCAATGGGTGGCAGAGTGGTGTAGATCGGCGGCACAGTGGTGTAGTGGTTAGCACTGTCGCCTCACCGCAAGAAGGTCCTGAGTTCAAATCCCGGTCAGGGCATTTATGAACAGTGAACATACCAGTTTAAACACAAATAAACGATAATAAAAGACACGTAACAGTAAAAGCTTTTGTGTGAATCACAATATAAGGAGGGACATGACCTGCTTGGCGAAGGTCTGCGCTCTCCGAGTGCTTCTCTAGTTGTCATTGTGGAGGACAGAGTCAAAAACTCAAGCGCCACTTTTGTTTATGTTTTCAAGAATAAGAAGATGCCTCAGAAAATGCAGGTATTGTCCTCAATGTTTAGAACTGCAAAGCAAACTCTTGATGTCTACCAGGGACAACGTTTCCCTCAGTATCTCAAAGATGAAACACACTGGGTCTACCTGTGTGTGTAGGTCGCTCTCTGCTCCTGCCGGCGGCTCTTCATCATGGCCTTGTACTCCCCGACCCTCAGCCTCCGTCCCTCCACGATGCAGGTGCGTTTGGGCCGTGGTTTGTACTTGTAGTCGGGGTATCGCTCCAGGTGCTGCCTGCTCAGCCTGGCCTGCTCTTCGTAGTAAGGCTGCTTCTCCTGGTTGGACATAGACTTCCACCTGGAGCCTGAGGATACAAACACACAGAAGCAGCAAGTCAGGCCTGAAATACAGCATGCTTGAAAATTTGAAAGCAGGCGAGAGTGTGAGCTTGAATTTTAGTTATTCAAAGACTGCACTTTAAAGTCACTCTGTAAAAACAAATTACATAAAATGTAGATAAAATTAAATACAATTTTTACCACCCCTTAAACTGTACACCTCAAATTAGATCCAGTGATGCACTTAGCTCGACTCCAACAGGGATCCACAGCTCCTAAACTAAACACACCTTTGTACACTCGTTTTCTGCTTGTAAAACTGATACCATGAAGATCTGAGTCCTCATCAACACCACTTTCATGTCTCTTCTGTCGTCATTATTCTATTTATTCAGGTTATTCTGCAAAAAACAATCTTCCTTTTCTCTGGACATGATATTTGAACACATCCTGTCAACCTAGTATTCACTTTTGCTCATTTCTCGTTATACCGACCTGACCTTGAACTCTTAACATAGTATGCCACCTTGATTAGTTAACTAACAAACCCTTATCCGGATAATTATAGGGGTGGGAATCAACAATGGCGCCACAGTACGATATTATCATGATACTTGGGCCACGGTACTTTATTATTGTGATTTTAAACATTTGCAATACAGTGAATATTGCGATATTATATATTGCGATTTATACAATTTTTTCAAATGTTTGGCTGATTTAGCATTTGTCTTTCCTTTATGTTTGTCTTATTTACACTGTATTTTATTTTCATGAAGCAAATCTTGCAAACCTTGTAAGTATTTATATTTGTTGTTCTAACTTCCTCCTGCTCTATGACGTCACCTCTGCCAACCTCACTGGACAAACAGTTGATTTTATTCTTCCATTATCACAGATTTGACTTCATATAAACAATTAATTTGAAAAAATCAATACTTGGTAAATGAGACGATACGATATATCACCAGACAAAATATCGCAATACTATGCTGTATCGATTTTTTCTCCCACCCCTAGATGATTATAACATTTTCCTGCTCATTTTTATTATTCTATCTTATCATTAATATTACCATCATTATTATTGTATTATGATTGTATTATCATTATCCTCTTTTATACGTATCCTGTTTCCTGCTTCCTGCCCTCCTTTTCTATTTCATTCTTCTTCTTACCTATTTTATGTTTTTATTTTGGTCCTCATGGTCTCATTTTATGTTGAAGGGTTCTTGTATTAACTGGGTTTCTTATGAAAAATGAAACTGGCCTTCAATTTGGAGGCCTTGTTTTTAACTGAGCTTTTGCTTTTATTTTCATGTGATGATGTTCTGTGCTTGCAGCTGTTGTCAAAGCACTTTGTAAACTTCGTAAACTTTGTAAAAACGTATTATTATTATTATTATTATTATTATTATTATGTTATGATTTTTAACTGATGATTACCCGAACTGCTTTGGCAGAGGAGGGGGATGGCAGCCCTGCAGCAGCACCAGCAGTAGACTGAGTTGACAGAGTTGCTAACAGCCAAAGTTACAGCATTTGGGCGGGATTTCATGCACACTGCTGATGTGCTTCGCCGTGGAGGTTGTGTTCCTCCTTGCAAGAAACTGTTTTGTAACATAAAATGCATTTGGCGTCTATCTTTAGCTTAAATGTAACCACTCTTTAGACCTCTGTGCATGCAAGCAGAATTCAAGAAGAATTGTCATTCAGGCAGGTAAGGCAGGATGTAAGGCCACAGTGAAAATGCTCAGTGGCATCGAGGGGCCGTGAACATGCTGAGGACCAAAAACAGCCCCAGCAGGATGGATCCATGATTTCGTGTTGATTAGACCAAATTCTGACCCACCACTGAATGTGGACGCTGAAATCTAGACTCATCAGACCAGAGGAAGGTTTCTAATCTTTTAGTCGTCTTCTGCTACCGAAGCCAATCTGTTTGAAGATTCAACTGGTTGCTGTTTTCAGCGATGATTTCCTGCATACCTTGGTTGTTGCAAGTGTTTATTTTTGCTACTGTTGCCTTTATATCAGCTCCAACCTGTTAATCCAGGTGTTTTCCCCCAGAGGCCTGCCACCTATTGGATATTTTCTCTTTTTTGGACCTTTGTTTATAAACCCCAGAGATGGTTGGGTGTAAAAACTCAAGCAGTTCAACAGTTTACTGAATACACCGGGAAGCTTGTTTGGCACCAACAAACCTGCTATATTCAGAGTCACACAAATCACCTTTGTGTCTTCTTTGTTCTGACGCTCAGTTTGGATTTTAACAGATATGTTCCTTAGAGCATCGAGCTGTCGCCGTGTGATTGGCTGATTAGATATTTGCATTATATGATATTCACAAGTAAAAATCTATTCAGAACATTTTATCCTCCAAATCATTCGTGAAGATTTGTTACTATGATTCGGTTATTTTGACTCTGATACATGAAAACAAACCCTCTTAATGCAGATGTTTAACAGACAAAGGTGTTGTGATTTGAGATCAGTTCAGTCTTGGTGTGAGGGTGTTAATGCACCTTCCAACATGGAGGTGCAAGATTATCTGGCAGAGTGATTGGTGTGAAAACAGACTTTAACGTACAAAGATCTGTTTTTTAGTGCGCTCCACGAAAGGAATCATTAAGATCTGTATTTAACGGGGAGGAATAGAGAAAGCATGAAGAATATGTGAATGAAGAATGTATAAACTGTGACGGTGCATCATTTTCCTGCATGTGTGAGTCAGTGTGAAGACGGGTTGCTCACAACAACAAGTTCACCACAATAGAAAGGAATGTCAGTGTTTGTGTCGGGGAAAGGGAAGGATTCAGGGCAGTGTGTTTGGGTGTGTGCTTGTTTGTGTGTGTTTGTCTGCTGGGAGAAGCAGGTGGCTGTTTGTGCCCTCACATGTGCCAGGCAGAGTCTCAGAATAGAGACACAGACTAACCCCCCACTCACCCACACCCACACACACACACACACACACACACACACACTAACCTAGGATCTTGCTGATGGAGGAGTTGTGCATGTCGGGGAAGGCCTGCAGGATCCTCCTGCGCTCGTCCTTGGCCCACACCATGAAGGCATTCATGGGTCTCTTTATGTGGCCCGAGGAGGGAGGGGGCCGGGCTTCAGCATAGCTGCCTGAGACTGAGACGGGCAGGGCACCTACAGGAAAGAGGGTTTTAGTCGGATGACCACAACAAACTGCTGGGTATGGAACATGTTCACCATTCCTCCTTAATTATATCTTTTCTTCTTACCCCCCTCCTGAAAACAGACCTCATGAGCGGCCGTGGGAAACAGATGTTTGCACAATTTAGTTTAAATTTGTCGACATTAGAAAGTAAACAAGCTAACGCCTTCATTTTTTCACAGTGGTCAACTAAGATTCCTGACACATGCCGGGGCAGCACTTGGTTGTCTAGTGCACAGGGTTCAAGGTTCTCCAGCAGGGCACCGGATTTCTGGCAAGGCGCTATTTCACTGCGGCTTTTGCCATTTTAGAGTCTGAATCTGAGAATTGTGTCCATAGATTTACCTGCTGCTCTGTTTCTCTTTTTGTTCACTGCCTCTCTGTATGGAGTTATACTTTGATACACTGGTCTTGCACAATGGCCAATCATTCAATAAACGTGTAAAAATCACCCATAAAAAAAACAATGTCTCCCATTAACTCGCATGTTTCGTTAGCTAAAATAAGATCCACCTGGCACAAATGTTACTCTTAGATATAGCGCTGTTATCATAACTTTAATAAACATTATAGATCGTCTTATTGTCAGTCCATATAGGACAGCACGACTCATGAGCTACTGGAGTTCAGAGGAAGAAAAGCCGGTAACCCTTTCTTTTACGGTACACTTATTACCAGGTAATTAACAGGTAATTACCTAGTAACAACATGAAATTATCTGGTAATTACATGATAACTACTAAGTCAATACTGTCTAGCTACCAGGTAGGTAAGCTTCCATCATTACACAAATTTGAAGCTGAGTTGCTCTGGTATTTCCAGGATTTTCTCTGCTTCCTTGAACCACCTCTTGCGCAGTAGCATTGTACGCATTCGGCGGGTGACAGCGTATCGCTACGCAATCTTTGCACGCCCATAGGCTGTATCAAGTGTCAATCATAGAAAATAAGAACCCCAAATAGCTTTTGAAAATGGAGCTGCACAGAAAAAAGAAAAACTGGACAGTATTGCTTTTTTAGTTATCATGTAATTACCAGATAATTTCATGTTGTTACTAGGTAATTACCTGTTAATTACCTGGTAATAAGTGTACCGTAAAAGAAAGGGTTACCAAAAAGCCTTTGAAAATGACACAAGTAACGTGATTTGGGCTTAAAACTTCATGATCACAATTTAACGACCACTGAGGACACTTTATGTAGAAATGAAAAGAGGGGGGAAAAGGATGGAGTGGGACTTTAAAGTAGATTTTTTTTAGTAGGAGCGACCCCCAATAACACCCAAACTGTTCCAAAAGAGCCTCATCGTATTTCCATACATTCATACATTAGCGTAATGAAGAAACCTCTTTAAAAGAGATGTTAACAAGGTTTGTGTTGCATTATCGCTTATATGCCAAAGGATACACAGCAGCTGCAACCCCAATGTTAGGGAGTTCAATCTAAAGGCAAGGGGGGTCATGAAGTCACCCACCCAGGGCACCAAAATGTCTAAAGCCAGCCCTGTGAACAATTTTCCTGTTTAAGAACAAGCTGAAGAATAACCTTTAGACTTTGTACAAACTTTATTTAGAAAAAGTGTTCCCTGAGTTTTAAATACCCAATTCACTAATTAGGAATATAACAAAGTCTACGATTAATGAAAACGGATGTCTTCCAACACAGAGTATTAGAGTTGGTATTTGGGCTAATATGGGGTTCAAGTATGGTCCTTTATCGAAACCTCAGGAAACAAGGGGGTTATAGCATTAATAGCTGCTCCCAGGGTCTTGACAGAACCCTCACAGACATTAAGAAGGTTCCAGGTGAAACTTTAAGAATAATAAAGTTCGCTGTAGAAAAATTTGTATGTCTTTTCGATTATGTTCTTTCAATATGTGTGAGTCTGAATAAAACTCTGAACAGGTTCAAGGTGGAACTTTTATACGGGCTCTCTGAGGAACATGCTAAAAGTTTGTTTTTTTTTGACGCACTCTCAAAATATAGTCCTGACTTTGACAAATCTGTAGGCGACAGCAAATTATATCAACATGGCAGTGTCACTGTGGATAAATGCTACTGTAAACACACTGCCTCAAAGACTCCTACCCTCAGAGTCACTGCTGAGGTGTTCCTCAGTGGGCGGCAGACCTTGGCTGTCATCACGCCGCTCAGGGTGAGAAATTCTCTCCCTGCACGGAGAACTGTACTCCTGCAGACATAAAAAAGACAAAGACAGATGAAGTCAGGCATGCACCAGAGTTACACAAATTTTCACACTCAAGCACAAAGGGACGATTTGAATTTCGACAGCAATAAAAAGATGACCCGACGTTCATGCGGCGTGTGCAGGGCACACATGGGCTACATACAGTGCTATTTAAGGTAAAGATGCATGCTGGCTTTATCAGCTGCTGTTTAAATACAGAGCTATAAATGCAAAGAAAGGAAGGTACAGCACCGTGGAGGAGGGGAAAGAATGGTGTTTATTGTTCGAGGGAGGAAAGGTGAAGGAGAAAAGGCAGAGTCAGGAATGTTACAACTCTGGATTTGCAAAAAGATCACACTATCGGCTTTCCCATCATCCATACCCGTGTTGTAAATTATCATTTATCCTCATGCAGTGGAGTGTGATACCAAAACAGGTCAGTGATGGTGTTAAAGAGGCAGCAGAGGTAGAGGAGATGGAGCAGGATAATGCAGGAGAGGAGGAGGAGGAGGAGGAGGTGGAGGAGGAGAGCCTCACAGTACAGTATTACTGTGGACAAAGAGAGAAGGCAGGTGGCTCAGTCAATGCCACACTGAAGCCTTTGTGGTATTGTGAGGCTGCAACAGCTGTTGCCCCGGGACGAGGCTGAGACTAAAGCTCGAGCCACCTCAAAGACTGAAAACCAAGACCAGAATAGAAGACCATTTTTACAAGAACCTGAGTTTAGAGCCCATTTGTGGATGAAATGTGAAACTGTTAAATGCTTCAAAAAGATGCAGCTGTGCACACAAGGCAACACATTTTCACTTCAGTACTTGTACTTGCAAAAAAAAGTGATTCACAGCAGTCGATACAAACCATAAAATACATCAATTCATTATTAACACTGAAGACAAAATAAACATGACTTCTATGTTTCCATCTGTTCACTGAAACACCTGAAGGCCTGCACTGCAACAATGTGCTTCTGTGTGGGGTTTCACTACAGCTGGGCTGTTCTTTAGTGGGTTAAATCCTCAGAGGCAGGACTCCCTGTAACCCTACACCTGAGTCTAACCCCCGATAACCCTGCTGGAGGTCAGTCAGAGAGAAACAGACCCACTTGAAATGTTCATTCATATCCTGTTCTGTTAAGTAAGCAGCAATTTTAGATCCGAGCCCCACCCAGCCAGATTTGGTATCTTTGGTAATTTACTAATAATCACAAGATCTTGCAAGGAAATAAACTGTACTGTCTTCCACTTTAACTGGTGTGTATTCACTTTGTAATTGTTATTATTTATCACATGGCAATGCAACAACCTTGTAGGGCCCACATTTGTCGAATTAGCTCCTCTAAGCTTTACAAATCTTCAGGTGATTTATTAGCTTATTGCTAAGGTCTTTAACTTGTGACATTACTTTTGTTTTGTTTTCTCACTCGGTGAAAATGAAGGAAACAAAATAGTTCAAACATTTGCCTATATTATAAGTTTTGGCTATCTTTAAAAGGTCCTATGTAATTGTATTTCTATCTTTTAGCAACAAATCCTGGCTGTCTTATGAGAAAGTTTTTGATCCATCACAAAATCTCAGCCTCTGTGGAAGATCTGCAACTGCTGAGTTTTTAACCTCTTTGTCTGAGCGGGCAGGGATGTTACGATCATGACACCTCGCGTTGAATGGTTACTCGAAAATTGTCTGAGGATGGAAGACTGCGCAGACAAATGCAGAGCTGGAGAACACGAAACAATTATGGCAAGCCCTCCAGAAGAACCTGCTCCAGTAGGCTACACATATGATACAGAATCTGACACTGAACATGGGGGATAGGGGGGATGGGGGGTAGCTGTGTGAGTGTTGCAGCTGTGGTTGCATCTCTGAGATCACTTGCAGATTAGACACAGGAATGGTTTTGTATTCATGCTCCTGCAAATCACTCCTGTTGTTACATCACCACAGGAGCCGATTCAAAGCACTTTGTAAAAGCTGTTTTTCTAATGGCTGGGTTATAGAAACAATGCAGAGACGATTTCATTTCCATATCCCTCAGGTTCCTCGGCTTTAGAGTTACTGATGTATATACTGTACAGTGTGTACGGTCTTGTGACACCTCCCATAAATGCTGCAGCATTAACATCTATGAAAAATAGCAACCGTCAAAAAGTTCAGAGCCATGATTTGTGTCAAACATTTTCAGTGAAATATAGAAAACTTATTTCAGATAAGTTTGATATGAAATAGAATCTGGACGTCCAAATCACTTAAAGCCAGGAGGACAAATGAGAGTAATAAAAAAACACAAGAGGATGATGGAGAAGCCATTGGTACTGAGGCTCAGCTGTTGAAACAATGAAAAAGGAATTCTTGTGCTCCCATAGCAAATAAGGTGAATTTTAATTTTCTCTCCTCATTTTACCAAGTTCTATTAAATTCATCTCTTTGGGCTCTATTTTCGTGTCCGCCGGTGACGGGATGGACCCCGTGCAGTGGTATTTCCGTCTGGCGGAGCCCGGCGTACAGCCAGTTTGGTATTTTCATGGACTGAGGCGCACCGAGGTCCGCTCACCAAAATACCAAATTGTGCTTGGGAACACCTTGTCGGCGCGGCGGACCTGACGTACGCTGCACCTGCACCACGTCTCCGGCGAGGCACCAAAATAGAGCCCTTAGAGGTGAAAGTTTGATTGAGTCATGTTGTGATCATATCCTGTAAAAATGGCTTCATCGTGTCTTTTATGTCATGATTGATCACAATATTCAAACTTCTCATATTTGCTGTCACATTTACACAATGACATTGATGACTGACCCAGACTCTCAACAGTCACTTTGTGTGTGTGTGTGTGTGTGTGTGTGTGTGTGTGTATAGTTGGACCACATGCTCACCATCTTCCCAGTGCTGTCCTTCTCTCGCTCTCTCTCCCTGTCTCGCCCTCCTGTGCTGTGGCTCCTCAGGAGCAGCTGAGCATCATGGATGGCCTGGGTGACCACGTCTCCATCCCCGAGGAAACCTTACAACAAAAACACACGACCAAGAAAGATCAGCCAGGAGAAGTGGGTTATTAAAGTGGTTTTCATCTAGATAGTATAGCCCAGGGGTCGGCAACCTTGAACACTCAAAGAGCCATTTGGACCAGTTTCCCACAGAAAAGAAAACACAGGGAGACACAAAAAAACCTTTGACATCTAAACACTTCATATATCGCTTTTTTACTTATTTGCAAAGTATATAAAAAAACTGTCGTGTGTTGCATTTATGAAATAAATGAACTGCTGCCGAGAAAACTAAATAAACTAAATATTTTGAACGGTTTGAACTAACCTTAAGAAAAAGAACAAGAACTTTGTTAAACCCTGAAGGGAAATTCATTTGTCTGTTTTCTCACATAATAGATCTCTAAAAGTTTTTTACTATTTACAAAAGAGTTATAAAGTCTGATGGCTGTTGGTACAAAAGATCTTCTGAATCTCTCTGTCCTGCAGTGAAGAGAGAGGAGCCGTCCACCACCATTAACCCTTTGGTCCATCAAAGTGTTGTGAAGTGGGTGATCCATGTTCTTTAGAATAGACTCCACCTTCCTCAGTGTCAGTCTCTCCACCACATCCTCCACTGAGTTCAATTTGAATCCAACCACAGAGCCAGACTTTTTCACCAGTTTGTTCAGACTGCAGCGTCGAACAGAACACTTTCCACCAATTTAAGACCCACTCTGATGAAAATCATGTTTTTCTTGTTGTCTACATGTTCATGTGGCATTTTTCTGATTCTAGAGGACATATCAAAGTAAGAGCAGAATTGCATTTCTGAGTATTTCTGCATTCAAATTGCTGTGAAAATCTTTCAGACACAGTGTTATTTTCTAAATTACAACCCTAAGCTCCATCCCCGGAGCCCCTCTACGCAGGTCAGACTCAGGGAGTAGAGAGGACAATCGTGAAACAGGCGTGTGCGGTAGCGGATTGCAATGTTCGTAAGAAAGCTGATTATGATACTAACTTTCATCATGTCCCCAAAGACATTAATGTCCCAGAGCTGAACAGCCCAGGGTTGCCTAAAAACAAAAGTATGTGTCCTGTATTGGAGTGTGCAGTCAGCAGTCAACCTGAATAAAAAAACACTATTTCACTGAACAATGTAAGATATACATTAGCAATATAATAGCCGATTAAAATATTTATTTAATGTGATTTTAGCTCCCGAACCTCAGCGCACAGCGTCTCCAGGTTAGACCTTTGTGATGTCGCCTTCATTTTCACGCAGGTTTTCGATTTTCGCAAGTTAGCAGTTCTAACGGATATTTAGAGTGACAAAAAATTAAATACAGTTATTACAGTTACTTCATGTAACAAGAGCATCATAATCTTGTAATTTAGAATTACATAAAAAAATAACCAACTAAAATAAAATAAATTTAAATTAAAAAAAATATTATTTATTTTCCAAATCAACAGGGAGCCACAGCGAGAGCTACATGCTGCTCCGAAGCCACAGGTTGCCAAACCCTGGTACGGCCAATGTTAAAAAATACCATAATAAATTCTATGTTGTAAGTTCTCTCTGCTTATAACACTTCAGATGCATTGTTACACTTATAATCACTTACAAGGATTGCTACAAAGCCTAATAGATGTATTTGTAGGGATTTATGATTGTGCATCATAAATAGCAGGTTCATATAAAGTGTTACTGTGATGTTTTGTGGTGTTGTTACAACAGTTTGTGACGTTTTAGTTGGGAAAGTAGGCAAAACTACAAGGAGTGTGCCCCAGTATGCAAATAAAACAGACTCCCACTCTTAAAACCACTATAATATAGTTCAACATATGTTACAAAAATCTAAAGGTGTTTAATATTTACTTAGAGGTACAAAAATCTTCAAACTAGAAAACAAATCAAAGTTTAAATGAAGCGCCTGAAAAGAGCAGAGATGGTTAACCCCTTTTTCTATCATCCACACTTTTCATTCATAGAAGTAAGTCAGCAGAACTCACTGAGGGCAGATCTGGGTGGACTGTGGGACACTTCCCTGTGGAGGTCTCTGGGTCTATACCCCCCCTGCAGTGCCAGTGATCCCAGCTCCAGGCTCTGAGGACTGGGCGTCTTCCCCAGCTCCAGTCCCTTTGGCTTGGAGGTCAGGTTCAAGGGCTGACTGGCTTCCTAAACACACAGTGAGAGCAGATGAGCAGGGGTGGGGCGACTCACACACATTCAGGTGTAACCGCAAAGGGCGAGGGTGTGCGCGTATTCCAGTTATGCACGGCAGATTTGGCGTGTCGAAGCGCATCCGTCACACCTTTGAAGCATCTCAGGTCTTTGTCTTCGTGTTCCCCTCATCCTCTCTTCCCTTTTGTTTATTTAAGCCGTGTTGCTAGATCTCTGCTTGAGAACCAGCCGTGCAAATACAGTTTAGGCTACATTTCACACACAACAAGAGCGCACTCACGAACAGTTATACCACACACGTTAAACCTTTGAACAGAGGGTGTGGTGGAGTCAGAAAGTTTTTTCAGCCTCCTGAGTGCTTGAAAAGTACTTGATCTGTTTATACTGGAGGGTGTCTCTTTCTTTAATGTCCCTTAAAACAGAACATACACTCTCTGTACAAGAAACAAAGACACTGACATATTAATCTCTGTACATGTGTGTATTCAGTCAGTGTTTGTCTTTCAGGGACTTGGTGAAATATGTCTTTACATTCAAATCACACTGTGAAAGGCTGACAAAGGCGCTGTAATGATATTGTACCTGTCTGAAGGAGGAACCGCTGCTCCTCTTGACAGGGGTGGGCTGAGGGTTCTGCAGCAGCTGCATGGGATAGTCCACAGCTGTAGGAGGTGAAACATTTCTGCGTTACAAACAGCACAGAATCTCAACGTTTCATTTTATCTTCCGCGTCCAGCACTTGATAAAAAGAGTCTCTGGTTTCTGTTCAGGTTAACTCTGTCAGTCATCTCTTTTATGGTTGTATCAATTTGATCTCAGAGGGTTAGGGTTGAAGTCAGGGCTGGAGTTGGGGTTAGTGTTAGAAATTCTGAGCTGCTTTCTGGAACACCTCTCAAAGTTACAATTCACACTCAGAAACTTGTGGAAACTTCAGTAAAACTCAAGATCATAACAGTCATAATCCTTTCTTTATCAGTAGAAAAGCTGTTGCTTAATAATAGAGTCAGTTGTCTCTTAACTGATGGCTGCTCTCGTCAGTGAACATGCTGTCATGCTGCTTTTGGTCATAATTAGACTCTCCATTATCCTTGTTCCAGGTTTTTACATAAAAACATGTTTTTTTCTAAGTCTTATATGTTCATGTTCAAACTTATTTAGAATTTTTGGAGAGATTTAAAGCCCCTATGAGTGATTTTCTGCCTGTGCTGACTTTGGCACCCCCTCATGGACAAAGTGGTAACCCTTCCACCAAGGAGGTTATGTTTTCGGTAGCATTGGTTTGTTTGTTTGTCTGTTAGCAACTTTATGGAGAAAGTTACAGACGGATTGACCTGAAATTATCAGCCCCAGGAGGACCCCATTACATTTTGGTGGTGATCTGGATCGCCTTCTGGATCCAGGAATTTTTTGAAGGATTCTTTATCGTTGTGAGATAGGGCAAATTTGGGAATTTTTGCATTTAACTCTATAAAAATGTCCAGAGTCTTTAGTAAAAAATGACACAAAAGGATCTCAGTGAGTTTTATGAGGTGTCAAAGGAGGATCCTGATCAGGACAAAATTCTGGATACTGTGATCCAGAACACACAAAAATAAGGGTGTCGTTGGAATTTTCAATGCTGGAAGATAACCAATGGGCGGCACAGTGGTGTAGTGGTTAGCACTGTCGCCTCACAGCAAGAAGGTCCTGGGTTCGAATCCGGGTCAGGGTATTTCTTATTTTAGGAACATTATGAACAGTGAACATACCAGTTTAAACACAAATAAACGTTAATAAAAAGTAAAAGTTTTGGTGTGAATCACAATATAAGGGAGGACATGAGCTGCTTGGCGCAGGTCTGCGCTCTCCGAGTGCTTTTCTAGTATTGTTTCTGATTTTGTCTCACTCTTGTGATGTGGGGTTATTCCACAAACTCGCCTCCTCTATCTACAGTAACATTCATTGCTCACCATGAGTAACTGGGGCTGTTTCTCCGGCGTACCTACTCCCTCACAGCAGTTTCAGACATGTCTTTAATTACACGTCAAAAAGATGCATCACTACTAATTTCCTTTTTTTGGGAGCATTTTAGGAGATTCAACGGGTACAAACATTGAGTGATCGGGGACCAAACACAACATAGAGGAGGAAAAATCAACCTCATCTTTGGTCAGATCTCTCCTAGGAGACTTATTTTTTAATACACTGTAGCATATGATTATTTCACCCAACCTTGAGCTCACAGTGTAAAGCACAACAGGCCATGACCTCAAGCTTAGCCCACTCAGTGAAGTAGGCTGTTGTTGTTTCCTTTATCGGTACAAAGTGAGGAAAACTTCTGAGCTGTGCTGATTGTTGGGACCCTGTGAGTGTGCAGAGGCTGGACTACACAGGTGGGAAATCCTGGGACTTTGTTTTTTTGTTTCTAATTCTGTAAAGTGTCACTGCAGTTATGTCAGCATATAAACAAAAGATTGATGTCAGCTTGTCAAAGAAAATGTGCAGGAAATAAATAGAGCTAACAAATGTGCTTCATAGATTGAGAAAGGAAGAGTCAGTCCTTTCAAATCGGAGCTCTTTCAAATAGCTGTGAATCAAGAATGTTTTTTTTCTGTTTTCACATGGTTAAGAGCGAACAAACAGAGCGGCTCTACCAAATGAAAATAAACAGCATAGCTCACTTTACCATCTTTATCTTCGAATAAAAAACGCCTTCGAATAGCTGACTTTACCTGACCTCTTCTACAAAACCCAACCGTTTCTTTACTTTATTTATTCATCTGCCAGAACACTCCAAAGCACTCACACACATCCACTCAAATTCTGCAGAAAGCAAATAAATGGTTATCCTCAAATTCCACCTTCAATGTTTTAAAGCCTGGCCTTGCGTCTTTTAGGTTTGAAAAGATAGAGGAGACAAGGTCACATACAAGCTCAGCTTTTAAGACTTGTGAAAGCACGCACAGAGCTTTCTGAGCTATGCCCTCTATAGCCTGCGAACTGTGCAAGCACAAGTGTATGAAAGGAACTATCACGATATTGTTCAACTGAAGTCTGCGTCTCTATCCCACAAATGCCTGTCTGTTTTCTGTAAAACAGACCTTGAGTTGAAGTGCAGAAGATGTTCCGGCATCAGCTCTGAGTCTTGACGCTGTTTTTGTGGCCTAAACTTTGCAGCATAAAGTTTTTAGATAGAGCGCTCAGCTACTGTTGCAGGTGTGGTGTCGTTCTTTCTGAACAGCAGATGTGTAAAAACAGACATGACAAAATCTATGATGTTCCCAGGACAAACAGTTGAGCACAGAGAAACCTCGGAGGATTATCAAAAGGCAGTAACTTAAAGACTGAACACAGACTTGACCGTGTCCATCGGGGTGAATGAAGCTGATTTAAGGTGCCTGTACATTAGAACTGGGTGATTTGGCAAAAAAAAAAGATCATGATATATTTTGTCATATCATCCGATCTCGATTATTATCACGATTTTTTTAACTGCCTGTTTTAAAGCATCTGTACTAAAAACTAAAGAAACTAGTTTAGTTAGTTGAACATTTTATTAACATACAAAGTAAATAACAAAGCAAATTCACCGACATACCTCGCACATCGGCTTAATTGCTCGACGTCACTTTGGAGATACACGAACAACCTTTTCAACAATAACTTTTCAACAATAACATCTTCGGAGAATAACTCAAAGTCTCAGCGTTTAGCTCCATGTTCGGTCATCCTGTTTACTTCTCCGACAACTTACAGTAGTGAGCAGAAAAAGCTCGACTCTGATTGGCTGTTGTGACGCACATTATCTCTATGTTTGATTGAGTAAATATGCTCACAGCTGATCATCGTGATCGAACTGAAATTTATCACGATCATATAATCGCCGAGTCCTATTGTACATAGACGCTGGATTAAGCTGTGCAGTTTTGGTTTCCTGTGTTATACATTAGGACACTCTAAAAGCTCGTTAGGCAGCCATATATGGGCAAGTTTACATTTGTCGAAGATAGCTCAATGAGTAATGTGATCTGACTTGTTCTACGACATCCATCATGTATGTTTGTACACTCAGCACAAAGGATGATGGTTGTTTCTGTGAAAACTCTCCAGCCTTGTTTTAGTAGAACTGCTTCACGGTGTTTTGAATCCTTAAAACAAATAATACATGACAAGACAGGAACTTTATCAATCCCCGAGGGAAATTCAATTGTCTGTAGTCTCATGTGTCTCAAGTTTCAAGTCATCTACTTTTTCAAACCTGTTTAAAATAATTTAAAATCAGTGTTTTTTGTTGTTTTTTTGTAATAAAATAATATAATTTCACTTTTAAGAGATCTTACATTTTCTTCTTTTCAGTGGTAATACACTGCAGCCTCCTATTCCTGCTGTGCCAGCAAACAAATGCTGTGCATATTGGTGGACTTTGCATTCTGGAGTTAGTCGACTAACCTACAAATACATGAGTCTAGGGTTGACTTGGAGCAGTGAGGGGATTAATGTCACACATCTGTCAAATGTTCTGAAACTTGTAAACAGCGTATGAACATATGAACAAGGGCGGCTGTTATCACTCCACCCAGCAGTGTCTTTGACAGCAGCACTCTTAGGCCCCAACTACACGAATGCAGATATATTTCAAACTGCACATATTTATGTCCGATTAGGCCTCCCTACCACACCAAAACGGGAGTTTGGAGCACTCAAACCGGATAAATCTGAATCCGAAAAAAACGGGCATGCGAATTAAAAAGAAAAACAACAACGATGGCGGACAGACAGGGTATTCTTTACGTTTGTTTTGCCCTTTTGGGGCTAATTTCAGCCTTGCAAGTGAGCCTTGTTTTATACAATTACATCCACCGGTCAACCAGCTCACAGAGGCGTCTGCTGCGGCCAATATTTTTATTGGTCATACGGTTCATCGCATGGACCCGACGCACTAGCGTAGCTTCCGCAAACAATGCATGACGCATCACTCTGTTACGATTCATCGGCCAATCAGGTAGCTTTGTTCCTGAATTTTTTTAAAGCGGCACCAGATAGGATTGAGTTTGAAGGCTACGTGTGGACGCAGATTTTTTTGAGAACTAACACGTGTGGACAGATACATTTATTTAGACGGGAGTACAAAAATATCCTGATAAATAAATATCTATGTGTAGTCCGGGCCTTACTTTGATGGAACAAACAGGTGAAACTCAACAGGGAAGCATCTACAAAAATGTCCATTACATTGTCTTGGTGTTTCCACATCACATGCCTGTGTCTTCTTGTCCTGCACTGATACGACGGTAACCGGATAATTAGTAACAGCAGGTGAATCACAAACACCCCTGCTCCAAATCTTCATTCAAAAGTGGTGAGTGGAAATACATCAACGTCAAACTTGAATGGAAACCTGTCGAGGGAGACGTGTATTTTGTGTTGGTTGAAACGGTGTATGAATGAGTGTGTGTGGGAGTGGGTGAATGGGGGGTGTACTGTAAAAGCCTTTTGAGTGGTCTTAAGAAGAAAAGAGCACTATACGAGTGCTGCTCATCCACCATCTTTAGTGATCTCTATTGACATCAGCTCGCTAAACTGCTAATTGTGTTTCCTAGAGCAAAACATTGGACCAGAGACATGAGGCAAGGCAGAAACCCTTGAGAATATCCCCTCCTAGTGTACCCCCAACTAACTCTCAAAGGCTCACCTGGTTTGCAGGGGATTGGCTGCAGCGGCAGGGTCATTTGGGACTCAGAGGTGACGGGGAGGGGCTGCGTGTTGGGGTGAAAAGCTGGGATCATCACATAGGGCATATTCACCTGCTGGGACAAGGCAGGACAAACACAGATCACTTACATGTTATTTGTGACACAGTGTGAAAATGTCTGATCCGTGGTGCAGACCGCTGTGAGTGTGTAAGGTCTTGAGAGGGGCTGACCTGGATCTGTTGTTGGAGCAGGTTGATCTTGTGCTGCTGCTGGATCAGCTGCTGCTGCTGTTTGGCAATCTGAGACACAGAACAGATTTACTGTCACATTTGTCTTCTGAATGATGTTGACCATGTGTACAGAGATTTCAGTGTTTTAATTAAGAACAGAACCTGAGCCCCTACAGCATCACGTTTTCTGCCCAAAATTCCTGACTGCCTTCTACTTATCTCAACAAAAAAAAAACACAAATGACACACACACGCGCACACATAAAAAAAAGAAGAAGAAAAAAACACTCATTCAAATATGATTTAAAACTAAAATGTACAGAGAAACTCAGACTTTTATTGATACATATTTGGATGATATAATATAGTATATTACACTCACCTTAAGAGAAAAAAGATATAACACAAACGTTGTTCAGTAAAAACTCCTGTGCAATGAACTTTAACTTTAAAGATAAAGGCAATAATTTATTTAGTTTTTTTTTTTTTTTTTAATCTTACTGACATAACTTTGTGAAATAAAATATTGTGGGGATGGGGATTCATGACTTTTCTTAAAAGTGTTTGCATGTGAATTTATGCAGATAACTCAAATGTGTTGTGCTAGATTGATATTTATATATTTGTATTTTTTCATTGAAAAAAAGTAGGGTGCATGCATGAATAATCGTCAGTTGAATTGAGCAAACACAGAACAGAAGATATTCCAGCATAATAAAGATCTTTCTCTCCATACAGGGTATTTATAATGTGAGATAATAAAATGAAACCTGAGGGGCCTTTACTACATACGCACCATTGGTCTGTCTAGATTGACTTCAAATAAATTTTAGGAACAGTTTTCAGACTGACTTATTATTCGATTATTGCGTCATGTTTGCTTTCTGAGAAAAACAAGTGGACCAACATGGTGTGTAAATAATCCAAAAAGTAATCCTTTCAAGCAAATCCTACTCCTGAAAAACTTTGTGGGTCTTAAGGCAGTGTGGAAAAGCAGAGTGAAATTATGTCACTGTGGCAAATAAATAGAGAGCAGCTCTGTGAAACTGTAACATTAAAAACACACGCCTCAGACATTTGCTGCATTAATACTTATAGACACCAGCAGTAGTTACCTGTTCCTGCTGTTGCCGAGCCAGCTCCATTTGCTGCTGCTGTTTCTCCAGTAGCAGGGCGGCCATATTCCTCTGCTCCGAGTGAGCTCCCAGGAGCTGCTCCCTCAGACCGCTCAGCTGGTTGATCATCATCAACAGCTGGAGCTCCTTCTCCGCCAGAGACTCCGGGGTTCCTGGAGGGGTCAGAGGGTCAGATTTCAATCAGTTTTACATTTAAAGTTTGATGATAAATTGTTTCATGATTGTGGGAGAAAAGTTCCTGCAGGCAACTTTACATTTTCATCGGAGCACTCTTTTTTTTTGGCCAAAAGTGGGCGAATGTTTAATAAATGAAAATTTAAACAGCCACTTATCAAACCTGCTTAAAGGGACATTCCGGCGTAGATCTAAGTTATGGTCAAACACACGTAACACCGAGTTAGACACCCGCTCTATAAGATAAATGTTGCCGACTGCTTTGCTTTCTAGTTATACCAACTTTAGTCACAACCGCATGATAGCAACACACAGTGGTCTACATCTCCACGTGCAAATCTTACCAAAAAGCCACTTTATAGCTACAAGTAATGCTCAGAACAGCACCTAACTTCATCAACAGCACATATAGGGTCCCCGCCATAGTACTAGCCATCAAGCATCTTTTTAGCTTTGCCTGGTTTCTTTGGCAAAGACACCAAACACAACTTACCCACTCTCCTCCAGCAGCTGCTTGTTTGCGGGGGAGCCCTGACGAGTCGATCACTGATTGCAGCAGATCATTTCAATGAAGTAATAATCATCATAATAATCATTTTGCACTGCAGACGCTGTGGTTCTTCTGCCTTAGCGTCTCGGTCTGATTGCATTTCCATGAAGTAATGATCATAAATGTTCTTCCTTGAGCTGTGAAACTCCGCTGCACTCGGTGATCGACTCGTCAGGGCTTACCCACAAACAAGCGTCTCCCTTAAACTTCAAATAAATTTGCAGTCGTTGCTAAAGTTGGTATAACTAGAGAATCAAGCAGTCGGCAACAGTTATCTCTCTACCAGGTGTCTAACTCGGTGTTATAGTGTTTTTGACCTTAACCCTAATTTACGTTGGAATATTCCTTTAAAAACACAAAGCAGGAAGACGAAGAATTAAAGAAATATGCAAATATATAATGGAATAAAACTTGGTATTTGACAACTTAAGAACTGCATAGTTTTCTAATGATGATTAGATTAGATTAGATTAGACTAGATACAACTTTAGTTATCTTTTTGGGAAGGTTCCCTTACAGAAATTAAAAATGTGATGGGATGTGGAAGAAACCAATTGAGGTCAGTGGATGGGCACACACAGCACTCCGTATGAGTATTTATGTTGCACTGTAACTAGTGGAAATTTAAAGGAGGGATATTTGCTCTCCAGACAGAGATATTAACTTCAAAAATGGGATGTTATTTTATAATGAGTCACTCAATGTTGCTTTCACATTCACCTCTATTTTCATTAGCCTACTGTCTGAGTGGAAAAAATGAAGTATATATAAATAAACAGTCAGAGAAAGACCTGCATCCTACAAGATCCTTTTGTCTCAGTATTTGACAAGAAACTGAAAGTTTAAGAAACGATTCTGAACAACCTTGAAGTTATCCAACTTGAAAGTGTTATAAAACATGCTTCAATTGAGAAACTGAGTCAAATCTTGGCACAATTCAATAGTTACATGCCAGCAGGGAGCGTTTTAAAGTGGTAAATAAACAGTGTAAAGATGTTGGTAGTGTCTGCAAGCTGACCTTTCAGCTGTCCTGCCCCCCCTGTGCTTTTATCCAGAAGTTTCTCCTTCCAGTCAGCATTCAGCAGCTTCTCAATGGTGGGCATTACTGTTAACAGAACACAACAGGTGCTCAGCAGAACCGCACTGAGCTGCACTAGATGGCATAAAAAATGTTTTCTGTCAAATAAAATCCATCTGACACCAAACTACTCTCTCAGCCTCTCCTCTGCCTTCCTAATGGAATTGATTGAAGAAGGGCAGAGGTTGTTTGTGCGTCTGGGAGAAGTTTTGAGTGTTTGAGTGGATCAATATTTGGACAGAGAACAATTCAAGGTCAGCTAGTGGAGAGAACTTGAGAAAAATTTAAGGCAAGGAGTGTCGGCTGGTGAAAGACTTCAGGGCAGGGGGAGTCTCAGGGGGGAGTTAGGGAGCAGCCGCTTACTCTGTACGTGAAAGACTGAACAAAACCAGACAGAAAAAAAGCGCCCGGGTCCCTCAGAAGCCATTCAGGAACCAAAACAACACCCTCGCCTCGGTAGCAAACTGTCACTTTTACGAATCGATTTTCCAGCAGACTGCATTGTTTAACGTTGAATAGCAACAAAACGAAGCGCACTTAAATACATAAGATATGGAGTTATCAAAGTGTGGTGGTGCGAAAATTGTATGGAGGTTTCTATATAGTTGTAAGGGAGAAAGATGAAGCAGGTGCAGAAGTGAGAGTGACTGGTAAGGCATACTGACATCACTGATTCATGACCAGCTAATCATTTTTATCGTTCTAACTAATTTGATTGAGTTGATTAATATTTGCATTCCAGAGACAGAGACGCTCTGTGTGGACGGTACACATCTCACAGTTTGGTGTTCCTCTATGGTTGTGACCTGAGCACTTTACAAACCCAGGACTCTAATATGACTGTTAGACGGGACCACAGCACATTCCTGACTATCATATTTTAGTATACCCCACCTTACCCTAACCTATCCTATCCCATTCTATTTATTCTATTCGATTTTACTCTATTCTATTTAATCCATCTATTTTAGTCTATTCTTCTTCTTTTCTATTTTTCTGTTTTTTCATTCATTCATTTATTTATCTCAAGCCCAAATAAACAGTTCAATACGTTTCTATTTCTTTAAATTCTATTCTAGTTTGAGAATACTCCACACATACAGTCTAACTCTCGGCCTTTCTATTTAGTCTGGATGCTTTTATTGAACATGTCCATGCATTTATTTTGGTACACAGCAAACTCTGTATAATATGCCTCTAATAAGACCATCATGATAAGACCTCATTCTTATAAACATTAATAAGTCTTTAAAAACTCCAGTAAAAGCAAGACTAAAACACGCATTGTTGCTCATAACACAGTCATAGACTCCAATACACTCATACATGTCTGTGAGATCTTTATTAGTCTTTACCAGAATTTATAAAGTTTACTTACACACTACAGAAGATATTAATCTTAAGCTTGTAACAAACTTGTAGGGAACTTATTATTTAATACTTTATTCACTTTTATTTGTTTTATATACAGCTTTTAAAATCTTATCAGATGTGTTGATTAGGACAACAAATAGTCCATAAACATACGTTTGGATGTTTTGTTGGAAAATGGAAAATAAATAATTAAGTATCAAGTAGCTTGAACTGCTAATGAAAAAAAGTGTGATTGTCTTGTATAAGAAGTCTTCACATATGCCAACATGAGGCGATGGCATCATTATTATTATTATTATTATTATTATTATTATTATTATTATTATTATCATTATTATTATCATTATCATTATCATTATCATCATCATTATTATTATTATTATTATTATTATTGCCTTCTGTTTATGGGCTTATTGATTTATTTATTTATTATTTAGTTTAGGTATTGCCACAGTATTTGTGGAATGTGTGCTGTGTTTTATTGATGCTGCCTCTGGTTTAGATTTTCCCTCTGGGATCAATAAAGTGTGTAACTATCTATCTATCTATCATCTTGTTGTTGTTGTTGTCCTAAGATAAATCAATAAATATGTGCTCCAGGTATGGTTCAGAATTATGCAACAATAACAATTATAATAATAATAATGAAACCAAATCAGGATTCCTGGGGTTTAGGTGCAGAGTTTACTGTGTGAAATGTTGAGCCTTAATCCCAAAACAAATCCTTCAGATTAGATTAATTCTATCACAATAGTGAACACAATATCAGATTACAGCAGAGATGATTAGGCTAGATAAAGACTTCAAATCTATTCCTCAGGCCTTGAATTTCCCTTCAGGGATCAACTTCTTCTTCTTCTCTTTAGAGGTTTTTTTTTTCTTTATTTCTATGTTTCCCTAAAGAGCATGTCACGACATTATCTCCTCTAATGCACTGTCTCAGTACAGATCAGAGTTTATTGTCTGCTGTGTTTCTATGAGCACTCCTCCTGACACCGCAGAGCACAAAGTGGATAAGAGACCCTGATAAAGAGTTTGAACAAACCTTCCCTGAAGCTGGATTGTCCCTGTGCTCTGTCATGTGTCCTGGCCTCCTTCAGTCCCACAGGGCTTTGCCTGTGAGGCAGCTCCTTACCTGGAGAGCCCTCCTGTTAGGACAGTTAAAAGACAGTTTATTCACAAAGCATCAAAGAAGAACATGGAAAAGTACATTTTATTCCTGCATATCCAGATGTGGAGACTTGACAGGTTTTCTGAAACTTTCTCACTCGGTCACCATCCTTACCGAAGGGGAGCAGGAGAGTGGTGGGGTCAGCTGTCGGGCCTCGAGTGGATGATTTGCTGACCAATCTCGTGAGGGAGATGTTTTAAGCGGTTCTACGGTGGCGATGACTCCGCCCACTCCACTGGTCTCCTCCTGTTCTACTTTGACACCAACACCCGCCATGCTGACATCCCCGCCACAGAGAAGTTGCAGTGCTGGAGGGCTGGGCTCAACCATTCTGTGAGAAGACGAACACACAGCCATCAAAAGAGGGTGTCATCTGGGTGTGGTGAGGTTTGGGCGCATGCCATGTTATTTTTAATTTGGTTGTTGATATCATTAGGGATTAGAGAAACGAAAGGGGATACAAGAGAGAGCTGCTTTAGAAATCAAAAGTAGACGTGCATCATCAGTCTCACATGAGCTGATGGAAGTCATGCTCTCACCACTTCCTTGTAGTCGAGGATTGATTCATGATAAACATCGATCTGAAATCAGGTTCAAGTGGCTAACATCACTTCAACAAAGACTTGGCAGACCTTCACAGAGAGGCACATCATGAAAATACAAAGCAAAAGCTCCACATACAGAACTGTTCTGCCCTGCCTGCTTCTTCAGCGCACAATCTGCATTTCTCACCCTGATCCCTCCGGTGCTGCAGGACCACTTGAACCCAGCAACATGTCTCTGGGATAATATGTTGTATTTGCAGCCTTAACAAAATCTGATGGTGCCCTTAAGCTCTATGAGACAAGCTGAACAATTCCAATTGAATGAATGAATAAGCTTTTCCATCAACAAACAGAAACATCTAAAGAGCCACACCAGCCAGTCCTTAATTGGTCAGAATCCTTCACATCAGGTGTTTAGTGGTTTTGTTACCGACTCTTGGGAGTGAGCCAAGTGTGTGTGTGTTTGTATCTGTGTGTGTGTGTGTGTTTGTGTATGAGTGAATAATAGGAGGTTACAGGGAAGCTGACAGACAAGGCCTCTGTGACGAAGAAAGGGAGAGAGGACAGGTTGAGTGAGAACAGTTTGAACCACAATGAACTTGAACATATCAACTCAAGCTTGTGTGCGTGTGTTTTTATGAGTGTGTGTGTGTGTGTGTGTGTGTGTGTGTTATTTCCCAGCTCTACAGCGAGAGGAAAGAAAAACACGGCAGACAGCAGAACAAAACAAACAGAACACACAAGGGCAAAAAGTGCACATATATATTAAGAGGCAGAAAAAAGCCATTGTTGGAGCTGGGGAACAAAGGAAGCCGGGACAATGGGGGAGAGGCTGACAAAAGCAGCCGGCCGCAGGAAACAGGCCGGATAACAATGCCAGCGGAATGTGCCGACCAACTCGGGAACACGGCAAAAAATGCAGAGCGCCACCATTCTGCGGAAAGCATGATAATGATTAGATACACACACACACTTACACACACACACACACACACACCTCACCCAGCTCTCCCAGCCTGCACACTGTGATTCTGAACAAAGCCACCTGTCTGCCAGGGTCCAAGGCTCCAAAACCTCTCTGATGTATATGCATGTGTGTGCATGTGAGCTGCAGTCATAAAACACAGTCAAGTACCAGGATCACAATGTCAGACTCCTGCAGCATAGAGGCCACCCGATCTTCTAAACAACTGGGATGCAGTTAATTCCACCTTTAATGCAGTCCTCCACACAGGAAACAATGCATCAATCAATCAAGGAGTGCATACGTGACTTCGGCTCAAAGGCAATGAGAAATGTGGCGCAGAGATTTGGACTAAACCACCAGTAAGCCGCGGTCTGATTGATTGTATTCATGGGTGACGTCCCAACACAATCAACTTATTGTTCAGCGCTGAAAACCTTCTTAGAATTAAAGGTGTACAGACTTCTTGCGAGTGAACCACAATGTTTACCTTCTTTGTTTCCCAACAAAACATATTGTTTGTTTCCCTGAGACCTTACCGGCAAAATTCAATACATTCACTTTCTCAAAGAAAGACGTTTGTTTACTCTGTTCTCATCTATGTGCGGAAGCTAGATCTCTTTTTGTTGTTTATAACTGAGGAAATTGCCATCTCTCTTAGTAACATTATGCTATTGTCATTCTTAAAGTAGCAGGCATCTATATAAATGTCATCCATGTGTTTTTTGTGACGCAGGATGCAAACGTGTCACCCATCGCTGCTCAAAAACTCCACATAAGGCCTTCAACTCAGAATCAAAAGTTGCTACACCGTGCTTGATAGAAATTGCTTATTTTGCAGGTATGATTTGGGACCAGTTGTCTTCTTTGAGGTAATGGTCCTCAAAGTCAATGTAGATGACTGATGTAAGTAGGAATGCTTGAGAACACAGTGCAGCCGCTTTTCACGTCACCTTTTCTCACCCTCTCCATACTGCAGTTCCTCTTTATAACAGCATGTACCCATGACACACGATGTAACGCTCACATCAAGAGTCACGCCGACAAAACTCAAAATACATTGTGGGATTGACAAGAAAAGTGTGAGTATGAGGAAAATGACAGTAATGTTGGCCTGAAGGAAGGCAATAGAGTTGTGTCGTTCGCCAATGATTCGTTCAAAAGAGCGAATCCTTTCAGCGTACGCACTTAAATGAATCACTCCCTCAAGTGATTGGTTCGTTTCTCAGTTCAGTTGAGTTGTTAGCAGTGCAGCACTATTGCCGGCGAGCAGCCAGTGAGCGGCTGCAGGTAGGGAGGGACGCCTGAATCACTCGGTGAACGAATCACTTGGTGGGATCATATTCGTCTGAGGGACACACTTGCGACCGTTGTCCCCTGTTGTTTTATTTAGTTCTCAATTAAACAAACTTAAAACGTAAGGGTGGCAGTAATGAGAAGAGAGTGAGACTCACCAGCTGTAGCTAGAACTTGACAGGAGCGACGGAGGGAGATAGGGGTTTTGTTGTGTTTGAGTGCAAGTCTGAATGATTCGGTGAACGAATCTTTTTAACGAATCTTTTTAGTGAACTGATTCTAGTGATTCAGTAAATCTAAAAGAACTGCCATGCAGGGCAAAGGTGGATGATGGTTCAGGTATGTAGGACTAAATTTTATTCTTTATTCTAAACGTTTATGACTTATTACTGATACTATCTGTGGACGCCAAAATAGTGAATAAGCGGAGAACCAACACCTTTTTCACTCCACTGAAAAGAGTCAAACTATGGAACAGCTCAGTGATCATTTGAAATGGTGTGTTCCCTGAGTTATTAAAAAGCTTTAAAATGTGAACTAATTGATTATTGTATTATGAAATGACTGATTTATGGATCATGATTTAGGACAACATATTCATGTAACACCTGGGACAATGAAGGGTAATGTTAAACTGGTATATCTGCTCAACTTCTATGAGTTAACCAAGAGTTTTGTTGTCGTCACATTATTTTCAGTAATATTATACAGCCTCAAATCAGTGCAGCAGCTCACTCTGTTAAAGTTTATTGAACAAACAAAAATAGTCGAAAAAAGATCTGTATCGGCTTTGGCACTTAACAACAGTGGGTGATAGTGCTCATGGGAAATGCAGTCCTCCTTCAGTTTTTGAAACGGGGTCACTAGAATCAACACAACATTAAAACTCTGCACTGTGCCTTTAATTTGTTAGCTGTCAGTTTGATTCGTGTATGCAGGGGTCTTTTTTAAAACCATACAAGTTTGTCCACAAAGATCTAAATGTACAAAATGACCATTATGATGGTGGTTGATTTATAAATGCTGAACTGTATCTAACACCAAATCAATCAAAAGAAAAGGGCACAATTAACCCACATCCTTCTGTTACATCATGTCCTCACTTTTCAGTCACTCAGGGCCTTTTGGCAAATTAACCAGACAAGCACCTTTGCTAACACTGAGAACCACATTAACTCGAATTTGGCCCACTGCTTTCTTCATCCGAGCCACAAGAACAAAAAGGATTTTGCCAAATGCACAATAGTGTTAAAACTGAGTTTCGACACTTGACTGCCAAAGCTCTAAACCTGCACAAACAGTGTGTGTTTGTGTGTGTGTTTTCTCATGTGTGTACGCGGGTTCAACTCTGAGTCATAATCAAACCATCTCACACAGCTGATGGAAACTAAAACGCACTGAAGCACATTTAATACTACACACAGGGCCAACACAAGCACTCCAACTCTCCTGATGCACCTGCCTGACTGGTGTTGACTCTGAACACAATGTTACACTCAGTCATGTGTGCGTGTGTGTATTTCTGTTTGGACTCATTCTCAGGCCAAAAGTTTCCTCAACAAACAAAGAAATCTGGTTAGCTCTGTAATTTCGGTGTCCCATGATCTAAACATGTCAAAGCTGTGAGGAGCTTTAAACCGGCGGGAATGTGTATCAGCCTAATCCTGTCTGATTGCTATTTTCAGGTGTGGTTGTGTTTAGGCCGAGCATGAAAGAGGACTGAGGATAGAGGGGTGAAGACGGGTGGTTTAAAGCTGTTTAGCCAACATCTCAGCAGCCCCCACACTACCAGCAAGGGGTTGATTGTGTGAGTGTGTGTGTGTGTGAGAGAGAGAGACAGAGAGACAGAGAGAGAGAGAGAGAGAGAGAGAGAGAGAGAGAGAGAGAGAGAGAGAGAGAGAGAGAGAGAGAGAGAGAGAGAGAGAGAGAGAGAGAGAGAGAGAGAGAGAGAGAGAGAGAGAGAGAGAGAGAGAGAGAGAGAGAGAGAGAGAGAGAGAGAGAGAGAGAGAGAGAGAGAGAGAGAGAGAGAGAGAGAGGGAGAGTTTTGTCCCACGCTGAAAGTTATTCCTGGGTCTCCCCTCCACACTCCACGGAGACTGGACAGCAGAGCTGTCACAGGTGGCTTTCACACGCCTCTGCACTGGCTCTCTCTCTGTGTGTGTGTGTGTGTGTGTGTGTGTGTGTGTGCATGTGTGTGTGTAACCCACAGCAAAGGTATGCACAGAATCTCAGTGACCCACGGGGCTGCTGACAGCAAGGAATGTGTCAAGGTGCGTGTGTGTGTGTTTTACAATCACAAAGGTTTTTTTCTCAAACACCAAACAATGCCTTCAGCGTCTTAGCAAGAACAATACAAACCAGTCAAGGTTATGGTTTCCTTCACATCAGCCTCATCTACTTAAGCACTCACTTGGCCTATCCGCAGCTGACTGCACCCATGTGGAACCTGACCTTGGCGATGTATGTAGTGCATGTGAAGCGTGATTTAAATAGCATCGCCTTTCTACGAGGTTATCAGATTGAGGCCTGTTTTCAGACCACCAGCAGTGTTGCTCAGCTTTTATAGGTGCTTACCACATGTCGCCACGAAATCGCTATAAAACAGACCTCAGAGCAGCTGCTGAGCTACCCCGAGAAGAAAACAGTGACCAAACACCACGATTACACACTCCATTTTAAAAAAAATATAAAATTACAAGATATTACTGACTGCAGCTATGAGTCCAAACCACAGAGATGAACTCCTGCCAGAGCACTTGGCTTCCTATGATGTGCCATAACAAATTTGAGGTGATGAACACACACCTGCACTGCAGAGATACACTAGATTTTGTGTTTCTCGAGCCCACATTGGTGCACACATTGTTTTACGTAGTTGGTATTCCTGGCAGGGAGCTCTCAGAAAAAAGACATACCATGTTTTTGCTGCTCCTCTCTCTGCCTTGGCTTTTCATGAGAGCACCAGAAACAGGGGGAGGTGTGCTCTGCTTGTCTCAGGCTTTGGCAATCAGTAAAACAGACTTTACAGTTACAACGACAGAAGGTAGCATGGCACGACGTTCCTAATATAGCAGCATTAAACTCTGAAATGAAGGTCACGTGGGCTGCCAGCAGAAAAAAAAGTGGAAAAAATGATTTTTTCTTCATTTTTTCTTTTGTATCAATTAGGGCTGCATGACTTTGGCCAAAAATAAAATCCTGATTTTTTTTAATCTTAAAACTTAATTTTTGATTTCGATTTCAATTTTTTATTCAGTGACAACTACAACTTAAAAACAAAACGTTTTTCTATCATCTCTAAAAATGAAACCTCTAATAATGATGTAGTGCATATGCCAAGCCAGTAGGTGACGCTGTAATGCTGCACAGGAATTGCACAAAAGACAGAAGAAGAGTACGGAGCATGTGTATAAAGGTTGTTTTGGTCGGAGTTTTGGAAAGAGTTACGCTGAGTGTGACATATTCGTTTCAAGAGAGACGCTGACGGGCATCCACACGGAGATGAAATGGTAGTTGTTTACGTATTTATGTACTCTCTGACCCAGTTTCAAAAATTACCATTTACAGTCACATGAAACGCCGATACAACAAAAAACTTTTGCGTTTACTCCTGAATTAATTTCAGGACAGGTTGATACCACCTTCAGACAGACTTCGCAGCAGGGAGTGGTTTGCTCTTCACCCGAAACTGTGAAGCTGTACCAATTCTACACGACTGACTTGCTCTTGCTCTATTTAGCCATGAAATTATCGCCTTCTTTTGCAAACGCCATGTTTGTTTACACTGGTGTGTGTGGGAACTGGTGAGCGATATGTTGGCCTGGAGGTGCGAGACATGAGAGAGAGGAGAATCGATTTGACGATTTTTATTTTTTTAACATCATCATAATCCAATAATCTGATTACGATTTAAAATTGGTTAACTGTGCAGCCCTAATTTCCACATGAATGAATTATGCACAATAACTAATATATTTGACTATCAAAAGTCATCAAGGGGAGATCTGCTGGTGAAAAGTTCCAAACAAGAAAAGACTGCTTTGTCCACAGGGGGCGCCAAAACTGACATTCAGTTCCTCACAGGTGCTTAATAAATGAAAAGAGGCTGAATAACAAAAATGTTATAAAAATGTTAAACACAAAGTTTTTCTGATAAAAAATTTTCATAAGTGTTGAGAAATATCAAGATCTTTTTTATCTCTCACTAATTTTTGTTCCTTTTTGAGTCAAAATGACTTTCTTCAGGGATGAACTCAACTGCATTTGTTAATAGTCAGCAAATTTAAACCTGACAAAATACTTTATATGTGAATTTACAACCAGAAAATGTATACATGCTGAATAAGAGAGGTATTGTGTTGACCGACCTTTTAAAGCAGCTTAATGTGACTTCCTCACACTCTGTAAAAGTCGTGCCGGTCCCCTCTGAGAATTTATAGGGGGGCGATGGAGGATGACAGTGGTCACAGGGAACAGATAAAAATCAGCTCCTCTCCTGTGAGCGCTGCCAACCTTGAAACTCTACACTTCCCACGACACAAGAATCACTTCACACAAAACCTCAGTTACCCAACAAGTTGTTACACGTAAAACCCAACATTTCCCCCCCAGGGGATTGGCGATGCAAATCCCTTCTGTTGTTCTCCCTTTCTTCTCTTCTTTTGTTTCCTCTGTCTTTCTCTCTGCCCCCCCACACCCCACCCGACAGGAGCTTGTTGGGTTTATATCTTTCTTGTCGCTCTCCAACTCTTGCCTGAGGCAGAACAGCAGAGGAAGCACAATAGACAGAGAGAGAGTGCCAGGAGCAGGTCTCAGCAGTTTGAGCCGCAGGATAAAGTGTTAAACATCTAAACAGGTTCACTTGGTGATAAACAAATAAAGACATCTCATTGTCAGCGCTGAGACTGACAGCTGTAATGGCAGAAGCTTCCCTGCAGGAACTAGCGAAGACAGAAGACGTCTCTGTCAGCCGGCTGAAGCACAACAGGTCTATTTAACAATAACAACAAAAACACGCACATAAAATACACCGCACAGCCGCATCTTTGCGCATTTCCACAGCTACAGTCGTCTCTTTTTGCCCCTGAATAAGAAAGAAGTCTCAGATTTCTCACAGCTTACTCAGCTGTCAGCGGCAGAACTCATACAGTAAAGTTTCCAACCTGCTGTGCAGTCGTGTTAAGGCAAGTGTGAAGCCACGCATAAACAAATGTTTGGGGAAATGTTTCTCAGTTTGCAGTATTTATTGAGCGATGATAAAACAATCCAAGCCACAGAGAGTGGCTGTCTGCTCACAGGGCCTGGCTCGGGCTGATCGCAACGAGAGCCTCCAGCAAACTGAAACATCATCGAGAACAACAACGACAAAAATCCACAAAAAAATCTTCTGTATATGAGACGGTGACTCATCAGGGCTCTGAAAACCGGCATCTTCTTCTTTGATTGAGAATCAGCAGAAGGATGTAGTTTTACTTTGATCCAGCCAGTCAGAGAGAGAGAAGCGTGCACCTCATTGTAAAACAAAGTTATACCGTATATCACTGGGAGAAAGTTCAACTCCTTGTCAAACAATAACAGACTTTTTCAGCATCAAATACGCAATCTAATGTGTTTTCCAACAAATCATTCAAACAATTTTGTCCAACAAATGTTCAAGAGCCCAAAGTGAAATCTTCAAAATTGCTTCTTTTTATCTATTTAACCAGCACTTGGAAAAGTAACATATTTCATTTATAAAACCACAAAAAGCACAACGATCAAAACATTTCATGATGTTTTCCTTCAATGAAATAACCGATTTATTGATTAATCATTGCAGAACAGAATTGTTGAAGTAAACTGTCTTCAAATCCGTTTCAAACACACACCTAGTACTCATCCCTCCGTCTATCCCGTGGTACTGACCTGTCGAGGAGGACTGAACCTGAGGGGATCCAGCAGGGCTCCCAAACTGAACCAGAGCTGCTGACACAAGTCATACCGACTGGTTCTCTCCCTCCGGTAACGCGCATCTTTTCTGCTCCTCTTGTACCTCCGACCCGTCCAACCCCTCCTCTCCCCCTTCTCCTACACCCCCACCCCCCACCCCCTCCTCTCCTCTCAAGAGGGGGAGTACAAAGAGCCTCTTGAAATCCCACCGAACGCAGGCTTCATTTGCATAATTAGCATGCTGCTGCAGGTAACCGTCGTTGCAGCAACAAACCAGCGTGCGCGATAACAATCAAAGACAGACCAACAGGTGCGATAGCAGTTTGATAACAGCATCATTGCCGACACAAACTTTGATTATGATTTCCTGGATGTAAAGAAGCTGAATGTGAGGTCGGACCGATGAAAGGGCTGGCGTGTTAAACATAAAGATAAGGATTTAATTAAGCTAAGATGACACAAATAAACACTGTGGTATAGAAGTAGGAAATCACACTGCACTGTAGTCACAATACTCAATTATCTAACTAACAAGACGCTAAATACTCTCAGTACTGCTTTTTCTCACTCAAGTGAATCTCATTTTTACGTCATGTTGTCATAAAACCTAAATTACGAGATAGGTAAATATTAAGCAGAGTTACTTATTGATTTATTAACATTTGCAAAACATGTATTTTTTAACCTTTAGCACTCTTTGAAGGCTTGATATTGTAAACACTTTGAAGAACCAGAAACAACTGAAATGAAAAAAGTTGAAAAAAGTGTTCCTCTTGATGATCCTAATGATGATTTATTACAGTCTACCAGGTCCTACTGAAGGTGTGAACAATCATCGTTTAATCTCACTTGTTTTGTTTTAATATGTCGGAACAAGACTGAAATAGAAAATTCACAAGTCTCAACTTTTACTCTCGGACAGACCCTCACTCACCAGAAAGACCACGTTCTTCAGCCACCAGGTTCTTCAGACCAAAGGCGAGTCGGTTCAGGCTCTCAGACGTCCACCCCAGCTCTCCTGGGAGCTAGAATCCTACTTTCAAGTCTCGTAGGCTCTTTAGCTTCGGCACTGTCGTCCAAGCTGATGGTGATAATTCCTGTGGATTAAAGCCAAAAGTTAAAGTCTTGTTCTTGAGTTTAAATCAGCATCTTGACATGCACACACAGAGAGGCTGATGATTTAATGGTGGCGCCCTGACTAAAGGAAACACCAGGTCTCACACACACACTGCCAATGCACAGTTAGGTAAGATCGCATGACCCTGATTATTGCTGACACAATCAAAGACCACTGATAGGAACTATGAATTCGAGCCGTCTGATCAGGCTTGTTCCACAACAATGGGACAGACAAAGAAAGTCTCACACATACAGACACATCTGCATACAGAGAGATCATTTCAGGACTGGCTTTGAACCCTGGTCACTTTGGGGTCTTGAGAGTTTCTATTAGCAGCAGAAGTTTCCCTCTTTTTAAATAATGGGTCGTAATTGACTTGCAACAGTTAGTTCAGCAGAGTAACATTGTTTAACTTTTTGTAACAACTAACAGCTATATTCAGCAGGACAAGGTGGCTGAATGTATAACATCAGATTTATGTAGACCCACAGTGACAGATTCATCTGGTTTCGTCCAACCACTACTCTTGTACCTGGCCAGCCCACCAGGTTAGTGGGCCGGCTCCCTTGGTCCACCTCTACTATAAACAGACTCGGTGGACCCACACAGCAGCATGGTTTTCCATTTTGATGTAGGAAATGGTGATGAATGTGTGCTGAGACTTTGTCTGGTTAATATGGCAGACAACCATGAACACGGACCAATGTTTAACCAGCACAGGTCTGTAAATGATTTGACAGGGTTTCAATCTAGCCCCCTGGTATGTACCTAGCTCTGAAAGTCCTGCCTTTTCAATTTTGCCTGTGTCCATACCAAAATGTATGTATTGTACACAGACTTGCGAAACACTTAACCTGTTCTCTGTGTAGTAGCCACAAGCATAGCTTCATTATCATCGACTGATTCCCCTCTCTGAAGGATTGAAAAATTCTTACAAAAGAGAAACAAAAATGCTCAAAATTTTTTTAAATATATGTTGATAGAAAATATTTGGCTCAGTAAAATATTGCCCAGTACTTAGTAGAGGAAAAAATCAATACAGCATAGTATTGCAATATTTTGTCTGGGGATATATTGTTTTGTCTCATTTACCAAATATTGAATTCAAATCAATGATAATAGAAAAATAAAATAATCATTGTCAAGTGAGGTTGGCAAAGGTGATATCAGAAAGCAAGGGAAAGTTAATTCCCCAAGAAATATAGAAAAGGTTTGCAAGATGTGCTACATGAAAATAAAGTCCAGCGTAAATGAGACAAAAATAAAGGAAAGACAAATGCTAAATTAGCTAAACAGTTGAAAAAATTGTATAAATCGCAATATATTGTATCGCAATACTCACTGTATTGCAAAATGATAAAAATCGCAATAATATCGTATCGTGGCCCACATCATTTTCAGTGGTTTCGTTTTGAGAGATGATAGAAAAACTTACGATTAAAGTGAAGTTTGGTGAAGTTGTCACCGAATAAAAAATTCGAAATCGATAATCGAGTTTTCAGAGAAAAAAAATCGGGATTTTATTTTTGGCCAAAATCGTGCAATCGTTCAAGTCTTCTGTGTTCAGGGTCATTCTTCATTCATGACTTACTTTTGTGTTGATCGACCTTCTTTGCAAAGAAAATAAAACCTTGTCGGCTGGCAGAATTCTTATTTCATTGTTCACCAGAAGCGGTAAAAACTTCCACAACCGCAGTCTCCAAATAAAGTTAAACATTTAACATTTTTCACAGTCCTGTGCTTCGGATCTGGACTCTGATCAGTTTGCTTTCATTACAACAACTGGAATTCAAAAACATGTTTTCAGTCAAACACGACACTCTCAGTCTTCAGACCACACTGATGAGAGAAACCTTTAAGATTTGTGTGCATGTATGGGGTCATGAATTTTCAATTTCAGACTGAAAGGGCCAATAATACACCAACACACACACACACACAGACAGACGCAGACACACACATTAATGGAACAATGCTTCCGGGCGGTGCTGACAGGGCCTCATTAGAGAATGGGCTCTCAGGACTGAAGACACAAAAGCCTGTGCCCTCTTCTCTTTTCCTTCCTCTCTTCTCTTGGCCTTTTGATGTCAAGGGTACCGAGCCACACAGTGCATAGTCTGAAGAATAGGCTCATCAGGAAAACACACTCCGTTTCCTAATTTTTTGTTTCATATCTTGCTCTGAGTGTTTGTGTGCATGTGTTTGACTAAAGAGAGCAACAAGCCCTGATAAGTCTGCGTTGTCCTGCAGTTACCAGTCACTTCATCGTACAAAGAGCAGAGCTGGGAAATCCAGCGCTGCGATTAAGTGATAAAGACTTTACAAAGACAGCATTTTTCTCCTCTTTTTCCTCATGGTGCTCAGGGGCTGCCCCACACAGGCCAAGCACACAAACACACACACACACACACACACACACACACACACACACACAAAAATACAGCTCTGTCTCATGCCTCAAATTTCTCTGATGCTTAACTATCAGATTGAGTTATGTTATGATTTATTTACTCAGTAGCGTTTACAGTCAGTGGAAAATGAAGTGATGGGAAACATTTTTGTGCAGTGATCATAGTTTCTGAGGAAAAAAAAGGTACCTGTTTGTTTAGATTGACATATTTCTATTTTCAAAGTCATACGTCAAGAATGATTTAAAATGAGGGGTACGATATACCCATCAGTGTGCGCACTCACATACAAACTGCATATACTATGTCAATGCTTGACCAGGAGGGAAACAGGCAGATGGTTCAATGTTTTAAATAGACAAGGAAGAGGATAAACATGCAGAGTAGTGGTGTCATGAGGAAAAACATCGAGCAGGTAATAAAAAAAAAGGAAGAAAAGTTGAAGTTGAATAATAGAATAATATTTCTAGTGCCTGATAAAAGTTGGAAAAGTTCATTATCAGTGTGTCCTTAAGTAGCACCATCACTTGTGATTGTGAGATAAGGACTGTGTGCTTCTAAAAGTAAAAATATCGGACAGTTTTAAGGTACTTAAGTCTATTCTTAATAGACCTCTTTCTACACAGCAGCCTTTCAAGTTTAAGAGGGAGCTGTAGACAACACTGGGATCTTTAAAATCTCGCTTTAGTAATCCCCTGAGTTATCTCCTCCTTTTAGCCTGAAGCCCAATTCTAACTACTGATTGGTCAAAACCCAATGATCATGTCAACGACAGTGTGACAAAAACACTGGAAAATACCTTTACTTTTACTCTTAATCTATTTATGATGTTATTCATATACAGGAATGAGTGTGGTGCGTTAAGACAACGAGCTGGGACAAAGTGACATCAATCAAAGTGAAGAAAACAGACACAGAACAGTATGAACTTTGGCAGTGTCGCAGGACAGTTACCTGCTGTTATTTTCTAAACCTGGTAAGAGTGTCGATAGAAAAACCTGATGTTTAGACGAACAGTGAAATAAAAATTTAACTCACTGGGTTTAACAACAGAAAAACAGGATTATGATTTAAGGTTGGAAGCTACAGTGGGGAGCTTTTGGTTTGTATTGATTTTGGCACCCCCTGTGGACAATGTGATATTCCTTATCTCTAATTCTGTATGTGAATGTAGCACTTTTGAAAATATACCTCATCCTGATGTCTTTTCAAAGAGAATATCACATCACTCACTGTGAGTATTTGCAGCAGAAAAAGTCAGATTCACTGTTTTTTTTTAAAATTAAAGTTATTATTGAACTTTCAGGAGGAAAAATAGAAATTATGCTAGTCAGAAGGAACACCCTTGAAGGGCTCAGGACCAGGGATGGGCGCTAATTTATCGTTCATGAAGTATCTTCAGAAAAATCCTCCATGATAAATATTTGCCATGTCTTGATAATTACGATAAATGCAAGTTGATGACGTAAGCGCGAGAAACTGACTCGCAGCCATAGCCCACACAGAGCAGAATAACAAACAAACATGGCTGAAGGTAATGAAGAAGACGTTTCTG